AATTTCTAAAGAATATAATTTTACCAATGGATTAGCGTCCAAGGTGTTTAGAAATGTAAATATACGCCAAAATGTGCTGCAGTAATCTATTTTTACGTACTCTGGATCTGCCAAAGGTTGACACTTAAAGAGATAAACGACATCAGGCCTCGGAAACGTGAGAATCTCGTCCTTGAAAGGAAAGAAAGAGGAAATGCGTGTAGAAGGACGAAAGACAAACCTAATGCTTATGTGAGGGAAGGCAGCGTTGCACAGGCGGTTAAGCTAGTTGGTGCGTATTTGTAGAGAGCGTGAAGCATGTGTAGGGACGGAGAAAATAGATAAGCCTCTTAAACAACAAAAACAACAAACAAAAAAAACAAATAAAAAACGAAAAAACATGTTTAGAGTCAGTTTAAGTTATGAGTCAAAAAGACAGAAATTGTTGAAACCTTTGCATTATCCTTGGATGTTCTAGTTTCTTTTATGAGAAGAATTCTTGTAAAGAAAAAAGACAACTGATTTTGAAAACAAAAAATCCCGTTTTCGATCGAAGCCTCCCGATACCCCGAGATAGTTGAGCACTAGAGCGTCTCATAGTAATTAAGAGAGCCAGATAATCCTGTCAGTCATGAAACCCATAGATGGTTTGCTCGTGATACGCGAGAAACAGTAAATGAGAGAGTTAAATCAGAAGATATAAACCAATAAAAATTGTATAAAACATGTTTAAGGTTGTCCTAAATTATAAGTGCAAGAAAAAAGCACAGTGTCATAAGAAGTTATTGAAACGTTGCTTGGTTTATTTTATGAACATTGGTTTCAAATTCAAAAGCAAAAAACCCCGTTTTCGGTCCATGCTTCCCGATACCTTCTTAAGCTTAAGGCACTAGAACGCCGCATGTTAACGTTTCGGTAGGAGATTTCGGCCCCTCCACGCTATCCTACTTGGGAGATGCAATAGCAAGCTTCCGCCCATCAGACCCCGAGATCACCTGCGATAGGCTTTGCTCGGGGTGCGCAGGGAGAGTGCGGTCGCGACCCGAAACGTCTGGGCCCCTAAGCCACTGCATACATATCGCACCCGGCTTCCACTGCTAGTTGACATCTACTATCCATACATTTAGCTTTATATTTATATACATAAATTCAAAAGCCTTACGAAAGTTGTGGTATTAATAAAGTCACTACTGCGCATGCTCAGATGATTTCTTTGATAACTTGCGACTAAGTGAGTTAATTGCCACAAATGTAGTGCAAGTACATATAGTTAGTCGTTGGCATGACCATGAATAATTATTCGAGTGGACAGCGCATGCTCAAGCGTATGCGCCGACGTTTTCTCTATTAAATTGTTACTAAGCATGCTATTTACTTCAAAATCGGTGCTAGTAGATGCAGTTGGTCCCTGCCATGACCATAAACTTGGGCAGCTGCTCAAGTCGACTGCGCATGCTTAAGTAGACTGCGCATGCGCAGACGATTTTTTTGAAAATTTGTGACTGATCGAGCTGATTACTCCATAGTTGTTACAAGTACATACAGGAGAATTGGTGCATTTGACTACACGTGGTCAGATTAATTCTCAATCAATTTGTGACGGGGCAAGCTCTGAAATTGGTGCTTGTATATGTGTTTAGCAAATTTTCAATGATATTTTTTTGGCATGCTCTTTGTCTTCTTAAGCTTGTTTTAACAAATGCATATCAAACTCATCAACACTTTGTTACGCCGCTCGTAATATCCGTCACAATGTTAGAGATGTTTTTATTTTTCTCCATAACTTTGTATCTGCCTATTTTTTGCATAAACAATGCTCTAATATTTATGGCAGATATTGTAATTTGTGGATTGAGGTTGAAGAAATACTTGAAAATGAAACTTCCAGCAGTGAAATAAAATCAAGCGTGACAGAGGAAAAAAATGACGCCAAGGTTGAAGATAGCTCGATGAAATTGAACGTAGTTCAAACACCTAGCTTACGATCGAGAGTTTTGGATGAAGAATCGTCGACCAATGAAAACACGAATGATTTTCTCTCAACGGGGGCAGTTTAAAGGAAAGGGGGCTATATGTAAGCATAACATTTTAAGGGATCCCCTTTGGCTACCTCACTGATCGATGTAAGAAAATGAAGACGGTTTTTTGACTTTTTTATTTGAACACTCATGAGCTTATCAAATATCAAGGATACTTTGGAAAATTAGAAAGAAGATCACAATTTAACGTAATCCTGTTGAAACCTTTTAAAGCATAGAAAAGACAATTTTTTGAAATTTACAGAAGATAAAGTAATTAGGTATATGTCTATTTACCTATGATGTTATTTGTAAATTCTTTCAAATATATATCAATCCAAACCATTTTCCCAGCAGATACAACGGTTCTCTTCACCTACCAGATCACATATTTTTGCTATTTTTTGTAACAGCAATGTCATAGTATAATTCGATATCACTGTTCAATATATTGCTGGAAATATAATATTTGCTAGCTGTAGTTGTATGTAGTTGCGTACCTATGGTTGCGTTCATTGAGTTCTATAATAACTGGAGCGGCTATCTTTACTGGGGCGAGGTCGCCAAAAAAATGGCGGCCAACGGACGTATTTCCGCTGAAATGATCGCTTTGCAGAAAAATAATATTCTCGACCTCCCCCTGGTGTCTATAGTAAATTATAAAGAATTTTTCAAAAACAAACACGATATCACAGAATATGGATATCGTTAGTTCCATATTCTGTGACGATTCTTTTTTGGCATTTCTTTTATAATGCCAACACTTCAATCGTTCAATTGTTGGATGTCGTAGTTTCCACAAAAAGGAACATATCGCTTCTCACAGGTGAGGTAGTTGTTTGTTTTGTTAGTCCGTCAACGATTGAAAAGCAATTATACATGCACTTGAAAAGCCATAAAATACATATTAAAGATCGTATTTTTTTAAGACTGACTTGAACGCCAAATATACTGATGTTTTCCTGTTTTTGTCTATAAATTTCTGCATACTTTTCTGTCATTTGTTAATGCATGAAATCGTAAATTTACCTATTTGCAAAATAGTTTCTAAAGCAAAAAGACCCTGCACACATTTTGCTCTGTGAAAAGTATCAAGAAGAAATGATCAGCCCCAACAGTACCCATGATTTGGAGCAGAGCTTGTTATGTTGTATTTGCTGACAACATGCAGGGAAGACCAAGAAGTAAAGATGACTGGAAGATGTTATTGATCAGGCAGAGTCTTAAAAATGATAATGCTGTAAAGATAATTGATTTATTGTCTGCCTTATCCAGAGTTATTTAATTTGATCATGGTCAAATTCTATGGATGGAGACAATGGATTCACTAATGATGCCTTGAATGCTTTGAAGTTGAAGTTCATGAACCAAAAAAGATGGCAAGAAGGTTGTGTGTTTTGATGCTTAATTAAATGTCAATTCACAACATATAAAATGGAAAGGCCATAAAGTTTGTGTCTATGTAAACATTTGTACTGAGATTGATGATGACTTGATGCAGATGTGAAGCATTAAACTGAATAAGCCATTGGGTTTTATAAAACATAATGTTTAAATCATGGCATATCTTTATCAAAATATTTTAGTTGAGTGTTGTTTAAATGTTACTAATATCTAATGCACTATACTGAAGCATTAAAGATTCAGTGATGAAACCTTTAAATTTACTGTACTGTATATTTCTTATATATTTCTTATATTTCTTTAAGAAACAGTTTGAGCTTATTTACCTATTAGAGTACAGAATGGGATTTATCATATGCATCATTGCTGCTTTTTTAAATAAATGTTTTTCACTTTTCAAAGCTTTTCTACAAATATTTTGCTTCTTATTTCTTTTCATGAGATTGATGATATAGAGGTAATATAATCCAATAACTTTATAATTTCTAGAAAGCTGTTAAGCTTCTAGCATAAAAGTACACTATAGGTATTTAATTCATTTGGTTTTATTGCCTTGCTATGACATATCTACTTGCACTTCATCATTCTTGTATGAACAAAACACCAGATGTGGATACTCAGAGAACAAAATGCACTACCAACTGCTTATGAAATTTATTATTGAAGTGAAAACTGTTTTAATCATTCAAATTGTGCACTTATATTGAAAATATAGGAAAAACAAAACAAAGTGAAAAATAAGGGTAGAAGTATTAAAACTAAAAATGAATTATAAACACCATTGGAAGCATAAGTGTTTTGATGATTATTTGCATTTTGCCCAATTTATATATCAATACAACAAAATCAAAATGTGCTACAACTTTACAAGTATTTGATGCAGTTGCACTTCAGAACATCACAAAAAGGTTACTTAAAGTAATTTCTATACAATATTGTTTGTTTTCATTTACCAAACCTATGCAGACTTGAGTCTTTTTGAAATTTAATATGAAACTCAATTACAGAAAATACGTAAATATCCAGAGATTTAATATTTACTTTTTTAAAGAAACAAGTAAAAAGAAGCAAAATAGCAATGATAAAAATAAGCTAACTCTCTCGTGAACCACTGTGGAGATGAACTATGATATACTTTTTGTATAGACTAAAGAGTTTAATCGATCAAACAAGTTTGACGCTGGTAAGAAAACGACGCATATCTGCATTCATAGATGTGTAGCCGACATATAGCTCTTTCATCGATAGTTATAAATACATCCTCGTAGGAGCCGATAACTGAAAGCTATGTTGACTCGCTGTTACGAATTGTAGGTTTTATCGTGATTTTCATCAAAAATTGCTTGCCGAATCCCAAATACACACATACATTTTCTTCACTCTTTCCTCAGGAGGGAGTGGGAAATTGTGAAATTTTCGGAAAAGCGGTCAATTTCGGTAAATCTCAGCGGCAACGGACGAAATCCGCCATTTTTTTGGCGTCACCAGATATCTAAGGCCGCGCTTGAGATAGCCGCTCCAGTTATTATAGAACTCAATGGTTGCGTTACTTGCGTACCTATTTTTTACGTTTTTTCACATTTCGCGGACAATATTCGGACGTCACGGGAACAACTTGCCTTCATCTTCCCTCCTTCTAAATTCTAAAGATGGTGGAAAGTGGAAATGTTGTTTACTTCGTATAGAAGAATTTTTCGAGCGAACTTTCGCTCGTTTTTGAACTAGAATGACGACAAATGGACTTCTAAAAGACCATCTTATCCATCATGATCTGCAGAACGGTGCGTCTTGCATGCATTTTTGCAAATATTCACCAACAGTATTAACGATGTATGAATGATATGAAATTTTTAGTTAATTTTGTTCATACATGTACTTGATTTCGACTGATGGCTCTTATTATACAATAACATAAAATTTATTTATTTCATCTTAGCCAATCTCACTGGATGCTCTGAAAAGATCGGCATTGATAGTTTTGAACTATTAAAAGTTTTAGGGACTGGTGGTACGTAGAAAATTAAAAATGCTTAAAATGCCGAAGACTAAAATTTATTATCGCAATTGTGAGAAAAATACGCGAATTTAACACTTTCCAGGAAACTTCTTGAACTGCTTTATTTACGCGATTTCAGCTTACGGCAAGGTCTACTTGGCCCGGAAGAAAGATGGTTTCTACGAAGGAAAGTTATTTGCCATGAAAGTCTTGAAGAAGGCGACTATTGTGCAGAGAGCGAAGACAACACAACATACAATGACTGAACGCCAAGTTTTAGAGGCAGTTAGAAGCTGTCCTTTCCTTGTTACATTACACTGGGCATTTCAAACGGACTCAAAGCTTCATTTAGTTATGGGTATGTTTTTGTTTATCGAGTATTTGTTTGAGAATGGCGTTAATGTAATTTTTGTCTCATTATTCCGAATGAATTGTTGTGTCCTTAAGATCTTTTATTACATAGTTCATTTAACTGTTTACATAATAGACATCTTCGCATTCAGCGTATCATCTTGTTTTTTTAATTCATATAATGTCATTATAACTTGTTTTTCAACTATTTTTATTGTCTATTAATTTATGAGAGAGGCATCTAGTGTTTTTTCTATGCTCCATTGCTGTAGATTATATTAGTGGTGGAGAGCTGTTTACCCATTTATATCAAAGGGATAAGTTTAGTGAAGAGGAAGCAAGGATATATATTGCTGAGATTGTTATTGCTATTGACCACTTACATAAGGTTGGAATAGTGTTGATGATTTAAACATAAAAAAAGAGATATTGTAAGTAAAGTACATTTTTTTGTAGTTGGGAATCATTTATCGTGATATAAAATTGGAGAACATACTCCTTGATTCACATGGCCATGTTGTTTTGACAGATTTTGGTCTGAGTAAAGATTTTAGTCCATCTGATGAGGTGTTCATCTTATCTTTCAATTGTGAGATGTGGTTAAATAATTAATTCATAAAACTGTAATGTAATATTCTAGATTAGACGAACTTACTCATTTTGTGGAACAATAGAATATATGGCCCCAGAACTTGTGAATGGAAATGACAATGGACATGATAAGGTTCGTATTAACTTGTAATTTTTCTATAATGATAAACTTATTTGAATATCTACAACATTATGCTCTTCAAATGTGCAAAAAAATTTTTTTGCAAATTTGAATTGGTTTACTTCTGTGTTTAAGACACTGATTTGACTATTTTTTATTTTCCATCATTTTAGCATTTTAATGCGTTTTATGACTCATGAACTACTTACGTGTCTCTCTATTTAGTCAGTTGATTGGTGGAGTCTTGGTGTTTTGATGTATGAACTTCTTACTGGTGCTTCACCTTTCACAGTTGATGGTGAAAAGAACAGCCAGTCACAAATATCAAAGTAATTATCACCTTCATGCTATTTATTATCTGTTTTGTTGATATTTTTCACTGAGACACTGAATTTTTCATCTTTATAGGCGAATACTAAACAAGCAGCCACCAATACCAAAATCATTTTCGCCAGATGCAAAAGATTTGGTTAAAAAGCTGTTATGTAAAAATCCAGCAAAGCGTATTGGTAGTGGTCCCACAGGCGCAACTGAAATCAAGCACCATGTCTTCTTTAAGGTTGAATGTTGGAAAACATAAATTTGAGTTAATCCATTTTAATGTTTGTGTAATCAAGAATTCAGGTAAAATTTATATTTTCATCAGCATTTAAACTGGGATGCAGTATTTGAAAGGAGGATCAAGACTCCATTTATTCCATGTATCAATAACGATATGGATGTCAGCAACTTTTCCTCAGAATTTACAGGAATGACGCCTGATTATTCTCCAGCTGCTGTACCAAATAACACAGAAAAAGTGTTTAGGGTAGGTTTGCCAATGCTGAAAGAAATGTCTTTATTTTAAGAATATTGCTTTTATCACTCTGCCTTGTTGGTTGATCTTTTAGGGATACTCCTATGTGGCTCCATCTATCATTTATGGCGAATCTACAACTGTAGATGATTGCCTTAAGTTGTCGTATGAGAGTCAGGTTTCATCAGCTGGGATAAGACAGGCTTCTTTCTTTGAGGTAAACAAATTACTTGTTATTAAATCATTGCTGGTTATTTTATTTATTATGAAATTGGATGTAAATTCCCACTATCTGTCACCTCGTCTATGAAAATATTTCAGGCCTGTCCATTTTTTCAAAATTATATGGTCACAGATGAAATACTTGGAGATGGCAGCTTTTCAACTTGCAGGTGAACATTTTCACCTTGTGTCTAATGATTTGCTAAATTAATCTCAAATTTTTGATGAAAATATTATTTATTGTGGTATTTGTTTTTGTTTTAAAGGAAATGTATAAATGTAAAGACTGGTTTTCATTATGCTGTTAAAGTCATCAGTAAAAGGTGTGTTTTCATCCTGTATGTTGATTAAATGTTGTATTGAACAATAAAACATCAAAAAGATGAAGGACTTATATATTTATGTATAATTATAATAAAGTACAATGTTTTTATGGTATATGAAAACGATGACGGTTTTTATTTTAATGTTTGTAGCTCATTGCATTAGGAGGAGTGGTTTGTCGACGTTTATTTTATTTCGTTCAAATTTCTTTTTTCAGACGAAATCTCACACAAGAAGTTCAATCTTTAAGACGATGTCAAGGACATCCAAACATCGTGAACATACATGAAGTTTATCAAGACGGAGTAAGTTATGGTTGTTCATTTTATCATTGATTATTAGATGGATAAGATCATATGTTCATGGTAGTATGTTCTTGTCATGAATCAAATCATGCGTTCGCATAAATACATTTTTAACGTGAATTTGCCTTCATTTAGTCCATTAATAAATCAATAAACTACTTAGATACCTAAGTGATTTAAAAAATACACCAATAATTGGTCAACACAATTCTTCTCCATACATTCTTTACTTTATTTTGTATGATTGGTGAACAAAGAACATCTCAGGGAGCTTTACTTTATTGTGACTTTTTTCATTATTTAGTCAATCATGAAAACATTATTTTTTTAACATTGTGTCTTGCGAAATTGTTAGCTGGAAAATCGTCGCAAGTTATCAATATATCACGCTTCATTTTTGTTCAATTGTTTAGCTTCATGTTTACTTAGTCATGGAGTATCTTCAGGGCGGGGAGTTGTTTGACAGAATTCGACAAAAAAGAAGTTTCTCCGAAGCGGAGGCGAGTGTTTTGATGCGGAAAATTGTGTCCGCGGTTGCATTTATGCATTCTAGGGGAGTGGTACACAGAGACATAAAACCAGAGGTATTTCTTGTGTGTTTAAATCATCTTTGTTTTGATCATCAGATTTCTGTGTAATAATTTCTTTCTAAATGTAAGAGATTTTTTATACAGAATCTACTCTTTGTTGACCATACGAAAGATGCAGAGATGAAAATAATTGATTTTGGTTTTGCAAAAGTGAAAATAGTCAACCAGCCTTTGCAAACACCATGCTTTACGTTACATTATGCGGCTCCTGAAGTTTTGGCTCAAACGACAAAGCAAAGTGGTTATGATGAAGCCTGCGATTTGTGGAGTCTTGGAGTAATTATGGTGAGCTAGAGCTTTGCTCTCCTTTTCCTTTTTCTTTCTTTATTTCATCCTTTTCTCCTTCCTTTTTTCTTTCCCTCTCTTTCCTCATCTTTTTCTTCTCCTCTTTCTTTTCTGCTTCCCCCTTCTTCTCTTTCCTCCCCCTTTCCTTGTTTCCCCTCTCTTTCCCCCCTCTCATCTTCCTCTTTCGATCCTTTCTCTCCCTCCCCTTATGTTCTTCCCTTGTTCTCCTGCCATCTCCTTCTTCTTCTACCTCTCCAATGAACTTCATTCATTTGATTTTAGTCTTCATTTATTTATTTTGTTTAGTTCCCTGTAACTTTTCGCTTTTCCTTTCTCTACATATAGTACACAATGTTATCTGGCCAAGTTCCTTTTCAAAGAAGTGGTAGTCCTAGCAATACTGCTGCCAATATAATGAACAGAATTAAGAATGGTGATTTCAAATTTGAAGGAGAACAATGGAGCACTGTTTCTCAGCAAGCAAGGGATCTAATTCAAGGTAAATGTTATTATTCATATAAATTCATCTCCTGTGGAGCAATAGAGTGATTTATGTTGTGAAAGATATTTACTGTCCGTTTTTTCGGACCACTTATTTCAACATTGTTTTGAAGTTCCTTACAAATCTTCCATTTATGTTACAAATGATTGAAGTGCTGTGGTAGTTAGTAGTTAACAACACACTACAGTAAGAGTTCCTTTTTTTCATGAAAGGTGAACCACAGTTAAAAGAAGCTTTTTGTGCTTATTTTTAACGATTTACAAATTTTGAGCACTTTTACTCAAAACTGTGAGCTTCTTAATGTCGCAACAAGTGGTTTGAAATGAAATTTCACAGTTTTAATGATTGATTTTCTACGTAATGAAACGTTGAAATACTTACGTTGGGTAAGTTACTTTAAAATATTCTCCTAATTATTATGCACATTCTTAAGGCTTGTTAACAGTAAATCCAAAAGAAAGGCTTACAATAAGAGAAGTCCAAAATCATGAATGGCTCTCAAATGGCAGTGATATACCTACTACTCCTCTTATGACCCCTGGTATCCTTGGCATGGGACAAAAACGTACTTTTGTTGAAAGTGCAATAAACGCTGCATATAACGCTTTTCATAAGGCAACACGAGAGGGTTTTGCATTGCAAGCTGTTGAACAGGCACCTCTGGCAAAACGACGTAAACTGAAGAAAAATACTTCTGATGAAAGACGGTTAACAAACTGCAGCTCAGAAGGAAGCTCTTGTGATATGAACGAAAATCGTAAATTTCCTGAGGAATTATCTTGATGCACCTAAGGTGATAATATTGTTTGTACAAGGGTGTGGGAATGTAGTCATGTATATAGGTACTTAGATAAATAAATTATCAATAGCTTTTATGTTTAATTATATACAGATTGTTTTAAACAAAAAGAAATTCAAGCATAGTAAAATGTTGTGTTTGCTCAAGAGGGCTAAAGCTCTTTAGAAACACAATAAGTTAGACAATACGTACAGTTAGAAGTTATTGTAAGACTATATAGAAAGTTCTGCAACATTTCTTGAAGTGCTAATACTCATTCATAAGATTTCTCATGGGGCGGGGGGTGCAAACTATACACCTATGAAACAAGAGAAACTTTGACTTAGGTCAATATAATAACTTTGTTATTTTAACAATGCATTCTCTGATACTTATATCATTATTTCTCTGAATGGGAATATCACCCAAAACATAAATACTCGTTATCCATATCTTGCTGTGTTTTTAGCAATTCCCTTTTATAGATTTCTTGAAATAAACATGATTTCAAAAATTAAAGATGTTTACATACATTTTTATATAAGTGGATGTGTGCTCAACTATCAGTCGAAATGTTGTCTTCCAATAAACTTATTGAACAGTAAAGATAAATCATGCTAATCATAAAAGTTGTTATGAATTTATCATTTCACAATCTTTGAAGTATATTTTATACTATTTTAATTTATTAACTAAATATCGATTAAAATTGCTTCATGTCCTGTTGCCTTGACAAACTTCAGCAAATCATCAGGTAAAATTCCCATTGATGCAGAGTTAACCATTGGATGGAAATAACATCGTACATGTTCACCATTAAAGAATCCAGAATCAAGTATTAATTTAACATCCCCAGCTTTATCATTAAACAGTGCCAGGGGGGTGACACAACCTTGACTTACCCCTAACTTCTCCTGTAAAATACTTTCATCTGCAAACCTTAGCCCCCCTGCAGCTTGGACTTTCTTTGCTATAACTTTCAAATCTATCTCACGATCATGTATTGTTGTTAAAAGCCAGAGTTGTTTCTTTTTGTCTTTTAGAAAAAGATTTTTGCCTACTACTCCATTGAGGTCTTTTAAATGTTCCATCATTGCATCGACTGTAAATACTTCAGGGTGTTCTATAGTTTCTTCAGAAATTTCTTCTTTAATGAGAAATAATTTCAGTTCTTTTCTACCACCTGACATTGTTTGATGTTTGGAGCACAGAATATATATTTTGTGCATTTTTGTCATCCACGCGACACGCGTGTCTGTCAGGTTTTATTCCAATGATACGAAAATTATGTAGTCCGAACAGCCGAACTCGGTTGTTTTTTCGAAAATACGTCATTGCAAAACAATTTTATTTAATGTCTTTTTTCTGTGTTAATCGATCACATGAATCCTACGATCGTTTTCAATTTATAAATTAAACTAAAGTACAAAGTCAAGATATTCGTTGAGCTTGTGACAATTCAAATGGCAAATTGCAACAGTTTGAAGTTAGCGGTTTATTTATGGTTTTTATGGCAACATTTTTCTAGGAAGTCAAGTCTTGTGACTTTAAAATTAAAAACGCATTCTTCAGAATACTAAATCGTGACTGATAATGTGTCGTATAATGGTCGTATACAATAAAAAGTCAATACTGACCACTTGACGAACATATTTCCAAGGATGAGAAAATCTACGCTCACGTGTTTAACCTTTAAGCAATATGTCAAAATGGTCAAAATTGAAAAGATTTCATGTCTCTTGGCGTGAAAAATATCCGTTTTAACGGAAAATATTATACCTGAATGTAATTCGAGGAGAAAAAAAGACTTGGAAATGGATATTCGTCAAAATTTAATGGAACAAATTACAGAACACGACCATGAGTCAAAAACGACTGTACCTATCTCAAAACTCAGCAAGTCTTTGCCAATTGGTGTACAATTATCTTTGACTGTTGTGTTTACAACCCTCTATGCGTTGTTGTTTTTGCTTATATGGATGCAGTTAATACTAATTCTTGTCTATAAACACAAGCGGATTTCGTATCAAACTGCATTTTTATACATTTGTTTACTGTGGGCTGCCCTTAGAACTGTTCTATTTTCATTTTACTTCAACGACAGCTGTAAAGCAAATGAGCTACCTCTCTTCTTAAAATGGTTGCTCTATTCATTTCCCATATTCTTGCAGTTCTGTACGTTAAGTCTACTGGCGTTATATTTTTCCAAAGTAAGTGCAAAATTGAATTCTTAAAATACATGTAGCCTGTTAATTGTACTTTAATTCGTCGATTTTAGGTTGTGTTAAAATCCTTGACGACATACGAACCTCATGTCCGTTACAGGTAAGTTTGGGTTTGATTTAAGTTATAAAGTTTGAGGTTTGTTTCATGCATAATGAAAATACATACTATATGTCTGACCATTACAAACGTTGTTGAGGAAAATGTTTAATTTTATGTGATCTAATGTGAATTGACAAGAACCTAGTTATCTTGGATCGTTGAAGCAGAAACATATTCAGCACTTTTGAGATGAACATCAAATTTGTCAGTGCAAACTTTTTTCCACAACGCATTCCTTGTAAATATCTTTATCATTTCAAATATACTTTAAAGAATTATTCATTCGTAGTGAAGATGGCTCAATTAATGCCTAAGTAAAACACATTTTCTCCAAAACAATTTGCTATTTATCTAAAACCTGTGATTAATCTTGCTAGTCTTTCCTATTCAACTTTTCTTTCTCATTAAATGGAAAAGACTAAACAATAAGTTGTTTTGTTCTGTTATTAAAAAGTAACTTCTGTGATTTTATTTTCTAGGAAACAGCGCTGTCTGTATGCAATATTTTTTGGTGTTAACTTTATCTTTTTGACACTAAATGTGACAGATGTTATACTGGTGGAATATGAGACTTGTTGCACAGCAAATATAATACTTACAAGGGTTATTGTGAATGAATCACTTTTTATTTTCACATCATTTGCTCTCTGTTATTGTATAATAAAGGTTTGTTTTTTGTAATATTTCTTAGTACATGTTGAATTTGAGCACAGTAGTATTTAGATCTATGCATGTAAACATATTTGTTTTTAGTTATCAAAGGCCTCTACAGGAAACTTGTTACTTGAAGGACAGGTTTGTTTATAGCTATTTTGGAAGAAATAAAATGGTTGTATGTGGTTGTTCAAATAAAATGTGGAATTTGGAATTTGTCTTTCATTGAAGGGAACTAGTTTGTGCCAAGCTCTTATTGTTTCTACCATCATTGGTTTGGTTTATACATCACGTGCTGTTTATAATATTATTGCTGTCATACCTAAAGTTAAGCTACCTACATTTGGCTATGGTTGGATAAATGTTTCTGACGAGGTTATTACAATGTTTACCATTTGATCATTTTGTTTACAAAATTGTATTTTACAGTGTACAGTGTTAAATTAGTTGATCCTTTTAGGGAGAAGCAGTGGAAGGAAAGGATTTGACAACACATGCGGCAAGAAACTATGGATATGCTTCACTAGGAGTTGTCCTTTTCTGTTGGGAATTTCTACCCACACTTTTCGTGGTTGTTTTCTTTCGAGTGAAAAGACCACAGAGAGGCTTGGTAAGCATGTTATGATTGCTGATAATATGTATTATGTTCATTGCTGCTTTAATGTTGTTTATGAAATTTAATAATTAGGGTTCAATGCTCTCTACCAGTAAAGAGAACAGAAAAGCCTATTTCTTCGACAATGATAACCGTTATAATTCTGAAGATGATCTTCCTGGGAGCACACAGAATTTAGCGTTTGTAGATTATTGAGTTGTTTGAGATACAACTAAGATGTTTTTGCCTAACAATATATTGTTTATTTTTAGTTATGATATTCCTGACAATGGCAGATCTAACCAAGGACCTTATACAATCAACAACTCTAGTTTGCATCGAATACACTCATACGGCTCCACTGGTCAGTCTAGTTCTACACGGTCACCTTATAGCTATCCAAGTCCAATAAAAGGAATTACTCCTACAAGATTGTTATCAGATGGTAATGATTCATTACTGGCTACAAATGGTCGTTTTGACAAAAAATAATTCTTGTGGAATTAATTAATTGATGACTGTACAATTGATCTATTAATCAAAAAACAAGACTCAACATTTTACTATGCATCAAAGCATCAAAGGACTTTGGTGGGAATAAGTTTTATAGCATTTGATCGTTATTTAAAGGTCATATCACAAATTACTAACTTTCGATTACATTAGATTTTGTAATTTAAAAATATGAGAAAATTCATAATAAATCAAGCGTGTTTTTAGTCATTTTGCCTCTGGCTACTTTTAATCAGTATGAAAGCAATTTTTAAAGGTAATTTTGAAAACAATGGCGTCTGCATCAGAAATCGCTCGTCGTTGTGGTCCATGCGATATCCTATTTGATCACAAAAAATCTTCCATGTCGTTATCCACTGTTGGTTTGCCAATGGATTATGTTACTGCAGTATTTTCTAAAAACTATGGCAGGAAAATAATGCCTGAGTACGAAACAGAAATTGACAAAGCTTGGCAAAAGAAAAAGGAAACTCAATCAAATTTATACAATGGAGCAAAGTTTCGTTTAAATGGTGTCACGAAAGAGGAAAAAGGCATTAAGTTGCAATTTGGTCTTACTTGCTACAAAGATTTTCAATGCACTAACATGCAACCAAAGTCGGTTTTAGAAAAGCTACAAGAATACGGAGAAAGCAAATTCAAAGATATTTATGCGTGTATGGTTAATCCTACCTTCTCTACTGTTTTGGTGAAGTCAAACGATGATCATATTGTTATGCTTAAAAGAAGTCATATGGTAGGCGAGTCTCCTGGAATGATTGACTTCCCTGGTGGTCATATGGAACCAAATGTAAGTATGGCATACATGCCTGCATATTGCCAAAAATATTTCCGACAGGCTTACATCTAAAACATGCAATAATAAATGTGATGTAGAGCTTATTCATTGTTTGGTTTGGCTAGGAAGTTAACAAAGACGAGCAGAATGGAAATATGTGTACTTCTAATATTGTTAAAGAGTTCTTTTATTCTGCCTTGAGGGAAGTGAGAGATGAGGTGGTACACACATATATAATTTTATAGTTATTATTGTGATGTTCAGTTATTTCCTTACGTTTATCTTTAACCAATGTTAGGTTAATCTCCCTGAATCTTCAATGAACTGGCCATTACTGTTAGGAATTATTAGAAACAATACAATTGGCGGGAAGCCAGGTGGATGCTTTTTTATCAGGTTTTCTGCATTTATCTCATTCCATTAAAAATGAAGCTCCTCCACAAAAAATGCCTGAATGTCAAAATTCGCAATTTGTTGTTCTAGTTGTTCATACGACACTGATGAAATCAAGAAATTGTATAATCAAGGAGGTTCAGAATCATTTGAATCCACTGAGATCATTTTCATCAAGCTTAAGGTAGGTAATGGTTTAATAACATCAGGGGTGTATTCATTTTAAAATTTTGTTGGTTGATGATTTATATTTGTAAGATTTATCAATTCTCTTTTCTCTAGGATCTTTGTGATGTAAATTCTGAGCATTTTTCAAAGCTAACGGCAAGCATAACTACTTGTGCAGCAGCTGCTTGTGAACTGTTCAGACCATACATAAAACAAATGTGAAAATTTTATTATTTTTTTAAAAGTGAATATAAATTCAGTCATTTGATATTTAGGTATAAACAATTGTAGATTTACCAATGCTGTAAATATTATTACTTTTTGGTGATCAGTTATCTTTAATATTTAATAAATATGAAGCTCATCGCTTATGACGTAAAAGTATCAAGTTATGAGACATTGTTACTTAAGACGTATCGATGACGTTTTACGACATGACTGTTATGCGAATGAGCGAATATTGAAGAAAAAAATTTGTTTAATACAGGGGTTATACAAAGTTCATCATGGCTGAGCTGACACCGGCAATTGAATTTCAAATACTTGAATTATATAAGTTTCTAGTATTGTGTATTGCTTAATATTGTTGTGCTTGTGTCTATATTATCTTCAATGGCTTCTGTGAAAGTGGCCGTACGCGTTCGGCCTCTTAATCGAAGGTAAAATTGTATTTATTGTCGTATGAGCATTAAATTCTCATATTGCGAATGTTGATGTTATTAAAAAATAAATAATATATTGTTTTTAGTTCGATGTTGATCTCCTTTTTTAACATTTAGAGAGAACGAACTGAACGCGAAATGCATAATAAAAATGGAAAATAATAAAACTACAATTTATAGCTCTCATGTAAGTGTTATGTCCATGAAGTTGGTTTGTTTTTAAAAATTTGATAAAATCTTGAAAGTTCTTTTGAGTGTACGTGGGGCCGATGTGGAACTAGAAAAAAATGTCATAAATTTGCATTATTACAGGGGGAAGAAGAAAAAAAAGACTTTACGTTTGATTTCTCATATTGGTCATTCAATAGCCGTGATAGACATTTTGCCACTCAAGAAAAGGTAGTCGCTATTTATTTAAAAGTCAAAGAATGAAAGTATTGCGTAATATTGTGTTGAATTTGAAGTGTTGTTTTTGATATTAGTCCTGGCCAAGTTTAATTGCATTTGCAATGACAGGAAATATGACATATATGCTGAGCTTACATTAGTTTATATAACTTCCTTGTTGGAAGATCACAAGAACTTTACTCTACTTTCTTAAAAAAATATATCAGTTGGTGAAGAATGAAAAAGTGGCAGTATGAATGCATGACTATTTCTTAGTTGTGTTACTGGTTTATTGTGTATTTTTGATTTCTCTTCAGTGCATGGAACAACATTTTTAGTAATATGCTCTACATGTTTGTTTTAAAACATATCATACTTAAGATTTATAATTTTTTAGGTATTTAAAGACTTGGGAGTTGATGTTCTTAACTCAGCATTTGAAGGCTACAATGCTTGTATTTTTGCATATGGTCAAACTGGTGCTGGAAAATCATATAGTATGATGGGCTCTGAGGTATTTATATCAGCTATCACATACATTATTTCAATGTTATCATTCAAAATCAATTTCTTTAAACTGTTGTATTGCATAAAGTAAATGGTTTGAACCCTGGAGTATTGCTACATGTTTGTAAATGTAGATCGTTCAGTTTGGTATAGTCCTGAGAAGGACTGTTTATGTTGTTGTTGACTGACTCTGAGAAGGACTGTTTTTGTTGTTGTTGACTGACTGGCTCTGTTGTTTTTTGACTCTGAAGATGACTACCGCTAAGGTTGTCGAAATGTCAGTCAACAACAACAAAAACAGTCCTTCTCAGGACTATACCAACCTGGACGATCTACACTTACAAACATGTTGTATTGCATCTTACTTGCATGATTTCAAATTAGTTTCCCTTATGCTGTTTTCAAGTAAAAACTGAAACATACATTCCAATTTCATCCAGTCAAAATGAAACAGATATACAAAGCTTTGAACAAACTTACCATTAGAGCTGTTAGATTTTTTGCAGTTTGGTGCTCAAAATGTATTTTCCATTTGTCATTTTAGGGAGCTGAAGGCTTGATTCCTAGAATATGTGAGGTAATTTATCTGGGGATTTTGTATTTATTTGTTGTTATGAAACTTGATGTTTAAATCTTTGCATCTTTTTATCAGGGTTTGTACTCGCGTATGAATGAAAATAACAACAAAAAAACAGAATTCAAAACCGAAGTGAGGTAGAATTGGTATAATTTCATGTTAAGAATACAAATTCAACCAACTGTATTGAGATTATATAAAGTATTCAACCCTTCACTGTATTTTTTATTGTCATATAGTTATCTTGAGATCTACAATGAGAAAGTAAGGGACCTATTAAGACCTTCCAAAGGCAAGGAACAGTATAACTTAAAAGTTAGAGAACATCCTAAAGAAGGTCCTTATGTGCAAGGTAAAAATTGATGTTGTCTTCATGTTGTAAAAAACAAGTAGAAAAATATTTATTTTGGGAGTATATAGAAATGTAATTATATAGGGTTAGGCAACACAATAATCTGGCAGAGAACGTGCATATGTATGAATTCGTTTGATAAGAAATTATTAAAACTTTAAGTCGGTTGACTTTCAGCTTTTAACCTGCAATAGTATTTTCACAATCGCCAACTGACTGCATGTGTTTGTCTTGAAAATTTTTTGATCTTTTTTATACAGATTTAACAAAGCATTTGGTTGGTGATTACAAAGGCATAGAGAATTTAATGAACACTGGCAATTCTCAAAGGTTTGAAGATACCAATCCATTCAAATTCAATTTGTATTTATCATTTGCTCATTTCAATTTGTGAAATTTGTAGGATAACAGCTGCAACCAACATGAATGATACAAGCAGTAGATCTCATGCTATTTTTACTTTAGTCTTTACTCAAGTATGGATACGTTTTTGTTGTTTAGTTTATCTACGCACATGAACATGTGTTTCTTGTTCATTAGGCAAAGTTTGATACAGATATGCCTAGTGAAACTGTTAGTAAAATACATCTGGTTGATTTAGCTGGAAGGTAAGAAGGTACAGTTTTCTAATCTGCAAGTTGAAATAGTGATTTAACGACATAGTTTAGTTCATCATAATTAATCTAATGTTTGATCTTGAGTCTTCATATTTTCCAGTCTTGTGTCTTCATCAGGAGTGATCTGATGTTGAACCTTCAGTCTCCATTAAATATACTGTTTTTTTATGTTGATAGTGAAAGAGCAAGTTCAACAGGGGCAACAGGGGAAAGACTAAAAGAGGGAGCAAATATCAATAAATCTTTGGTTACACTTGGCTCTGTAATCTCCGCATTGGGTACGTCCTCATCTCTTTCAAAGTTTTTTGTTTTGAAGAAGTATTTTTAATATTAGAAATGAAGAGGTTTAAATTGTGATTTTCATACTGTTAAAACAGCTGAGCAATCTGAAAGAATGTCAAACATGAACAGTGGAGGAAAGGATTCAAAGAAAAAACTTTTCATTCCATACCGTAATTCTGTACTAACATGGCTTCTCAAAGATAGTCTTGGAGGAAATGCAAAGACAATTATGATTGCTGGTGGATACATATATATATATATACCTTTATCCCTTAAGTATACATACCTTTGTCTATTAAGTCAAAATTAAATTATTTATCATGGTCAATTTTCCCCCAGCTATTTCACCGGCAGACGTGAACTACTCTGAAACACTGAGTACATTACGATATGCAAATCGAGCCAAAAACATCGTCAATAAACCAACAGTCAATGAGGTTAGCATCTTGTTCGTAATATCTACAACGATATGTAGATTGCGTCGAAAATTCCATTATACATAAATACATGAACATACTATACGTACATAGATTGAGAAAAATAATCATAGAATAAACTATTTATAGATTGAGCATTGTAGTATATCACTTTATATACATAGCTGTCTCCATGATTGTTTCGTGAGTTATTTTTTTGTCATTTTTTCAAGGACGCCAATGTTCGATTGATTAGAGAACTTAGAGCTGAAATTGAGACACTGAAGGCAATGCTACAGAAACAGAATACGGTACGTTGTAGCATATTTTTCTTAACCCCATTCTGTTTTTCTTGTCTCTCTTTGTCTTTCTGGATGATAGTTTGTTCGTCGTTTATCTCTCTCTCTCTCTCATGTTTTTTCCTTGTTTTTTTTTATCTGATTTTTTTCATTTTTCGTTTTTTTCTGCTCGAGTTTTTTTATCTCAGATATTATATATTTGTACATGGCAAATGTTACTATTGTTTTTGTATCTTAACTTGGTGATTTTTTCAGCTTTTTAATCTCTTTTTTTTATTTTACCTTGTGAAGTCCGGAGGAATTCCTGGAATTGGACAAGCGGAAGAAACACTTATGACTGCACGGCTACACGAGAACGAAGCTAAAGCCGAAGAGCTTACACGTAACTGGACTAGCAAATGGAAAGAAAGTCATAAGATCATCGAGGTTGGAAAAATCATTCATTATTTTATTTCATCCATATTTCTTTATTTTCGTTTGTTTCCAATGTTCAAAAATTTTTTTAATGTTCAAGGAGAGAGCTTTAGGATTTCGTTACGAAGGAGCTGGGGTAAAAATGGAGTCTGAACTACCTCATTTAGTTTGTATTGATGATGATATCTTAAGTACTGGCATTACAATGTATCATTTGACGGTAAGTAATAGAAAATATTCAATTTTCCAATAAGATACTCATTAATTTCTAGGGTAGGGTTTCGTGTTTCTTTCAATAGTTTAAATGTTCGTTGCCAAGTCATAGGATGCTCTGTCAAACTCATTATTATTATTATAATATATGTATGTATATATTATTATTATGTATTATTAAAGATTGACATATGCGATCCAATCATAATGGGAATCGTATCTTGTAATTTTTTTATGAAAATTTCAGAATGAGATAGCTCAACAACAATAGGGCAGAGGTTGTTGATAATCGTGCCTTTTTATGTTTGAGAAAAAATGTAGAATGTATTATAGTTAATATTAAAGTCAAGGATGTTTTGATTTTTTTACATTTTGTCATTGAAACCTTTATTTTTCTTTGTTCAGGATGGTAGGACTTATGTGGGAAAAGACGATGCGAAAGAAAAACAAGACATCAGTAAGTTTTCACGTCTTCCTTTCTTCATTACATCGTGTATTTTCATCGCGAAGAGTCATTTGACCTTACGCAGTGTCCATTGACATCACTTACTCCCTAAATGTTATGTCTAATTGTCATGTATCATTTGATATCACGTGTACCACAGGTGATATCACGTGTACCACAGTTGATATCACGTGTACCACAGTTGATATCATATAATATGATTTACCATCATTTGAAATTATTTAGCATAATTTAGTATTACACTATATCAACTGCTATAGGTTGTCATAGTTATTTAACATGTTCTCGTCAATCTTAATTTATTTTTTTAAACATTCATCAATTTAATATTTCATCTCTCAACGAATGTGTTTCTTATAACGGCTATTTTGCTCAGCCCTGAACGGTCCTGGCATCGAATCTGAGCACTGTATCTTGGAAAGCATTGAAGGTCATGTGACTGTGCATCCTTTGTCAGCATTGTGCTCGGTCAATGGTGAAGTGATTGCCGAATCTCAACGGTTAAGACAAGGTTAGCTTAAAACACAGAAATTATGCTATTGTGTCTAGCTTTATAATATATTAATCCTAACACGGTTTTTAATATGCACATGAAAAACATGTGACTTGGACGAACTCGCACCTTCGGGTACTAGTCCGCTTGTAGCGGGCTTGGTAGCTCAACAATTAGAACGGCGGACTAGTACCCGAAGGTGCGAGTTCAAATCTCGTCCAAGTCACATGTTTTTCATGTGCATATTAAAAACCGTGTTAGGATTAATATATTATATATTCTCTGATGGTGTCTAGCTTTTATTGTCAAACTTCATTTGTGATCAAAGTTCAAATGCCGTGCCAGCTAAAAGTTGTTTTCTTTCAATTCACGTTTGCACTTCATGAATACGTTCATTAAGGTCTGTCACTTTGCATAACAGTGAAATTTGATTAATGTGAAATGATATAAAGTGTGTGTTTTTATTCAATACATAGTGAAATTTGTCAGTTTAAGAAAATAATTAATCGGCTGCTTCATTTCCTTGAATGTCTCAAAGAATTCCTTAAAAAAATTTTTTTGCTTCCTTTTGCAGGAATGCTGCTTTACAATGACACTTGCATTTATGTAATAAATTTTCAATGTGTAAGTTAGTATTCTGCTCTTTAGGTGATGTACTTCTACTGGGTAAAACAAACACATTTCGTTACAATCATCCCGGCGAGGCGGCAAAATTACGCAAAAAACGAATGGTTAGTTTCAATAGTTGGCTTGGTAAATCTCCAAATATTTCTCAGAATTATAGCATTGCATGGTCTAAGCTCTCTTGGAAATATATCGAAATTTTCCTTGACCATCTTTTTAGTTCCAATCTATGGACAATCTTTCCTCGAAAGAGACCGACTTAGAGAAAAAGCCGTCATTTCTTCTCTACAATGCCAGGTAACAGCACTATGTCATTAACAAACCATTAGTTAATGAGTAGGTCATCAAAACAATGTTAAAATGTCGAAAGCTATTTCACTTGTGATTATTTTTTTATTGATTAACCTTTCATCAAAGTTGGTGGGTTTTCATGTTTACTGTATATTACGATTTCGTTATAAAGTTTGGAATTAGAAAGACAGTATATGGAGGAAACCAAAAGAATAGAACAACAAAGGTATTGTCTTCTTCTTATGGCTGAAGGAATATCTTTAACTGTTGTAAAATCATTTATCATTTCTTCATTAATATTACATTCATACTTCTTTATTTGTTACTTTCACTAGGTTAGAAATGGAGCGTCAGCAAAAGGAAGCTGCTGATCGACTAGAAAAGGCGAGGTGGGCGGTATTATTTGATAAATAGTAGTAAGATAAGGAAAGAAAAGTAAACAAGTGATGTAGAAAAAAAAACGTGGGTGGCATCCCATACTTCACCTAAGCCGTCCATAGTCTGGGGTTCGCTAGCAATCTCCCATTCTCTTAGGCTTAGTTTACGTGAGGTTATTGAATAACCTCAAATACAAGGCATCTATCTTCCTATATAAACACAAAATGTTTTCAAACCTACAAGATTGTGGTGCAGGTTGATATGAAGTGTGCTTCCTAAGTCAAAAGGCATTCGTCTTATGGACAAGTTTTGCGATAGAAATACAGAATGATTATCTTGTTCTGTAAAAAATTACCTGTATGGCTGTGCGTCTTTTGGTCATGCGTACTTAACATGCTTGTATGGTTTTGCTTCTTTTGCGCATGCGTGGTTGCCAAACTTTTTTTTGTTGAAAGTTGAAGTGTGATGTAAAGTTTTCCTTTGTTCTCGACATACAGGCAAGATGTTGAGGCACTTCAAGAGCAACAACGTCAGGCTGAAGAATTAAAAATGGCTGAGGAAGAAAATCGTCGTTTACAGTTAGAAAAGAGAAAGGTTGAAATTGAAGAAGAGAAGAAATTAATTGAAGAACTGAGACAAGAACAAGAAGAGGTTGAGTATTGCTTGGTTGCTTGCTCTTTCTTTGACAATTGTAAAAGTACGACTGAGAACGGTCACAGTCTTTATAATCCCGTGGACATTTTTAAAGAGCTAAAACCTTAGTCTATCTTATTTACTAGACCAAACGTAAGGCAAAACACGAACTAGAATCCTTTCGGGAGAAGATAGAAGAACAACAGAATGAAGAAAAGAGGAAGTTAGATGCAGAAATGGATAGATTGGCATTACTGAAGGAACAACATGATTTGAACGTGGCGAGCAAAGAACAGGAAATACAGAAAATGAAAGATGAGCTGTTTAACAAATGGGAAGCAGAGAAAAAAGAGGTTGAAAAGCAACGAGAGCAAATTGAAATTTTAAGAAGAGAAATCGAAGAAAAAGAGGAGGCCGTGAAGAGAGCTGCGTCACCAGAGATGGCAAAAAACAGCAACAATTCCACAACGTCGTTTTCTAATTTGAATCAAAATATCAGTGGTGTTTCCACTGAGCTCAGGTAATTTTAAATTATTGATATACTTTTATGATATCGACGTTTATGTTAGATGTATTATTTCAAGCCTTGCCCTGTTCCTGAAATTCCCCTGTGTACCATCGTATACTGTGCCTATCTAATTATAACGAACTGCTTTTATTGAACCAAATCTAATGAGCATTGAACGATTGAATGTACGGTGCCATGCAATATATACAATAATCTTTCAAAAGAAATTTTTTTGCAGTGAAAGTTCATCTTCTAAATTGGAAGCACAGTCTCATGTAGAAATGTTACGTAATAAACTGAAGCAACTGGATCTTGAGTTACAGCGCCATCGTGTCATAGCTAAAGGCGAGATAAGCGCAGCGAAAAACGCTGTAAAGTTGGTGGAACAAGAAACACTTCAGGGAAAAAGAAGTTTGGCGAATGGTAAAACGGACATTGAACAAGCCTGGAGGCATCTAGACACCATACAAGCAAAGCACAAGGTACATTTGTTTTATTCTTCTGGATATTATTGTCTTCATGTCTTTGTATCGATCATTGGTAGGTTTGAGTTTCGTAAACATGAGAAACTTAATAACTACGTAATCTCATGTTTTATAACATGTTTATTCTTGGCAGACGTTTGCTTCGTCTACATTACACATTTATTTTGTTCCATCCTATCGTTGATGTTGTATTTTAGACTTTATAGAGTTATAAATAGCATTAGATTTATACAGGGTGACTAAAGAAAAGCAATCCAAATTTCAACGCGCTGATGTGTGCAAATTACTGAATTAATAAACGAGCAGTGAAAGATCGCCATTGGTTTATTTCTAAAGATCTTTAGATGCACATCATGTATTTTAGACTTTACGTGATTTTTTCCAGACTTTATGCTAAGTTTTATTCAGACGTTGACGTTCTTTTCAAGTTTGTTGCTTTAATGAATTATTTTCAATTCTCATCCATCAACAGAATTTTGTGTTTTTTTTTGTGTCAAATAAAATACTATAATATCATTGCCATCAAGAACAGCCATAAAAATCTGTTAAATCAATCAATAATTTCCATTTATGTAAAAAAAGACGAAATTTGGGCCAACCGTGTTTATGTGAATTGTGTTTGTAAAGACTTCAAACTATTTTTCTTTCTTAAGTTATACTGAATTGACATCCTAATGCATTGAGACGAAAGAAATAAAAGCAAGTCGTTGCATTCATTAGAGATATTTTGATCTTTCAAAACCTTTATTGCGACGATAGGTACTTGAAGAAGATTTGTTATTGAAAATCAATGAAATTCGCGAAAAATTGGAAAAGGCTGAAGATACGGAGGAAGCTGATCTCTTGGAAAAAGAGAGAGTTATAATGGAGCGACGGGCTGCTAGGATGAAGGTTAACACTTTAACAAGTCGATTAATTTTCTTGGTTTCAATTAATGAATTATGTTTGATTTGCTTTAAAGGTCGAGGAAGCCAGGCGACAGATTGAAGAATTAGAGAGCGAAAATAGAACCATGGATCTTGGCGAGGCTGACTTTAACAAGAAAAAAGAATCCTTAGAGATTGAAGCAAAAGAAGAAATGAAAGACATCAGAGAAGAAAGAAAGATATTACTAGAACTGTTAAGCAAGCATCAAGTTGCTTTAACGAAAGCGACGCAGATGGTTACGGAGACTAAAGTGAAATTGGAAAATTGCCTAGAAAACGAGCGTTTGACGTTACAGCCGCAACGTGAGAGAGTCGAGCTTCTTGTTCGAAATGAACTTGGACCTTTAATAGAAATGGAAGGAAACGTTGAAAGACGTTGTGAGGACTTAGATCGTGAAAACCGTGAAAGGAAAAAGCAAATTTATAAACAACGTAAACGGATTACTTTTCTTGAAAGGCAGCATAATCAGGCACTACAACAGGCTGAGAAAGATACTCTTAACAAAGATGAATTGGAGGAGCTTGAAAACGAGAGAGAGGCTGAGAAGAGCTTAATTCGAAAAGAAAAACTTCGCTTACTTGACATGGAAAAGAAACACAAGGAACATCAAGAGATTGGTGAGATGACAATAAGTGAAGCTGTCGAAGAATTGGAGAAGAGAAAGGCAAGTGTTAACGTAGCACTTACACAGGAACGCTCAAAACTTGGTGAAATGGAGTCGGTGCATAAAGAGACTTTGGACTTTATAGAACGTGAATTGGAAGAACGTAGTGGTATATTGCGAAGAGTTAAAGAAAAAGTGATGAAGGATAAAAGAACTTTAGCAAAACTTGATGCAAGACAGCAAAGGGTGGCAGCTAAAGCGGCTGAAGAACTATTTATGATGGCAGAAGTTCTCGAGAAAGAGATGACAGCCAAAGGCAAGTTTGATGAACTTGCTAAAATCAAAGAACATCGCAAACGATTACAAGATCTAGATAAGCAGCTAAAGATTGCCGAAAAAAAAGAAAAAAATTCTAGACTTGGCGTCGGTGATGACGCCAATCAATGTGTTTTAATATAAAATAGTGGAGTAGATCGCTGATATTTTTGTTGTGATGTAAGACTCAGATCAATAAGAAGATGCCGTGACAGATCTCTGCACGCAATCTTTTTGACTGCATCAAAATGATCAAATATTTAGGGCAAAGTGAAGTATTTTTTTATTCATTGTATTGAATAACTAGAGCGATACATCTCATCATAAGTTGTTTAATGAATACCTTTGTGACAACTTATGTTCTTGTATAAACTGTCTCAGGTGTGTTTCTATGAATCCAGCTGTGCTAGTGCAAGTGAAAATTGCTATTATTTAGAATTTTCGTTTTTAGTTTTCGCTAGTAACGATTGGTTTTGAATAATCGGTTTTTAGATGCGCAACGTCAAAGGCTTTATATAAACACACCTTATAGCCTGGTCAATTATATTACAATATATTTAATTCATTGCTATGAATGATAAGCTAACAAATGGCTATGACGAAGACCAATAATGAACTGGTTTATGTAATAATATTTAAAATCGTATGTACAACGCACTATTTAATTACAATTAGGTTATAGAATTTGCCTGGAACACGTAAATTTGAATAAGTTGCTACGTTGCTTTGGGAAACCATTTTCTTTTGCTCCGATTCAACTTCACACGTCAAGTGATACAGTGAAGAGTTGTTTGATAAATTAGACCAGGAACGTTTCTTGTTTGAAAATCAGTAACTAGTTTTCTTGGTAGTGGTAGTTGGCAATCGCAGGTCGATTTTAGTGGAGAAATTTATTTAATAATAAAAATTCGCTTTAAATTTAAAATTGATATAACCAATAAATGAACATTGAGTAATATGATAAATAATACCAAATAAATATTATAACAAGTATTTATCTGCAAAACACTCTGAGTGATGGTGAATGCAAATATTTATTTTGAAAGTACTTTTGCGGCATGGTCAGAAGCTTCGATGTTTAGTCCTCCAATTTTTCGTTTGATTCGCAGTCGACACAAGTATCTTAATATACAGAAGGAAATTGAGCATTAATGTTTGTCAATAACTGCGCGTGAAAAATGTGCTCTTATGCTATTTACATTATACAGTTTGTTTGACTATATTTTGATTTTGAATGGTGATCATGATCGTGTTAAATTGTAAATGCACAACCTCGTGACCTGAGTGTCGAATTCCAGTTTGTTTTTTTATCTAAATTTCATTTTGAATAAATTTTCTCGTATCTCCATCAAATCGAACATTCGCCTTCCTCGAAGTGTTTGTTTTCCAAGTTTTTGTTCGTCAACACATTTTAAAGCTGTGTTGAAAAGACGTGTGGTGTCATTTTATTGTGGTCTACAAATTACATTATTTCTACAATTGAAGTTTGAACTAGATGCATTCAAACAGTGGTCTTTCGACTCTGTGTTTTTATTGAAGACCAACTTTGGGTGAGGAGTTTTATAATTTCGAAAGTTTCCATCAAATTTTCATAGCCACTACTCTGGATTTGACATAGCACATATTTTGACTTGTACTTTCAAAGAATTTGAATTATCAATCCAGAAAATAACAATTTTTTTCTGTAATTCATGTGATATGTTGCACTAGAAATACGACAAAATGTATAAATTAAGAGAATTAGGACCCCAGTAAGAAAAAGCAACGGCTATAAAGCTGCTCCAATATAAGAATAACCAGCAAAAAATAATCGTGAAATCTAGAGGGCAGGAAACTGATCCCATCCGCAGGAAAACAAGCCTTTGCGCGACTTTTAGCTAACATTGTTGAATTAATTATTTGAAAACAAAAACTATCATGGCGCAACATCCTATTGAACAAATTTTCACCAAAATATAATTCTCTATCAAAATAGACCTACAATTGTCAAATGTCACAGCAGGCTGGCTATTCAATAATTTTCTCATAACGAGACGTTTCTCTGCCAACTATCATCAACTTATCTCTTCGCTGTACTGCACATTGACAGCCACATTGTAGTAACACATAAACTTTCACTTCAATCTAAGATTCTAGGAAGAAGCTCGACTCTGACTGCAAAGTTTAACGTTTCTAGGAAAGCTTCTCTATATAGTAACCATGTGTCCAACAGTTCTAGAAATATATTTTTTTCTTCTCTGATATCTTTCATTTCCTCTTAAGCTTCAACATTCGAGAATATTTTTTTCTTGTTAAAATCAACCTCGCTAAATCCATGGTTTTATTTCTAATTCTTCAATCTGTCTCAAGGCTCCCTCAACGTTTAAAGCAAAAATAAAATTTAATCCGCACAAATTGAAACCTAGAAGATTAATAGGTGTACGCTCATCAACTCTCTTATTTTTTCAGAGGTCAGCTTTCTTTGTATCCATAAGTTATTGGAAGAATCTCGATGAGATTGCATAAGAAAATAAACAATTAACAAGTTTAGTCAACTTTTTTCATTAATTGATTTAAGGTACTCAGCGGGAACGTCTTTCTGGCTGTAGTCATAGGAAACTTTGGTGTTCGGAAACGTTGAAGATTTGGATGTACATTAGTAAGAGAGATGGATTTCCCATAACATGTTTCCATTTGTGTATTGATCAGAGTCATCCCATAAAGTTTTTCTCCCGCTACACTGTACCCTCTCCAAAAATTTAGTAGACATAAAATATGTTCAATATTCACATTGATGATGAGCCAGGGGGTAACTTTTGCTTTATCAACACACGTGGCAATGTATCAATGAAGATCTGTCAGCACAATGCTTGTGCTGGAAAGATAAGACGGATCAGATTAAAGTACGATTTCATCAAACTTAAACTCCTACGAACACAAATACGCCGCGTTCGTCGACGAGAACTGATGTCTCCCTGTTTTCTCTTCGATGTCAAGATTTGAAGCGTTATCACAGTTGTTTGTCTGAGCTGTACAAAACAACATCAACTGCGTTAAAATGCGCAAATATCATTACACAATGTGGCCATTGTTCGACCGAAGTTCGTATGTATTTCTATTTTGTTTATTTGTGGGAATTTTTTCCCTACAAATCTCTGCTCAAACATTAGATGGAGCTATTCACGATGTCACAGCTCCCCTAGAGATTTTGAGGAGTTTCACGAGACCAAAGACCAACTACTCAGGGATACTTCACATGAAATATACAGTCAAATATGAACGGGATTTCAAACTAGATTCAATAAATGAAGAATTGTGCTTATCTTGGGAAGAAGCTTGGCCTAGCACAGGCGATCGCATGGATACTTTCCTCCATTTTCGTAAGAAGAAGAACTCCACTGACCGTTCCACAAAGTCAACAAATGTGACAGAAACTTCAAAAAAGCAAAGAAGCAAAAGAAGAATATTTCGTAATGATAACCGTGTGCCAATTTCGTTGCGTCGTTATGGTCACAGATTTCCATTTGTAAGTGTAGTGAAATTATCCACAGGATGTACTGGAACCCTTGTATCGCCGCAACATGTCCTAACTGCCGCGCATTGTATTCACAATCAGAGCGATTACGTGACAGGATACAAAACACTGAAAGTGTGCATACTACCAAAGTCAAGATTTAGCAGAAGAAGATTTCATTGTATTAAAGTAAACAGCACTTTTCTGCCCATGGGCTGGCTCATAGGAAACGAAAATATTGCATCACGATTTGACTACGCTCTCCTGAAACTTGAACAGAAGCACACGAAACCGTACTTTGAACTGGACGTCTTTACTACTAAAAGACTATGGAAAATACGACCACCCATTCTTCATTTTACTGCGTTTGAAGATGACAAACCACCCAACACACTGTGGTATAGGTATGATGTAATTACTAGTGTTCGTTTTATCATTTTAATGCTTCAAAACAACCACTGCGTTGCGTATGTTAGTTGTGTTTGTCATTGTATGAATTCACCTCATTACAAACATTTAACAAACAAAACCACTACGACACCGAGACAGTGATACAAAATTTGACCTTATGACTGATAAAATTTTCACGTGTGTTGCTGACGTTGTAGCTTTTATAGCAGTCAAAACATTTCATGTTTTATTCCTTAAGGCGCTGCCCGTTACAATATATGGATGATCATGTCCTATACCATCATTGTGACGCGCAACCAGGATCCTCGGGGGCTGGTGTCTATACATTTACCAAGTTTCGAAAAGAATGGAAACGAAGATTGATTGGGGTCTTCAGTGGTTACCGTTGGGAAAAGTTTGGATCATGGAAAAGAGCACGTGACTTTAATGCAGCTATACGTATGAGTATTTCTAAGTACCTTCAGATATGTCGATGGATGGGCAGGTACGCGTCCAAGACTTGCAAACGGTTCAAACGACAATATGATTAGTTTATCAGAGACGTTTCAACAGACTTTAACAACTCGAAAAATTTCATATAAAATCACGCCAAATCAACATTCATTATTACTATAAAGCACATTTAATGAATACGACAATTTTTTAAAATAAAGATGTTTCAACATCTCATGATGCCATATCTCAAGTATAATAAAGAATATGTATGTGATGAAAATATATGAGTAATATGATACAGTGATACAATTTATACACTTATGAATAGATTATAAATAAATGTTACAATGAAATATTGGTTAGAATTAATGACGAGTGCATTTACAGGCTGAATATAGTGTTAAAACAAAAACTTTGAAACACGTTTATGTTGAAACATATTTACTTTATAAAACCTCTCGTATTCATTAAAAGCGCATTATCAATACTTCTTTTACGCAGTTATACGGTAACATTCTTATTATCTTATTTCGGACTACTATGAGCTATATATATATATATATTATATTATGTTTTGGTGGGAATATATTACTATGGTTTTACTTTGTTTTTATTTTGACAAAATGTTTACTATTTTTGAAGTAAATTTTCATTTGTCAATAGCACATTGTAAAAAGGTGAATTCAGTCTGCCCCCTCCCCCTCGCGTTCATGTCAATAATCATCTATCATATTTTACACAGCAAAGAGGCTTTATGCGTATCTATGACCAGTAGAGACAGAGCCGCGACTGGTTTGAAGCCTTGAGCATTGCTACCTGTTTGAAGATGTAGAGCATCATCGTTTAAATAAATAAACAAATAGAACTGTTGGTGTTGATGATGATGGATGTCGTAATTTGTTTTAGACACTCACACGTCTACAACATTTTTACTACATGTCGTGACGTCTGAACTAGACAACAAATAAGGCAAACCTGCTCACGTTAACTCCTAACTAGACTCTGAAGATGACTACTGTCAGTCCTACCGCTAAGGATGTTGAAACGTCAGTCAACATCAACACCAACAGTCCTTCTCAGGACTACACTAAGCTGGACGATCTACATATACATTAAACATGCAACTAATAACAAGGATAATGTATATAGGTTTTTCTTTTAAGTATCACTGCTTTCGTCCTTCGTTATCAGAAAAATGAAGGTGTTTATGATCTGCTGAGTTCATAAACATGCTGTTTGAGAGAATCGCTAGACGTTGATAAAAGCTTAAGACAGTGTTCTTGAAACTTCAGTTTCTCAGGAAGAGACCAATTTTTAAATTGTCTAGACCTTTGACGCTTTTTCTTATTACATCGACTCAACGTTAATTTTTGCAGTGAATCTTTATCGGTGCCTTCTTTCTCCTTATGACACAAGTGTCGAACATTTTCCCTTCGTCGTCAACAATAGAATCGCCACAAGGAGATTTGGACAAGATGGCTAAGACATGCCACAAATGCTCTATGCATTGTCTGGACTGCAAAAAGACAAATAATTAAATTGAGGAATGACTATATGAAACATTGATATTTTATAAACAACATACACGAACAGCTCTAGCTCCATAACTACATAATTTTTCTTCCATCATTCTAGCTGTGATTGAGGAGTTCTTCAAGTGAGCCAACAACGTTTCTGATACAAGACACTCAAAAGAAGATGGTTTCATGGGTATGAAATCACCTTCGGCATTCATACACTAAAATTTCAAATCAATTATAGGTTGAACAATCTTGTACATAGCCCATTTACCATGCAATGATAAAAAGGAAATCCAGTTGACAACGCACGAAACGGTAAACAAGCATAAATTCTTGCTTAATTTTGAGTGTAAAAGTTAATGTTTGGTGAAACTTGAAACCTTAGGATATTGTACAGAGAGTTTCATTTTTAAAACATTACAAAGTGGTAATCGTGACACGCAGTAAAAACTTACTTCGTGAATAAGCGCGTACATATAAGGCTTCAATCGAGTGAAGTCAATATTTTCTCTATTAAATCGCAAGTTATAGCTGACTGGAACACTAAAAAGTCTTTCTTTAAGATTTTGCATCGTTCGTCGATGCAGACGACGAAGCATTTTCAAATGATGCTTCTCCATCTGAAATAAAAGAAAGAAAATTCAATGGAATGAATGATTTTATGATTACGATAAACGAACCAAACTTAAACATGCCTTGTTTTTTGGTGCCGGAGTGATTTGAACTTTTTGCGCTACGTTGTCGTAATAGGCACCAGAATCTTTGAACAGCTTACTGACGCCAAAATTTTGGCTGCTTAAGACGCAGTTCTTATAGAAAACATGTGTAAATTGTCTTGGAGACATAAGGTTGGTAGTAGGTTCATAGACAGAAGACTTGTGGAAGTGTTGCTTTGAAGAATCACTTTGAAAAGTTTCCTCTTTATTCTTAGGTCTTAATTTATAAGTTTTTGTTGTTGTTTCATCTTCATTATCATTAGGTAGTGGTGGCTTTATCTCTTCTGGGTAAGCTTCACCTGTCAAAGAAAAAGATACAATAACTAAAACTTCTAAAACTTTTTCATATCATCACTCATCTCTACGGAGGAGTGGTGTTTGTTTTTTACAGTTCTCCTACAATAAAACAATTGAACTATGAATACTTGGTAATGGTGGAACCCAGTGTGATTTCTTGCATTTTGCTTTAAATCGACAGCGTCCATATTTCATGAATAGAATACACATATCATTGCCAGAAACATCTTGAGGTATAAAACTCCCATTTGCTGTGAATTTTCTCTTCATAAGCGTGTATACCATTAAAACTATCCATGTAAAATGGCAGTAGTTATCGCTTATTGTTATGAAAGGTGGCCTATTCGTGATTCGTCGTTCAGAAATCGGATTGACGAAAATAGCCGAGATCATGCCGAGAAGTAAACACACTCAAACTTACTTCGTAAATTTTTTACACTTACATGTTATGAGAAATTAAAATTTCATCGCAAATCTCAAGAAGAATTTGAAGGGCATTTTGAACATTCTCTCACATTTTTGTGCTTATAGAGTGAATTTTGTATATATACCATAAATTGGGTGAAATTTGAGCAAAACCGTTTAGTTTCATTTGAAAAATTATTATGAAACTTTGCAATAGAAGTTAAGTTCTCACAACTACGCCTAACTTCTGTAGTGGACATCTCATATCATGGCGGCTTGTTGAGTCAGATTTCTTGAATAATGGAATCTGATAATGTGCCTAAAAACTCTTCTTCTCCGGCTCCAGAGTTAGATGTTCTGCCTAAATATACAATACCAGGTATTCTACATTTTATTCAACATGAATGGACGCGCTTTGAAATGGATCGCGCGCATTGGGAGGTCGAAAGAGCCGAACTACAGGTATTCAAAAGTCACTGACAATTATTGTTTGTTAATGTCTTTAAAAGACATGTTCAGTTCCGCCACTTGAATTGTACGTTATATACCAGTGCGTACAGCAAACTAGCACAATATGTATTTTGTTTTAAGCGCACATTTTGAAGTTGTAACGAAAAGATTAAATGACAGATGTACATGTGAAGTTGTTAAGAGTTGAAACTTTTATTCTACTTAAGTTTGACATTATGTAACATAACATTGACCTTCTTGTAATATAGTATAGACATGTATTAAGTTTCTACTTCTCTTTTATTCGCTTGACGACGTTGTGATTTGAAAGTCTCCATATTTGTTTAGGTCGAGGATTTTTATGAACTATTGTTTATGAAACTTGTGATTAATAACAATTAATAGAAACAGTGATAAATCTTTTATCAGATTTTTTATCGTGTATTTTAACCTGTGTAAGCTTCAATCATTGACACTAAGCTTAAATACCACTGTAATGAGAAGATTCACTTATATTTTAATTCATAAAAGTTGATATTCATTGTAATGATTAAGAATTATGAGATGAAAAGATGTTTTAGTGTACTCAATGAAGTTTTCTTGTGATGTTTCAGGCGAAGATTGCTTTCCTTCAAGGAGAGAGAAAAGGCCAGGAAAATCTTAAACATGACCTTATTCGAAGAATTAAAATGCTGGAGTATGCCCTTAAACAGGAACGGTATGTTAGCAATGCTTGTTCTTTTGTTTTCTAACTTCATGACGGACAGCATTGTGTTTCTTTTATTTGCAAACATAGAGCAAAATATCATAAACTAAAGTTTGGCACAGAACTAAATCAAGAAGACCTAAAGCCACCACAGTTCAAAGATCCATCAGGAAATGAAAATGCTGATTCACAGCAAAATAACAAAACTGGTATAAATTGGAGACAAGGCAGACAGCTACTACGACAGTATGTTTAAACTAATTATTATTTCTTATATTGTTGATAAATTACTATTTTTTTGCTCTTATACAATTACTATAATCAATAAATTGTCCTTGATATGCTTTGTATGTTTGTAGATATCTTCAGGAAATCGGCTACACAGATGCAATTTTGGATGTGAGATCATCACGTGTTAGATCATTATTGGGTCTCACTGATCAAAATAATAAAATGGCGGTTGGTGAGGTGCCAAGAGCAAATCATGTCAATGAAACTGAGCAGCTAGTCTCACATAAATATGCACCTACAGAAACAGCAACCAGTGCAAAAGATGATAATATTGTAGTCAAGAGGTACAGTTTTAAGCAACAAAAAATACATTAATCCATAAACACACAAACTGTTGTGAAGGCAAGATAGTCTTGACTTTTGGTGATGTTAATGTTTTGCATCATTCTTGTAGTCATGAGAAGGAAGAAATATCAAATTTTGACTTCATTGAACACGTTGCTCAAGATGAACATAGACATGGTGAGGAGGATGATGGGGAGGATGATGGTAATGCAGGACATGGTGAAGAGGATGAAGGGATGATGGTGGTAATGCAGATGATGAATCAGATGATCGTGATGAACATCTCAATGAAAGAAGACCAAAGAAATCTAAGCATGGTAAAAATTAATTCAAAATCTTCCCAAAGTATTAAAAACATTAAGCTATAATATTGGCCTTGACATTATTTAAGTCTTATGTTTTTTTCCAGATGAGTTTGAAGAAACTGTCATTGGAGATCCAGATGCTGATCAAGCGCTTGCAGAGTTTGATTTTCTAGATGAAGAGAATAAATTGAACATTTCTGATGACGATTCAACTTGCAAAGAACAAGGTTTGTACAATAAAATTAGTGTGAGGTTCTGTTTATAGTATCATGCTCACTTCTCAATTTTTGTTTGTTTGTTAGATCGACATGATGAAAATGCTGATTCCACCAATGTTAGTTGCATGGAAAGCAGTCATGTTTGACTTGTTTAAAGAGTAATTAATGCCAAACTAGCAATCTATACTTTTTCTTTATGCTGGTCTGAGTTTTATATTCCATTTTTATTGTTAGGGAGCAAGTCTCATATTCATAAAACATATTTTCTTAGAATGAATGGGGAGTTGATTCAGCCAAGTTAGCTAAGTTAAAAGAACAATATAAGAAAGATGTGAAACGAAAGAAGAATCAAAAACGTAAACTGACAAGTTTATTATTGTAGTTATTTGATTTAATGTTTTATTTTTTATTACAATTTTTCATTTAAATTTTCTGTATGTTCTAAGGTCCAGGTCGAGGTGCCCTTCAAGAAATGATTGCAAATCTTAATGGTGAAGATGATGCAATTCACAGCTCTAGTCTTGGAATTATTGGCCCTCTTCCCATCAAAATGTCTGGTGGTAGAGCAGTGGCGGAAGTCCCTCCATTAGGTAATGTTACTATCGAGAGAAATCTTACATCGAGTCAAACAATGGTGTAAATGAAACAATGCCCGATAAGAATGATGTCCAGCCTGATGATGGACTGGTGCTTGGTGATCTGGCTGGAATTACTGTATCAAATGAGGCTGATCCTCTTAGTCATGATGTAAGTGTTTTTGTGTGATATCATTGATGCATGAAGGATATTGAAGGATTATGAGTGTGTTGATAGTATATTTTGAAATATGAATTTTTTAGGTGTCCAGTAAGGAGGATGCGAGACAAACGTGGAACTTGAAGTTTACTCTAAGAAGGTGAGAACAAGATGATTAATATTTCTGAGAACAAACTATCATGAATGAAAAATCACTTAATAAAATGATTGTTTAAATGTTGCAGTCATTTTGATACAGTCCGTGCGGTATGTTTCCATCCTCGTGAGCCCTCCATTTTAACTGGTTCCGAGGACCATACTGTTAAATTATGGAACATGAACAAAACAACACCTACTAGAAAGTAAGTGGCTGTATACTTCATCATAGTCACTGAAAAGTTTTCAGATGAAACTCTTTGTTTGAAATTTTCCATTTTAATGTGTACAAGTGGGTTATTTTTTACCGTATTTTAGAGGCAATGCTGTTGAGATTGAACCTATTCATTCGTTTCGAGGTCACAGGTACGATAGAATGATGAAATGTTTCTTTGCCCGATATTTGATTGAAATGTGCTACAATTTGTGATATGCAACAAAAATATCACAACAAAAAGCTACGTCAAAGAAATTTCCCGACGTTTCAAAAACACACGGGCAGTTTCGCTCGAAATGATTAGTATCCAGTTTTTGGAAAACGACTTCTTGCAGTTTCCAGCAAAAGTCACCCTTGAAAGAGCTTGGCTAACATTTGTACGTATAGTCATAGGGTTTGTCGCATAGATTTCATGACCATAGCGAGCTTTTCTGCTCATTCTTTCCGTCAAATGAATGCATGAACATGACTTACGTTTTGTAGTGGAGCCATTTTGTCCGTGGAAATAAACTCTTCAGGTGAAATATGTTTTACGGCAAGTGCAGATGGTACTATAAGATGTTGGAATTTACCATCTCTGGAGGTTGATCCTTACGACCCATTTGGTACGTACATTGACCTTCAATCTTACAGCTTTAATATCATGTAAAATTGCCCAAATGTCTCTTTGTCAAAGAACTTTTGATGTATTGTAGATTTGGTAAACATGCGTTAATGTTAAGTATCTTATGTTTGAATTCTGTGGTATTATTTTCAGATGCGAGTACCATTGGTTCTACGTTGACTGGCCATACAAATGCAGTTTGGGATCTTGCCATTCATCATCAACAAAATCATCTGCTTTCATGTTCGGCAGATGGCACCTGTCGATTATGGAATCCTATAGTTAAAGTTCCCATCGTTAATACTTACTCAGCTAGCAAAGGTCAGTGCCGATTGTAAAGCACATGTGTATATCACTTATAGATACAGAGAGGTTGCATACTTGTTTGGATAGTAAATGATGAAGGTAGGTATAGTAAGGATGTAAGTGCTAAGGATGGTGTGTCAGTGATGGAAGGAAAGATGTTCGTTATGGGGTGTGTTCTACCGTAGATAAACAATCAACAAGTGTTCAACAATATCATCTATCTGCATATTCATTCGCCAGATCTTGAGTGTTTTACCAAACTTCACCAATTTATGTCTTTACTCTAACTTTGTTTATGTGTACAATAAATCCTTTCTTCTTGTGTACATTAACAAAGACTTGTTATAATGCTATCATCTTCATAATGGTATTGCTTTTCTTGTAGAGCAAGGCATTCCTACTTCTGTCGATTTTGTTCGAAATGAAGCAAATCAGTTTATAATGGCTACAACGAAATCAATGTGCTCAATCATTGATACAGAAACTGGCGCTGAACTTGTTGCGTTTGATAGCAATAAAACCTATGGTAAATGTTTTCAATCATATGTATGTTCATGTTTTTTTTTTCGTGGCAAGCAACTGTTCACTATCGTTGTATTTACAAATTAATAAAAATATGACCAACTGTTATATTTTGGAGGAATGCTATCCTATGTAATACATAAGGCAAGCTAAGGCTACGTTATAGATCAACGTAGATGTATTAGCAATTACGTCAGATACCTTGTTGTGAAAGTGATGCACTTTGTTCAATATTTACATGTGGATCATTCGCTTAAGTGCAGTACTTAGGACTCTGAATTTGATGACTACGGCTAAAGATGTCTAAACGTCAGTTTAACACCAAACACCATCAGTCCTTCTCAGGACATTATTAACCTGGATAACCAACATCTACAAACATGTAACGATACTGCCGTGTTCAAATCATTCACATCATCTGTTGTATGAGTAAAGCGATATATCTTTAAAACGTATTCTTTTTGTAGATAATACTCCTGCGACTCAAATTAATAGAGTAATAAGTCATCCAACGATGGGTATGACGATTACAGCACATGAAGATAGATATATTAAATTCTTTGATAATAATACAGGTAATTTTGATCTTTTATATAACATTTCAATCCACTAAATTAATAATAACAAAGTGGATATAATAAATATCTTTGCTAGATCAATGTTGTCTTTAGTGTAAAACGATCTGAACGTGCTCTATCTTCAATTGAACGACACTTGTACATAAGCAAATCCAAGGGGCGTTTCTCTGATAAGATATATCAACCAAACTGTCCCCCATTCTATTTGAAAATATGTTTTATTGCTTTATTGTTTAAGGTAAACAAATTCATTCAATGGTCGCTCATTTGGATGCCGTCACAAGTTTAGCTGTAGATAGTCCTGGACTATATCTTTTATCTGGCAGTGAGTATTTTTCTCTTTCTTATGTATTGTTAATCAACAACTCAAATTCTCACTACCGTAGCTCTTGCGTCAAAATTTCTTTACTAAACTCTAGGTCATGACTGCTCTATTTGCCTTCAACATTTCTTTACTAAACTCTAGGTCATGACTGCTCCTTTCGCCTTCAACATTTCTTTACTAAACTCTAGGTCATGACTGCTCCATTCGCCTTCAACATTTCTTTACTAAACTCTAGGTCATGACTGCTCCATCGCCTTCAACATTTCTTTACTAAACTCTAGGTCATGACTGCTCCTTTCGCCTTCAACATTTCTTTACTAAACTCTAGGTCATGACTGCTCCATTCGCCTTCAACATTTCTTTACTAAACTCTAGGTCATGACTGCTCCATTTGCCTTCAACATTTCTTTACTAAACTCTAGGTCATGACTGCTCCATTCGCCTTCAAAATTTCTTTACTAAACTCTAGGTCATGACTGCTCCATTTGCCTTCAACATTTATTTACTAAACTCTAGGTCATGACTGCTCCATTCGCCTTTGGAATCTTGAAACTAGAACATGTGTTCAAGAGATAACTTCACATCGCAAGAAATTTGATGAATCCATTTATGACGTTGCGTTTCACCCCAGGAAAGCATACATTGCTAGTGCAGGCGCAGACGGTTTAGCCAAGGTGTTTCTTTGACCCACGTGAATACCTTGATGCATCTCATAGTAGTATATACGCTGCGAAACACTGCTTTCCATCAGTGCACAGTACACACTAAACAAGGCTGGAACTCTGGGTGTATTGAAAGTCGTTTTGTATTTATTGTCCTTATTGCTCTCAAATGACAAGTTCTTGTAATTGTTTGTAAAATAGTGATTGCTCCCTCCTCTGTGAGGCGGGAAGGCAAAATCTTTTTTGAAGTCTCTCGTCAAACCTCAACTGTAGAGTAAAGGACAATTCATGAAGTTGGACGATTGCCATCGCGATAAAAATGTCAATAAAGCTTTAATTAAGACAATCAATAATTATATCGTATTGTTGTTAATTAGTAATAATGAATTCATTTTCGAATTGTTTCAATTTACACTGAGATAACAAATTTGATAATTAAGGAGTGTATTCCAAGAGATTAGCTCTTCTGCCATTTATTGGTTTTCTTATACTTATGATAGTATATTGTAGATGTATATGAGCGTTGGATAGGTCGAGTGTGCATTATAAACAGCAGTTCTTTGGCGATGTTGTGATTGAACGCGAATTTCACGATGAAGTGTAGGAATTAACATCACTTTTATGATAGACACAGTCAGCACCGTCTTCAGAAAATATTTTACCGAAGGGATATTAGGGTACTCACAAGATCACTCAAGGTTTCCATAGTCGACCATTAACATCAGGTTTGTGGTAGTGTCGATCCCAAAGCCAGCATTCATCTAATATCGTGTGTAATGAACGTGAAATTTTGAGCAAGTTTATACATTCAAGCAAGAATCACATTTCATACGATTACCTTCGTGTGAGTATGGCAGCAAAGGTAAATCGTATGGTAATCGAAGGCAAATTCCATTTGTGTTGGACTTATCTTTACATAAATGGAAATACTTTTGTGAAAGTTCCTGGTAAAAAATATCGATAAACCTTTATCATAAATTTGCAGGGAGATACCAGCCTCTTGAAAATATTTACGGATTAATATTAATTCAGGGGGTGATAAAGAATTTCTATGTCCTCTATCCGGTACATTAGCGTAGTTATAAGGAAAAGTATTACAACGAGTGGAAACCATTGGTGGAAACCTTAGGATGTTAATAACTTTAATATACTCTAATATACTCTCTCTAATACTCTCTTATATACTCTCTAATACTCTCTTATATACTCTCTAATACTCTCTTATATACTCTCTAATACTCTCTTATATACTCTCTAATACTCTCTTATATACTCTCTTATACTCTCTTATATACTCTCTAATACTCTCTTATATACTCTCTAATTAATATTATATTAACGTAATAAAGTGAATGGTTTGAGCCAGAGAGTATCGTTAGATGTTCGCATAGATCGTCCTGGTTAGTAGAGTCCTGAGAAAGACTGTTGGTGTTGATGTTGACTGACTTTTGGACAACCTTAGCGCTAGTCATCTTCAGAATCAAATCAGGTTCGCCGTAATTGTTGTCTTGTTCATACGTCATCGTATTGTTGTAGAGAAACGAGTTGCAGTCATGCTGTGCTTTTTCAATATGAGTATACAACATACATGTCGCACATAAACCGATAACAAAGTTACGACAATTACTGACGGACGTCAAGGACAAAGAACCAAAAAACGACAACGTGCAGTTTGCAAAATAAACTGCTCCGACTTTCACAGCTCGTATAACGGAGAGGACGGCAGAAACTTAAATTTAAGACTTAGGCCTGTTTCAAACAGGCACCGAACCTTAAAGACAAAAGAAAATGAGATGAACTTCCTCATTGTCTTTTGTTTTAAATGCGTTCGGTTCATGTAAAGATGTAAAGTTGGACGTTTAAACTCGGCCTTACTGAACACAAACGAGATACAAAGAACCAAGACAAAAGCAACCACATTGCAGAACATCACTAACTGACGAAACAGAATATCTATACACGTTACGATCCTGACTTTAATTCATTACTTCACTCTGAAGATGACTACTGCTAAGGCTGACGAAACGTCAGTCAACATCAACAACAGTAGTTCTTAGGAGTCAACTAAGCTGGACGACCTACTTCTAAAAACATGTAACTATATTAACGTGTGAGATAATGATACGTTACATAATCACAAGGAAAGAACACCACGCCAATCTCGTATGATCTGATCATTAACTGACTTTTATTCTTTTCCAGACCTCCCCAAGCGGCCTTCGATAGATTAGCACTGAAATATTATCATGAAATTGACATGCACAAAAAGTCCGAAGATTTTCTAGCAGACGTTTTAAATGTATTGAAAACAAAAAGCCAGCTCGTTACCTCGTCAACATGAACCAAGCCGCCTTATCATTATGTGTCGATACCCTACTGTATGATTTTATATGTGGCGATGCACGAGTACGACCAACATCATCACTTTTCCAACAACTTCAACATCAGAAAAAAGAAATCAAAATTGCAATTCGCATAAATTCTAGTCAGAAAAATTCGCATAAATCCTAGCCAAGTTTAACGATTTTCGAAACAGATTTCTCAAAAATCCTACAGAAAGCTGTTTTCGAAAACTGGACGAGTCAATAAATGTTTAGTCTATTAACCCATTTTTAAACACATAATAAAATTCAAAGTAAAATTTTTACAAACCGAAAAAAATCCTTTAAGTATGGTTGCTTTGTTGCAGTTTTCCAGCTGTAACATAAAGAGCCACCAGCTAAAAAAAGCAGAGTTGTATTTTTATGTTAAAGACCCAATGTTTGTCCGTTTTTCTAGAGATTTCTGACGAAAGCAATTATTTTCAATTTTCATGACGATCAGTGTCTGTCTATTTTAAAGGTACTTTTTATCAGCTAGAACTTCAAGTAAGCTTAACTCACCATTGTAACCTTCCAAACTTGTACGAACATTCTCCACTGTTGGAAATATCTACGTGAATAGAAAAGAGTTGAGTTAATAAAAATGACCAACTCGAATAAACGTTTCAATTCACACTATAAATTAAACAGGTTTAAAAAATTTAATTTAGTGCGGCGCAAGGTACCAGGTGTAAAGTTGAACTGGACGACAAACGTTTAGATTTAATGGTAGTTGTTAAACTTTCCATCCATTCCCCACAAAGCCAGCTTGATGTATCTTTGCCTAAAGAGCCAATACTGGAGAATTGACCAATCACAGGCCACGATTGGATGTCGTCAAAGTCACCATTTTCTTGCAACAACTAAAGAGAAAAAGAGAACTCCCAGAACAAGTTTCCGTTCATTCAGTTCATTCCCAATACAGACGTCATATACGTATATACGGATTACGTATAAAAGCTACAAACCTTCCTAAGCTTCAAATGTCCCCATTTATCTTTATGTACTCCTGTATGTCTTCCTGGTACTGATGCCACCAGGCGAACTCTGGCAATAAAGAGACAAGGAAACATCGACGAAACTCTCGTCAAACGTCCTAGTAAAAATTATATTTTCTCCTTAACTAAAGATTTCTCACCTTGCCTTTGACATATCATGTTTTGCCAATTGACTTTTCCAATCTTTCAACGGAGCAACATCGTAGTGATGAAGATAATCCTGAAGAAATGCATTAAAAAATAACACGCAATAACTTCATGTATTGTATGGATAACCTTGTCAATTACCAACAGATCTTTCTGAAATTCTGACATATTGGTTGCATTTTCCTCAAGGATCTTTGGAAATAGCGGGCTTATCCACACACTAGGAGATCAATAGGTAGATTTTGTATTGGTTTTCTGAAGACAGTTTAATCCACTTCTATTAAACATTGGCAGGTAAAAATGTACCCTTGCGTTTTTTGATGCCAGTCACCAGGAATTAAGTTAGCAGTCATAATCACAACACGTATTCCTTCAGTGTATAATAGCAGCATCATTTTACTAACAACAAAACAGATCATTGCACAATTGTTAGCTATTTTTCATATAGAAGTCTCACACTGTTTATACAACTCACACATTTAAGTACCTGTGATGGGTTCCAAAAGCAATTGGTAACTTTGCCTTTAAATGATATAAGATTACAATTTAATCGAGGAATTCAGGACAGGGTCATTAGGTGATAAAATAAAAAAAAACATTTTGCTTTGCTACTTGCCACATTAAAATTAAAGATCAAAGATGTGTGATGCAAAAAGAAAATTTTCAATAAGAATAGGAAAGCCAAACATATTAAAATGTTGACTTTTTTAAAAATTATTTGTTCAGTTGTCAATAATATTGATATTACCAAGGAAATGAATACTGTTATGTTTATTGGTACTTTGATGGTTTCATCTAAAGATTTTTAATAATGTTCAAATATGTTTCATGTCTATATTGACCGTCAAATACTTAATGTCGCATAATTCATATAAATCTCACTAAATGCAGCTGTCAAAATGAACACTATTCATTGATAAGATGATTGTACCTGACAAAGTGCCACATTAGGATACGGTTCTGCTTGTAACATTAACTGTTGTTTCATCTCATGTTGATGACCATGAACAATCAGTAAAGGCTTTGATCTGTTGTTGAATGATTACATAAAAGCCTGTTCTATTTTGTTAGACCAACTAAATTTTATCACCTTTTGTCAGGTGGGTAGTTCTCCATTAACCAAGGAATGTCAAACATAAAGTTAAATTGTACTGAAGCTTTTAGATCTCCCATTTTTGTTGACAAAATATCTAAAGTTAGATTGCCATAATTAATCTAACCTAATAAATGACCTTGATAAAATCTAAAATGATAAATCTTAGAAATAATAGTCAATGATTTACCAGGCAGAAATGGACTTGTATAACAAAGACAATTGCCCAACATAGAAGTTTAGTACAGCCATTTGAATAAAATAATAATTTTATTCATAGTAACACTTTGCCATTACAGAAGACATCATTTTAGGCATCCTACTAAGTTTTGTGTTCATATCCACAAAATTGTGTATCTGCATCCTCTGTATCTTCATTTAAACTTTACACTTTGTATACTTAACTCCCTACAATTTAAAATCTGCATGGGCAATTATCTTTGTTATTCAAATTTTAGAAAAATGAATGATAGATGTTACAGTCGAATGATGGATCTCAAAAGTTTAAATGATGAATTTTAAGTTTGAATTACATGAATGGTAGATCTCAAACTTTTCAACAATGGATGTCAATAGCTTATAAAATCTTCACCTACCTTTCAGACCTATGGCAATAGAAGGAGAGTTGTATTTATGTGGGATTGAAGAAACTTTTGTCAGGAAATATGATACAATATTTGTGTTTGTAGAATCAAACATGTCTTGCATAGGCCTTTCCACTGTTGAATCTAATTTCATTCTTTTATGTTCCTGCAAATGTTCAGATCTACCTGATGGGAAAAAATAATACTTCAATACAGCTATTGACATTTGTACTAACCACGTCTCATTGCTAAGCTGTTGCAAATGAATCAAAATTGTACAACAACAACAAGCTTCAATGTTTTATATTCCTTACAAGAATGTGAATACGATTCCAAATGAATGGGATTCTTTCGATAGCATTTATCTCCATACTTGCAGATTGGTTTTTCTGCATGACTGTTTCCTCTTTTTCTTTTTTCACTCATTTTCAATGTTTTTTGGTTGTATGATCCTCGTAATGGACCTAATCCTAATCACTGTCCTAAATCCTAATCGTAATGAAAAATGATGAAGGTACGAATCCTATTATGCATAATAATGTACGAATATATTGTAATGTTTATGCATAATTAGAATAGTTAATATTATGGTAACCGTTGGTAACAAATCATTTCATTAAAATGGCGTTTTCTTCCAATGCTTCTTCTCTGTGCTTCTTCCTGAGAAACTAAGCGATCTTTAAAACAATTGTTTTAAAAGAAGTTGCGTTTACAAAATGGCAGAAATACACATTATTGGCGAGATAATTGGGGCTAGCGGTTTCCCTTCCCATAGTCTTTATTGCAAATGGTCAGTTCATGTTGAAGGATCATGGCGGTTGCTGGCTGGAGTGAAAGAAGGACAAACACAAGTAGACAACCCCAGAACGAAGAGTGCGCTAAATGGTCACATCCTATTGATTTACATTTTGCCACGAATGGGCTAAAAGGATGGCCAAAGCTCCATTTTCAAGTATGGCATCAGGATTCATTTGGTCGCAATCAGATATATGGCTACGGTTTTTGTCATGTTCCCACATCGCCTGGAACCCATGAAATAGACTGTGTTACATGGCGGCCTGTGGGTTCTTGGAAAGAACAATTTAGATCTTATTTTCTCGGTGGAGGAGCGCAATTGAAGACATCTGATGTCATTTACACAGCAGCTGATAGATATAGACTGAGAACAACAGCAATGGGTAGCGTTCATTTGCAACTTGGTATCATTACCAGAAATTTTGATAAATTTGGTATTGAATGCTAGCATAGCAACAACAGATATACACAAGCCCTGACAACAATTTTATTATGACCAGGGATATACCGGGCGGTATATCTGCACCCTCAAGCATCTACATGCATTTATAGTAAGAATTTTATTATGGTTGGAAAAATAAACATGACCAAAGATAGTTGTCACATTTAACTGCTTAAAACCACTTGGGGTTTTGAAAAATAGCCACTGATAAGCCAATCCTGTCGTAGAAGTAAACAAGAGGCAAACGCAAAGAATTTTTGGCTTTACAGCTTTAACCATACTAATAATAAATTACTCATCTATATGTTTTAAATAAACTAACTTATTCTGATTGTTGATATGCATAAAATATTTAGATAATTTGCAATTCTCCAATGCATATTACTATCCTTACATTTCATCATCATCCTCATCAAAATTTTCCTCCGGAAAGTCACCAATTTCAACACAAGATGGTTTTACAAATGCTCCATACTTAAAGGGGCATTCAAAATATCTTTGCCTTTTACACTACATGGAAAAAAAGAAAGAATTCAAATATAATTCAAATACATTCTTTGTCAAGTGATCAATGACAAACCTTCCATCATTTTTACCAACTGGTTCATCATATTGGACACCAATCCACCATCCATCAGCAAACTCTGTTTTTCCTACAAATTTAACCATTCCCTTTCTAGGTGGAATGCCTGATCTTGTTACCAAGCATCTACAACCTGGAGTGATACTCTTGGCCTTTTCATTTTCCAAATGTTCAGCCTCTTCTTTCTTTTCTTTTTGGCCTGGATCAGCTTTGCCAAAACGACCAAGCTTGTTTTGCTTCTTGAAAGCCAAGACAGAATCTGTTAGACACAAATAGTGAATTACAATTTAGCTTTTGTTTGCATTTCATAAAACTTGGCACTATTTTCTCACCTGTCTTTTTCTCATATTCACTTTGATCCATTACATATTTTTCCACTTTTGATACATCATCAAACTCACCAAAAGTTGTTGATGGATCTTTATTGATCACCTTTAAATATCATATAAAAATGATCATTCAGTTAGACAAAACCACACATGGCTAAAACACCAAGAACATTAAAAGTTTATCAATGATTGTTGTTTGTTAGCAGGATGTCTGTTGCACTCACTTTAGTAAACTATAACATGGGTTACTTAGAGCAATAATATGAACTAGAAAATTTTGTTCATAATGAAATTTTTTATTTGGTAACCAGGAAATTTAATGTAACAACCAATGCATTTTAGAAACAAAGATATAAAATACAGTCATGACATGCAGTATTAAAATTTCTATACATAATCACAGTATACAAACAAACAGCAGTCTCACTCCATTGTGCAACTTGGTGCTGTATATTTAATTATATTACTGGCTGCGGCTAGCCATCTCTGCCTCCTATTGGTCAAAAAAAGCAATTGACTGGCTGCCACTATGCTAATCACATGCATAATAAGATATGTGTTACACAAAAAATTGCTATAGAGTGGAACTACTGTTTCTTTCTATACTGTAACATAATCGTACTAACATGAAGTCTCATGTTGTTTTGCAAGGGATAAGAATTAAGTGATGCCAAGTCATCATTTAATTTGCAAATGAATTTGTTTTGATTGTTATAGACTTCTAAATCCATCATTGTTGCCATCACACCAGTGATCATCTCTAGTTTTCCCTGGGAAATAGATTTTAAAGTTTCACATTTATATTAATTATCATAATTATCTCTTTGTTTTTTATACCTTCAAGTTTTCAACAGTAATGTTTTCTTGGAATCTTCTTTCTGAAGTAGCATCTCTTATGGAGCTACTTATTTGTAAAGTTAACATTGTCGAGTAAAAAACTTATAAAAAGTGTCAACTTACTACTTTTTAATATATTTTTCTTTGTTCATTATTGCCTGGAATAAAAAACAAAGCCTTGTGATTGGTTTGTTAGTGTCACGTGGTAAATAAACTGCGTTCGCAAAATATGGCGGGTCAATTTGATTTCCAATTTCAAAACTTTGGGTAAATGTTGAAAACTATACGGTACAAGCGGCTTTAAAATATGCGTTTGGATTGTGAGGTTATAGTTCAAAACTGGTCATCTACACAGGGCTTAGTTTGCCGTCGGAAAGCAACAAGAGCAAGTATTTCAGTTGGCAGAAAAGCTGCTCGTTCTTCGATCAAATGTCACCAAAATCAAGAAAAAGACAACGTTCTCTTGATGCTTTCTACTGCTAATGACCTTTCTGGATCCAAGTATAAGGTATTTCAATAGAGTATTTAGAAGCATTATTTAAATTTTTATCGTAGCATTAAAATAGATACAGTAACAAATATATGGCTATGTTGGTTCACTTCCCATGTTTGGAGGATTGGTGAAGACTGAAGAGGGATAAGTAAGATAGGTTCTCTGGCCTGAGTGAAATCCATAGCTCTGCAATGCTGGTGCAATGCTTAACTTAGTCAGCAAACTATGCATTAAGGTATGTGTGAAGGGTTGTCTGGGTACAATTGAGGATAACACATGTGGTGGAAATGGTTAGTGATGATCATTTCTTTAAGGGGAATAGTTCCATGTTGGGGTTTCAGAAAAGAGATTTATTAATATTAAGGGCTTACATTGTGGTCTCATTAAAGTATATCCCTAAGTATTGATAATTTTTACTTGCCTTGATTTTTAAGGTCAAGGAAAACATTTCAAATATATTTGGGAAATTTGTTGGTGATGGTAAGGCAACAATACGTTTCAAGCAACCATCACATGAGTTATGTATAAGCAAAGTAAGTTTGATTTGTTACCTTTCTCTAAAATAGAAAAGTTTTGAAAAAGTTTTGTAAAATTCATGGACATCTGTTATCTTTGTAGGCTGATCCTAAAATCCTATACAAATTTCTAACCATCCTAATGGGAACTAGCAGCACAGAGGGAAAAAAAGTCAAATTGCCAGTTATTACTTCAATAAAAAAAGCAGATAAACTGAAAACTAAGCAAGATTTGATGCTTGTTGGCCATAGCGAGTATCTAAAAACAAAAGCTGCATTTCCAGAGGGTTTAGTGAAGTTGGGTTTGGTAAATTGTTCCTTGATAAAGTTTGATGTTCGCATATTGTCACTATCCAATCTTGTTGAGTTAAATTTGTCTAACAACAAATTAAAAGAATTAAATTTTTCCTTGGATCATTTAAGAAAACTGAGGAATTTAAACTTATCATCTAATGAACTGCAATGGATACCATCAAGGTTCTGTCTAAATATCAAATTGATAGCACTTGATTTGAGTCATAACAAGTTAGTGTATTTACCTGTTGCTTTTGGTTGTATAACATCATTGGTGAACTTGAAGCTAAACAATAACAATATTGTCTCACTACCTTACAACACTTGCGAACTTGTTAATCTACGATTGTTAGATGTCAGTAACAACAATTTAACCATTTTACCATGGACAGTTGCCTCAAATTTGAAGCTGCAAAAATTGGACATTGCAGCAAACAAGTTTTTAACTCACGAAAATTTTCAAATCACGCGCAATTGTCTCGATTATAGTCTTCAAGATCTGGCGGGAAAAGCTATCAAGAGAGCAAGGTAAAAATGCAACTCGTTTTGCATTCTTGTTTCATTTTTGGTAATGTAAATATGGTGAACATTCTTCCCTTTCTTAGATTATCTTATAATCCACATATGATTGGAAGATTGCTCTGCGATTTTCTCGATTCTGCGAAAATCTGTTTCAAATGTCGACGTTGGTGTATCAGCTGTATCTATGGGATTGGATGTACGTTTCTCAATGATTTGGCTCAAGAAGTTATCTCCTCTGGTGACCGTTATGTTCCCATTGAACTCTACTACTGCTCACAGCAATGTTTTAATGGAAAGATGCATAAAATACAAATGGATTGGTTAAGGTAAATGACTTGGGTTTTCGAAATACTTTACCAACAAAAAATGGACGATTCCCCGCAATGGTTTTGACGTTTGAACTTATTAATAGGCACATAAACTTTTAAAATGTTCGCGAAAAGTTGTACATGTAAATTTTTTGTTAATTAGGACGAGATACCGTTTTCAAAGACGTATGTTGAACCGTTGAACGTTGTAAAACTCTGTAATATTAGTGCATAGATAGTAAAGTTATATAAATCCTTTTTTATGTTCGATTTCCATTTGAGATTTGATTCAAACCAGTGAGCGTACTTATTATGCTTTTTTGTAAAATTAGTGCATAGATACTTCTAAAAATCCGTTAAAAAATGAGAGTTTTAAAGATTGACGATGGACTCTTGAACTTGGGATGCTTTGTCTTTCGTTGCTGCAAGAACCTCTTCAATACTTGGACGAGATTCGGCATTTGATGCTAGACAACGATCGACGAGATTTCGTAATTCTTCAGAGTAGCTTGAAGCAATGGGCTGTGGTGGATTTCCTTCCATGATTTGATTGATAGCTGAAAACATGTCTGTACCCTGTATTGCGTAGGCTGGTCGCAATGTGGCCATCTCGTATACACAGCAACCTACTGTCCACGTAAGCGATTTTTCTGAAGGTTCTTCATTGATTTCCTAAGTCAATAGAAATGATTGCAAATGTACAAAGTTAGGTGGTTTGACGTTTTTAAGCATCTTCCCTTTCGTTCCTTTTTATTTTGTGTTAAGAAGGAGTTTTATATACTTCAGAGTTTAGTTTTGTCATTGTTGTTTTGGTATTTAATTCTATGATTTTTTTCAAACCGGTCCATTGTCTAGTGTCACAAACATAGGCATTTGAACAACGTGTTGACTCATCAACAGAAAGCCCATCTTAACAAGAACTTTACCTCAGGTGAAGTGTATATCCCTTTCAGACCCTCGTCGTCCACAGCTGTTCCGTCCATCATCTCATCTTCTTTGAAAGGCATATACAAGAGAAGACTGTCCAATTTAAGATTTCCTTCGGAGTCAAAAGCTATACATTCTGGTTTAAGTTTCTCGTACGTCAAACCACGTGACTTAAGGAAAACCAATACCTCGCAGAGTTGCGCAAATGCCTTCCATATCAATGCTTCGGGTATTGTTCCGTTGGATGTGCGGAGTTTGGTTTGAATATCGGCAAACGAATGTGGGGCGTGCTCAAAGATCATTATATCATGTTTGTTTTGCTTGAATTCCGCGAAACATTTCATCAGATATGCATGATTTAGGTCGCCCCAGGCTTTCACGGCCGTATCCATTTCTGGCGTTTTCACATTTGATGCTATACATTTCAACATGACTGTACGATTGTCAAGCAAGCATTGTGCAGGGTAGATACAATTTGTAATATTCTCAGAGTTCAAACTGTTTCTATTGACGAAAAAGTCGTTGGTGGATAACTCGCCCGCAAGAAAGTTAACCATTGGCTTTGGTACCGGAAGTTCCGATGCTTTGCACAACCTGTCTAAGCCAACCGCTCGCATGATTGATTTTCGGCACGATTCTTGAAGACTTGATGTCGTTGTAGTCCTCTGACTGGGCTCTTCTGGATTGAGAATGTCAAAATTTAGGTTTTTCATTTTCTCCACCAAGGATTCGCTCATTTTGCGGTATTTTTTATACAAAATGCGTTCGCACGTCTTTTCATTAATGCGCACCAAATAAAGTAAGCATTTTCTATCCCCAATACGTCACCTAATTTAGCAGTAATTTGCTGTTTCTTACGATTGTGACGACGGCTGATGTGGAAAACATGATCAATTAGACTACGCTTTCTTAACATTGTTTGTCGACTTCATTGAAAAATATAAACAAATATAAATGGTAAATGCTTGATTTTAATCACGATTAGATCTTATCAGTTAATGGAATATTTTTCATGACGAATATTCAATGGAATTTGACCATGGAATAAAATTCAAACACATTTTCAGTTGCAGGCGAAACTGAAACAACATTTGTGATGGTAAATTAAATATGATGGTTTAGGTGCGCCAATGAAATCTTTTTTTGACTCTTTCGTTGAACTGCACTGACTTTTGTTCAACTGTTCTTGTTCTCTTCTGTATTGTGATCATAGACCTCTTTTCATCACCCAAATTATTTTGACAAATCGTGGTTATAACCTACTAGATACTAACTAGACTTTTTTACTTAGAAGCATTTACGCAATATATACATATATTTAAGAATTTATACATAACGTCGAAAAAAATTTAAATACAGTTTCTTGTAGCATATAGTCTAACATGACGATGTTTGTTTCATTTTCGTGACATTCTGAGCATTTTTCAATGCGCAGCTAATGGCAAATTATGTTAAAGTAAAACTGCTACACAAGAGATTCTTTAGAGCTTAAATGTTGTCTTTCAGAAGCAAGTTTTTGTGACAAACTATATTTTAGTTCTGTGTCACAATACAGGCATTTTTTATCAACATCAAAGTAGCATGTGAGGCAGTAGACGCCCAAACAATCTAGTCCATGACAGATTTTAAATTCCGGTTTCTCCCAGTCCCTGCACACAACACATCGTCTAAGGTTGAAATGACATTTTTCAAGAAACTTGGAAAACCAAGGCGACTGTTTGGAGAGTATTCTCGTCACTTCCAACGATTTGAGAGAATTCATTTCACGATGATAGGATTTCATTCTCTTTCGACATTGCTCAACCAATTGAACGCGATCTTCCAGTATCCTGTTATAAAGATAAAATGCACGTTCCTTTTCTCGCTGTGGATAAATTCTGCTACAAATGTACCATCGTAACCTAGACACGTAGCCATCAAAAAGAATAAGAAATAACAAAAGTGATATGACAAGTGGAAGAAATACTTTGCTTGTTAAACCAGGAGCTTTTACTTCCGCCCAACACGCGTCGTGTTTTTTATTTGAAGATGTTTTCATGAGTACTGATGTTGTATTGGTTTTTTGAATTGTTGAGTTGCCAATATCTGTAGCATTTACATCAAAAGCATTTAAGTCTAGCCATTCCGACGTAGGTTGAGTGGAGTTTTCCCGTGGAACGAATTCATCATTTTCATTGTTGAATTTGCAATACAAGAATAGATCGGAAATAGTGAGAAACAAGACAAGCAACAACACAATAAAAAATGTTTGCAACATTTTATATAACGAGCTTTTCTCTTCTTCAGTTATGTTACATAAAGTTTGAGGTCGAACATGTCTCCTCAGTTCCACCTTACGTAACGGTAAGACAGCTTCACGATCACACGAAGCTCGACGTTGATCAATTACCTGAAAATGTCCCGTGAGAAAGAAATTATTAAAGTTGTTGAAAGTCCGGTACTTTATCTCGTAGCGGTAACCTTCGTAAAAGACCAAAAGAATAAGAAGAGGAAACATTAGACTGAATAATTCTAGGAAACTACACTCGCTATCGTTGCTGCTGATGTCATTCAGAAGTTTGGATAGTTCGTTGAATTCATGAATACAATACACTGATGTACCTTGGCACCGTCCTTCATATATAAATGTTCCATTAAAACAAGATAGTCCCTCTGATGCTTTACAAAACTTCGGGGATAGTGCATACTTGTCAGAATCACACATATGTATAAATTTACTTTTTATTTTTATACATCTTTCCACAAGGCATGGTACATAAGGAAACGTCTTGTTTAATGATACAATAGATCCTTCAACATTCCATAAACATTTTTGTGCAACTTTAAATCGTCTCATGAGTCGTGATGCTACCACCTCCTGTTCTTGTTCCATGCACTTCATTGTGTTGCGTACGATTTTGAGGTTTTTCACCGTATTACAAAAAGGACCAGTGATCACAAAATATCCTAACAGTACATATAAGGCAAATCTTCCACCTCGAGAACAAACACTAGGTAGAGTAAGCAACACAAGACACTTAATCCGTTTGCCATTCAGAAAACCAAGATAAAGGAATACTGCGCTGTGAACAACAATTGCGATGGTAACAGCAAGTAGACCATGACAATGTAACAAGAAATATAAAGCAAGAAACACAATAAGAGCAAGCAATAATGCTACAAGACCGGCAAATATGCTTCGAGCAGTAGATGTGTCGGTCATGATCGACGCATGACTTTCTTTCAAACCTTTTACTGCTGCTTTAATACTTTCTGTCGATTTACTAATGCCGGATTTTATGCTAACAGGACTTGTTGGCGGTTCATTCATCTTTTTTTGTTTGCCTCTGGCGTCGTTATACTCTTTAGAATGATTTTGCTTTTTCGCGAGTGGCTTTTCAGCATTACATATGAACACGTTTGGATCTTCATATGGATGATCATCGTCATAGAAATGTCGTCTGTATGATTGACAAACATTCTTCTTTCCATCACTCAAACTGTTTTTCTTTTCTTCTATTGTTTTTGATGCCGTGTCTGTCGATGGCAGCGACTGTTTATTGTCATTTAGGTGGCTGCAGTTGACACTTTGACTGTGCTTTGAGTCATCTTCCTTGTTACCCGTGAATGTTAAGAGTCGCACGGGTTTCCTTGGCAGCAAATTATACTTTTCATTGTCTAAACCAGTTTTGCCATTCTTAGACATGTTGGCAACGTCCTTGTCTTTCGTCTTCTCCACCTCTCCGTCTTTGTCCGGTATAATTTTAATTCTTTAACATTGGCCAAACTGGCATCTTGCTGTGGCGTGGTTTGGTCAACATCTGCTCTCTTGGCTGATCTTAATTCCGTTTTCTCTTTTGAGAATTTTCCCATGATCTCGTTCCTTTTGTTCAAACACAAAACTTTTTGTACCTATGTAGGACAACAGTAAGATCGGCCAAACATCGATTCCATTGCGAGATAAATTGCTCACATCAATGTATATTGAATTTCAAAATTTATCGTCTCAGATATCTTATTTGTATTGACAGCACTAATTATATGGCTTCCTTCGGAGTTTCTTGATATGTTGATGTCTGTGATTTGCAAGTCAGATGCAAAGCCCTGAAAATTAGCAAAACGACGTTTTCACTAGTTATTGAAAGTTTGATAAAAAAAACCAGGAAGAATTCCTGTGGAGCAACAACAAATAAATAACATGAATTAATGATGTAGGAGCTGCGTCTGTTAATAATGACAGATGACGGAGAAAATTACCGGACATCGTTAAGGAAGTTTCAATTTCAGCTATTGAAGAGCTCATTTCAATATGGAAATGTTTCATTAATGCATCTACTCAAACATGAAAGATTTATGAATTTTGTCTATGTGTAAAGCGTGTTTTTTTGTTATGTAAGCACGTCACTCTGACCAAACCAAGTAATTCGATGTACATTCAATTTTGTCCCCCTTTCATGTTGAAATCTGAGGGTTTTAGGAGAAGACCTTCTTTGACATGAAAAGAAAAAAGCACACATAAATTTCCATCAAGATATCATAAATGTCACACGTGAACCCATTGATGACCCCCAATAAATGAATTACATGATCCCCCCGGCCCCCCTCGCAAAAAGTAAAACCATGAAAGAAAAATTAATTTCAGAAAAAAAACTCGTTGTTATTGGCGAACTTATGTCTTGTTCCAAAGCTATCGTCGAAGAACCAGAATTCATGTTCAAATCTTTGTTCCAAACGCTCTTTTTTGATGCTTTATTCTCATCATTACATAGCTGGACAATCAGATATTCTTTGATTACACCAGCTCCCATCAACAAGATAGCCCTTAACAATGCACTTGAAGGATTTTTTTACTTTGATTTAATAGTCAACGATCTTTTTTTAATGCTTGGTTAAATGATTGAAAAATGATTGGTTAAATGACTGAAACCTCTCCCATATTGTATCGAGTAGAAAAGTTTATTGTGATTTTTTGTCAACCCTCCAGTACCCAAAGAGACTCCAACTTTGTTGCAGGCTTGTACAAAGTTGGAAAAGTAAACTGTTTGACGTAGGTGGAAAAAGACAGTTACCATGTTCATAATGCTTGATACTCTCATTACTCTGGACACTCCAGCAACCACAGAACCAGAAAATTACAAACTGGTTACAGCAATTTCGTGTTTCCTGCTGATTCCCGCTCAGGTAACGTCGGGCCCATGGTTGGGCCAAAGGACAATATGGCGTCTTCTATTCCAATAGCAGTCGAACAATTATTGGAGAGCAGAGTGCAAGAAATCTCGCGTGATGGACAAGAGACGCATGTGCCGTAAGTTTTATTGTGCGTTAAAGTCTTTGCATGAGAAAACTGTGAAATATTATCTAAAAATAGACGAAAACATATACCTCAGTGTGTATAATTTAAACTATAAAACTTTTAACCCAATGACCCTAGACTCTAGAGGAGTTGAGGGTTTCTCATTGTTATGAGTCCACTTCTTTACAGCAATGAAAACATAACTGCTTTAGAAAGATATGCATGCTTAACTTTCATATATAGGCAATTGTATAGCGATCACAGTTCGTCATTCATATTTTAGTTTAACCAGAATTTTTCATCATCGTTCATTCGAGTTTTAAAAAGTTTCGAAACCATTTTTGTGTATTGAATGTCTATTAAGTCATGTTATGTTTTAATGTGTTCCATTCAGTCAACTTTCCATGTCTGAGGAGCTTGCTCATCTCGCTCAAAAAATTGACTTCACAAAAACGCTTGAAGAAGAAGAGGAAGAAACTGATGTAGACAAAGGAGATAAACCTCTATTTCAACCATCTCTTTGGCCTTGGGACTCTGTGAGGAATAAATTAAGGTTCATTCAACTATGTTTAACATGGCATACATATTCTCTATGAATAATAGTTGACATGTGGCCATTAATTGTTGCTTTATAACCATAGAAGGGATTAGTTAATTTCATAGAACGAAGAACCCCATCATCATTAACTGCTTCATTGACACACACACCCACTTCAATGTTTTCCTTTTAATCAAACTTTTCCTCCTGTGTTTAGAAACACATTAACTAACCTTTGTGTCTTGGTGGATATACTTAATGTTGCTCGTGAGAAGAAATACATTTCACTTGATACAGTGTCACAAATGGAAGCCCCTCCAAAACCTGCAGTTAGATTGCTCAGTAAACGAAAGGTGAGAATTGTTTGATTGTGAGTTACAGCATATTTTTAAGTGTTACACAAGATCTTCTGAAAACATTTGTGAGTTTATGAAGAGAGTTCCTTTTGAGTTACCACTTTTATGTTTCTATACAAGTAGATCCAACAATTGAATTAAATTTTTATAGAATTTTGCTGATGCAAGCAAGATTCTCATTCAAGGAATGCAAAACATGGCAGTTGGTTTAAAAGAACAACAAGGGAATGTAGACAGAAATAATTTTTATGCTGAGTTGATGAAACTTAGGAAACACTGGAGATTGAAAAAATCTGGAGACTTAATTCTTGGGGATCTTTCGTATAAATCTGGTCAGCAAATATTTATTTTTACTCCTAAAATTATCTTTGCTGCTGCAATTAACATCTGTTGTCATTAGATATATTTATCGGCAAAGAAAAATTTACCAGAAAAATTAAGGGTTTATGGTAGAGGATTTTTGATCATTTTACCTTTGTAGCTGGTTCAAGGTTTTGGCACAGTGGTGCATTTGAAGTTAAGAAAGATACAAATACAGAAGACAGAAAGAGTAGTCTTGATGTGAACATCTCAACTGATTTAAGAGGTGTCAGAGAAATGCAAGTAAAAATTTTACATGGAGAAGAGTTGACATATTCTTATGGGAAAGGTGAGTGACACTCGTTTATTTCTATTTGGTTTACCTTTTTAGTGTAGAAAATTTCTAATTTTTGAATAGATTTACGAAAGACTATAAATCAGCAATTCTATCGTGAAGGTGTTGCACCATGGCATCAGGAACTATGTATTGCTCAAAATAATCTGTATGTTAAAGAATTGTTTGCTCAGGTGAATTTCAAACTGTCCCATATTTCTACCATTACCACACTTAAGTGATCCTCTCACAACCATGGAAATCCAACCAACCAGGGATCACATACGTTTATCTGCAGTTATGTATCATACTTCAATGATCCTATCACACCCATGGAAATCACCCCCCCTAAGATCACATTCGTGCATCTCTAGTTATCACATTTCAATTATAATCTCACACAGCTGAATGGCTTGCATGCCCAAGGAAATGAGCTTGTAGCAGTAATGTTAAACTAAATTTAATGTGTATAATCTTTGTTGTCCAGCTTGTCCACGAGTGTTATCACAGTAAAGGATTGCCTAAACTAGTATTAAACAATGAAATAAAAATGGAGGTAACTAAATGTATCTTTATATCCCAGTTTGTTTTAAGCATCTCATAAACTAAAGTTTTTTTTATCTTATAACTTGTTTTGTGTAGATATTTCCTCAGACAATCATGTCAATAACTCAGACTCATCAAACAAATGATGAAAATGAAGAAAAACAGGTGATCAACTATCTTGTTGATGATTCAGAAATTGTAAGGGTTTTTAATTATCTGAAAATTTCTCATGCTGTGCATCAACATATCACAAAAAAACTTAGAAATTTGAATAGTGTTGAACAAATAAGCAATCACCAGCATGATCTTGTTTATTTTATGAACGTCAATGGTTAGTCTTGTTCGACTTAATCGATGGAATCATGGAATGAATTATAATTTTCTGCAAAATCTGTAGTAAACCTAAAAAATTCATTCATCTGATGAAATAATTAAATTTTGATGATTTGGTTTGTAGAACGAAGCACGTATTGGTCAACTGCAAGGACCCACTCCCCTCAATATTTTCGAGTTCACGGGACAAATATTACTTCGACAGCAACATCGTTTCAACTACGATCATTGTACACCACGCCCAGTGACTTCTGGGATTGCAATGAAAGGCAACAAAAAGATTTGTGTTGCTGGTCCATCATGTATGGTCTTAGAAGATTTTAACAAGTTAAAAACAAAGTACGAATAAAACTACATTGTTGCTGAGGTGTATGAAATTATATTATAGCAAACACCAGTGCATGGCATTCTTTAAAAAAAACTTGTCAATTTTAAGCTTCCCGCTTTATTTTCTGTTGTGTTGCTAGTATTTTAGTTTTTTAATTTGATGGTTTATTTTCATTCTAGTCCAAAACTTTTGGATAAGTTGATCAATATAGCTAAACATCACATACTTACAAGAAGGTGCGTTTTTTTCTTTTTGGGATTTATTTATTCTGTTACGGTTGCAAGTCTTTTGAGTTTTGATTTCGTTTTCCATTGCTTATCTCTTCATTTCATGTTCTTTAATTCGAAAATTAATCATTGATCCAATCCTCAGCTGTTGAATGAATTAGAATGAAGGATCAACTTTTGAGATTCTGGCTGTCAAACTAGAGATAATCTTCATGCATTAGGTTTCGTGTGTCAAAAACCAATGATCACGAATTTCATTTTTATGCATCTGCAGAGTTGATAGAGTTATTCAAGACTTATCTGAAGAAATATCTGATCCGCTGATCTCTTGTCACTGGAGTAGTCTTTCAACGGAGACATCCTCATTTGCTTCTGTCTGTATTGGCTTGGTAGAGAGAATGGAAAGGTTAGAATCATCCGATTGTGCTGGACATTTATATTGTTTTACATTTGTTTATGTCTGTCAACATCTTGAAAGTTTGGTATTATTGAACTTGAACATGAATTCATCTTTTACTTATTTTTACTGCTTTTTTATGATGATTGAAGATTAAAGTCAGTAACTTAATCACTGATTGTAAAACTTTTTATCTCACTATTATTTCCTTAAAAGTTATCACTCTTTCTTCAGAACGTGCCTTGCCGTTAAAGTTGACAAAGACACAATACATGTAACTCGACAAGATGGTTTGGGAATCACGCTGTCTGCTGATGTCAACGAACTAAAAGAAACGTTAAAAAATCAGGTATAAATGACGAACTTTACTTCTTTCAAAACAATGTACGTTATATTTTCTAGTACTATGACACAAATGATTGGAATTCGTTCACTTTATAACATTGTAGCTATGTTTTGATTTGAGACCATTTTTGTTACTTATCATTTATAGGTGCAATTATTTATGCTAGAGATTGCGAAGAAGGAAGCGTTACGTTTGGGATGGAATGTTAGATGTAATAATTTCTTGGTTCGATAGATGGTGTAAATGGTCATCTTGCTGGATTACTTCTTACTTTGCCCGAGAAAGAAAGGCAAGCACTGAAATTACATTAACTTTATACTCGAATCTGTAGAAATGTGAATTCTTTAATTGTCAGGTCACTAAGTGAAGCCCACCTGTACAAGCTCAATACATTGATTGACTCTAAACATCCTGAATTATTTTTATTTTTTACTTGCATTCATTTCCCTATTTCATCAATGCCGTGGCATTAAAAAGAAATAAAACGTACTTTGTTGCTTTATCGTGGTGTTTTTATGCTTTGAAATCTTTAATAATATCGCCTTTGAATTTCTAGGGAAGTTTTCATCGAGATTTCACCTCCTTCAAATATTCACATCAAAGTCAAGTCTTCACAGTACGGCGACACTTTGCCAAAGATTCTGGAGAATGAGCCACAATGGTCTTCTATATGTAGAAACTATCATTCCTTACACTACTTCAACACTCCTGGGAGAACATTTTTGGAAAAAATAACAATTATCTTACAAACCAGTTGAAATCTGTAAGGTATGTTTGTTAAGGACAAATGTTCCTTATATGTCTTCATTAGGCAAGATTGTATAAACGGATCATAAATATTTGTGTAATAATATGCTAAGGTAGCAAACAATAATGAATACAGGTGTTTTCGGGGAAATGCTGCACGTCATGAAAATCTTTGGATTTTTGACTTTCTATACATGCAGTTAAATTCTTTACTTTGGGTTTTTTTCCTCGTCTTTAATAACTTGTTTTCAAATGATGCAATTATACTGCTAGCAATCCTCATGCGTTTGCCGTGCGAAAAACGACAAGATAATGTTCAATAATTGTCTAGTGTTTTTGCAATTAAAGAAGACGTCTGTCTAACCCTTGCGTTCTCTCACTTTGTTGGCCACATGCATATTAAACACAGCGTCAATCTGTATAGTCTGAAGAAACATCTGTTTCGTCATTATGTGTTCTACTCTTACATCCTCGTTAAATCTTTCAACTTGCAAACCTCGTTAGGTAGTTGTGTAATAATATTACGTTATGATGATATCAGGGGAAAGAGACGTTTTCGTTGTTACCTACATTAGAGTGTGAAAAAGTAAAGCGCCTTGCTTTGGTCATTTATTTGATGTTGGAATATTGAGGAAAAAGGAGGATATTGTGTAGTTCTTAATGGCTGATTCAAGCTCGTTGTCTTTGATCATTATATTTCTTGGTGTATTGTTGTTTGTTATTACTACATTTATATTAACCTGCATTCTATGTCGTCTTCGAACATGTTCATCAAACCAGAGACATTTCTCAAAAAAACATTCAAAAACCGCGGATTCTTCGCACGAAACAACAAATGTCACAGAATTTTAGTGCATTATTGGAAACCGGCATTTTAGATTCCTTTGTAAAATTAAGTTTGGTCCACTTCATCAATTCTTTCGTGGCAATTCTATTTGGCGTTTGGTTTTTATTTCGTTTTGGAGGTTTTGTTCTCTTAATTTTTAACAATTTTATAATAATTTTGCTGGCGTGATTTTTCACCACGGTATTCATATTTCTGCTGTACTTGTGTGTCAATCGTCTCCAGTTTGTCCAATACACATTTTTGGCGTTATCGTGTCTGCGTATTGATGGATCATGCTTTAATGAAGCATGCTTTAATGTAATTTATAAAGTCTTAAATGCTTTATGTCTCTCGTTGCTACATATAGTTTGTACTACATGAGATATTTATACCTTCAGCGTAGCTGAACATATGATATAATTACTCCGTATAAAATACATAAAAATTTTTTAAGCACTCTTTATGTTAATGCATGAACAACTGTGGACGAGATTTCCTCGATGATATCGCTATATTTGTCTTTTTATGGAATTTATATCAGTGAACGTGGACTTTTCAATGGCAATTTGGAACATGTTGTGTGATATTCAATGATCAAGTTGTCGACTTTTTTTTGAATTTAATCTTTTTCAATGCTGCTTGCAGGTGTTTCTGTACTTTCTTTGATTCTTGCGCTAATTGAGATGTTTTGTTTATACTTTGATCTGATATGATAATATTTTGCGCTTGTTATCATCAGTAATGTATTTAGTCTTCTATGTTCTTGGGTTTTTCAATATGGCCATTGTGTCTTCATAACTTTCGCGATAACGTGCGTCCATGTCCTGTAAACTAGTTTCCAGGCTATGCGTAGTGATGGCGTGCGCGCGGTGTGCTTGGACCAGTCGCTCGATACGAGAAATGATTTCAAAGTCAGGTACAGAAAGGTTTTCAACATTCATTCCCAGGAGCTTTGCAAGCACTTTCCGGAAATCCAGCAACTATATAAGAGCGGTTGTTAGTTATGGCTTTCTTATTTTGAAACTGAGAGTTGTGATGTTTTATTTTATGGATCTTATGTCTCCACAAAGCAGGCATACCTGTTTTTCCCTTGTATGTGTTTCTTCTAGAGTTTTTTTACGTTGTTCAACTCGACCTTCAATTGATTAATACTACTGTATGTTTTTACTTTTTCTTCTTTAGCCTCAGCTTCGCTATGATGAAGATTTCTTTTCATTCCTTGCAGCTGACGTGTCGTTCGTTCTTTACTTTTAGCTAGCTTACTTATCATAAGTTCAAGATCTTCAATTTTTTGACTTTGTGTCATGTTTTCTCTCTAAATTAGAGGGCATTGAATACGAATCTTAAAGTCCGTTTTGTGTGCATTTGCAGTCTGTATCAACTTCAAAACAATACTTTATTCTGTAGTCCATATCTTCAGTTTAAATAATTGCTTACCTTTAATTCACTCGTTTCCAAAAGTTGAGCTTTCAGTTCTGTCACTTGTTTTTGTGATTGTAGAAGTTCTCCGCGGTATTTTTCACACTGTTTTTGAAGTTTTTTGAATTTTATCGTTGATTCGTCACGTTCTACTTCAACACGACTCTTACTCCTAATGGTATCATCAAGGCTCGATAACTTCTTTTGTAAAAGGCCTAATTGCAGGTCTTTACTTTGCATCTGTTGTTTAAACCATTTCAGTTTTCTTTGAAGGCTGTATATAGTACTACTGCGATCATTAATTTCTTCACTCTGCAATGAAAGCATTTATTTAATTCATTTATGAAGAATTCTAGAGATATCTTTGTTGGTTGTGTTAGCAGCACATCCAATGTTGATGTAGTTTCCATAGATTTCGAGGAAAATCGAATGTAAATTACTAAGATTGTGTATCAGTGATTTCTGCTCCATTGTTGTAATTTCATCATCTTTTTACTACCTTTATTATTGGAAGAAAAGTTATTTCTCAACGTTTAATTATTCCCATGGTAAATTTTTGTTTCATCTCTACAGTTTTAATCTATATCCTATATATACATCCATGTTCGAAAGTAAATAGAGTGGAAATTTTATCCGTAAATTTTCACTTACTTCCAGTTTCACAAGCTGTCTGGCTCTCTCCAATAGAGCTTCACCGTTCACGTCAAGACCGGCATCCTGAGCGATCTCATTTAATTTCATTGTGTTGGCAAGATTCTCACAGAATCGCATGTACTGTAAAAAGTGTGATATGTTTTTCGAAAATAGCCTTAGCAAAAAGAAACTTTACTTATGAATAATAGTTATATGGGTAAAATCAAGTGCAGATTAAGAATTAACGGATTTACTTTGTGACGATCTTCTCTTAACTGATCTCTTTCAACATCCGATGAAAGTAACTCGCCTTCCAATCCAGAACTCCTGTCTTCCATATCTTTCATCTGACTTTCGGCTTCAACTGCACGTCGTAGTGTTGTTCTGTTGATGTTTCTTTGACCATCCAACTCTTCTTGTGTGTTTCGCAGTTTTATTTGAATGTTTTCTACTGTCTGATGAAAGAAAAATGGAAATGTCGTTTAGATTTGCATTTTTTCAACTATGGTAATTATTGAAAAGTATTTTTTTACAGAGTTCGCATCTCGACATTCTCTCGTTATTTTCTTCACATTGTTTATTATACTTTCTTCGGATTCCTCGCAATTCATGATTTCAGAGAGATGGTGGCAAAACTTTGTTAACTATGAAGTAATGAAGAAATACATAAAATTTTTGTCTTCACGGTTGCTGGGAGTGCAATAAGTGTGTTTTATGTTACCTTTGTCTGTACTGCTTGCTCATTTTCTTTCGCGTTTTGCAAAGATTGCTCTAATAAGTTTAATCTGAAAAGATATGAAAATTTCTTCTGTTGCTTTTTAGTCTGCATCATAAAACTGAAAATCATTTTTTGAAATGCTCTCTTAAGGTATATAGACATATATTTGCATGAAGACAAATTTTCTCTCCTCGCAGGAGCTGAAGTGTAGCATTTTAGTGCGGAAATTTGACTTGCTGGCTCTTCAGGTGGGAAATAAGCTTTCAGTTATATCTAGTTATATCCAGTTAAATAATCCGCAGAGTCAAACGAATTTTCGATATCATTCTTACTTTTCTTCGCGTTCCTGTAGAGCATCCCGTGTTGTCGACCACACTTCCTGACTCGTCTTTAATTTATCACGAGAATTTTCCAAGTCTACTTCGAGTTGGCAAACTTTTTGTTCCAATGTATCATTCTTACGGTTGAAATCCTTAATAGTCTGCTGCTGTTTTTCTACTTCTTTTTTCTCGTTTCCAACCTCCGCAACTAAGCGCATTATCGTTTCCCTGTTTTATGTATGTCATCAATTTTTTTATTAGTTTCTGAGATTTTAATTTTATGCGTAAATTTAATCTTTCATCTGAAAGTTTTAGTTGTTCAAAAAGTTTCTGTTCGTACCTCCTTGCTTTTGATTCCAAATCATTTTCTTGTAAGCTATCAGAAAGACTTTTCGTTTTCTCTTCCAAATTTTGTCTATCTCGAACTAGATCATTCACCTGAAACAAATTTCTTGCCGTTATCTGAGTGTATAGTTGGAAAAAGCCGAGTTTTTGTTTGAAGATTTAATCTTTGATTGTCTGACGTCTTTTCCTACACACCTTTTTAATAAGTAATGAAGTTGACTCCAAGGTACTTTCTGACAAGTCGACATGAAGTACTGAACTCAATTGATCCTTCAATTCAAGATACTGAGAAAGAAAATTGGATAGTTGAGTGGAAAGTCCTCACTGGATTTGTTCCATAAATTTTTTGTTCAAATTATCTTTTAGTACCTTTGTCTTCCACGAGTGTGCTTTTTTCGTAGCGTTTTCCTCCTCGTTTATTCGTCGTTTTAACGCCGTCTCGGCTTGTTGTAGCCGATCCTGCTGACTTTGCATTTCTTTCTTCAAAGCTGCAATAGTGACGTCACCCCGTGACGCAGCGCTCTCCTTTGCATCGATTGCCTCTTCGGCTTCCTGAAGACGATGACGTAATGACTGGATCAGGGCTGTCTGCCTGGCCCCATTTTGTTTTTGTGTCGCAATTTCGCACTAAAATAAAAGATATATTAAATGCTCAGGAGCAATATCATATGTGTGTGTGAAACTACAATGATCGTCAATATAATTTCCTCTGCGTTAAACCATTGTATGCCTTCAGTATAAGCTGTTGTTGATGTAATCCATTCATGGTAATTGGAATTTTAACATGCGATTTTCTTTGTTTCATTACATTTTTTTATATGCTCATATATATACCTGGAGATCTGTCACTCGTTGATCTTTGTCAGACACTCGTATTTCACAAGATTTCACCTAAAGATTGATTTATATTATACAGCTAATTGGCTATTTATGAAATTTATTTAAGATTTTAACCTGCACCTCGTTTTTAAGAGTGGAAGTTTTTATCTTTTCTGCAGCTAAGTCACTTGACGCGACCTCTGCTTTCTCTCTGTAGTGTGTTAGCTGTAAAGGAACATGAAAAGTATCATTCATGTCGGTGCGTAGTTAAAGCTGATGCAAGAAGACTATTCACTACTTGATGATTAATGAATATTGTCTATACCATAATAAAATCTTATAATTTCATGTCGTGTATCTCTATGGTGGTTTTCTACAACTGACTTTTCTATAATATCATATCGTTTCTTCACCTGTAATGTCAAGGTTTCTTTTTCCTGAAGCAAACGGTTTAGTTTTTCTTTAAGCACCTGACTTGCGTCCTCTTCCCCTTGTGACTCCAAGTTATTGAGAAAATTTCGAAGGTTTTCTGCCTTAAGGCCTCGAGAGATTTCACCCTTTAAACATAACGGACATTTTATATTGTTGTGTGGGGACTGAGGATAGAAATGTTAGGTGTAAAATTCTGTACAACCGTGTACATACTGAATAATAACTTCTACGTAAGCCATTATCGTCTTCCCTATAATTGAAAAATTTTGAATGAACTTCATCTGACAATTTGTTGAAGGATAAAGCACAAAATGCGAGATACTTGTATTGAAGGTCCGATGACTGCTCAGTTGAATTTCAACGGGAGCTTAGTTTTTCAACATTTTCCTAAATTTTTTAATATTTTATTTACCTCATGGAACGTTGCAAAGGCTCTTTAATGAATTTGAGATCAACCTGTGAAAAAGAACACCCTTTGTGTCACGTTTTACATTCTCATTTAAAATTGTTACATTTCGTTAAGTTCTTTAATATTGTAAATGTAGTTATTAAATGCTTAATCAAAGACTTTTGTAATCATTAAAAAACGTCTCATTCAAGTCATTGATTATAGTGTTACTTTTTAAATAATATAAGAAAAATCCATTTGAATTTTAGAAATCGATCTATCACATGTTAAACATATTTCAAGCGTGTTTCATTCTACATGGAAAGTGTAGAAAAAAGTATATATTTCTACCTCGGCCGATTTTTTATGTCCTGTAGAATTAGAACTTGAAGCATCTGCACTCAAAGGTCTTCGACATCCATTCATAGTTGAATGTAAAGATGTGTATGTTTCGCCACGAATTTCATTTCCTTCTGAATCAAGTATAATATCAGAATCATCCACATACTCAATAGATGATTTAATTTTACGTTTGGGTTTGATATTTGGTAATTGAGCCATGTGATTCTGACTTTAAAATCGTATGGATGAAACAGTGTATTGGTCCACTTTGCTTTATAAAATTTCAATACGTTTTTTCATCTTTATCATTGTTATTTTGATGTTTCAGCGTCGTCTCCTTGACGATGGTATCTGAGCAACGATCATTCATTATTTGTCGTCGTAGAGAAATTTTACGTTGCTTGTATTCGAAGTCACGTGACAATAACTGCATTTTTTGGAGAATCAGTGGAGAAGAGCATTAAATATTCATTTGTTCAACATCTAAATCAAACTATTCACCGGAAATTTAACAGGATCTTAAATTATTTAAACAATGTAAATTGATCGCGTCCTCCGTTGCCCTATATGATATTCTACTCTCTTTTGCTATTTCACTAAAGATTTGTCTGTTCTACATGGTTTAAGTCCCTGGCAAATGATGGAGAACTCTAACGTGAATCCAACAACAATCCATGAGCTTACAGATCTGATACAAAGTTCATTTCAGCAATTACAGGACAAGTTGAATAAAACAGAGAGTGAAATTGTGTCTCGTTTTAATACGACTGGGAAAAAGATCGATCAGATTGAAAAGACCTTGGTGGATTTAATGGATCACGCAGGAGTAGACGAGTAGATGAGCAATATGAGTACGAACGAAGACAATTAGAACTTTCTGAAACATAAAATATGGACGAGAATAAAGTCTTAAAGAATAACTGTGCAAATGACGCATTTGCTTTAACTGCTGCGTTACCAAGGTAGCGGACCGGACATTATATGGTCGTAAGCTAAATGCAAACCAAACTTTTCCATTTGGAGTTTGTGTGATAACATGTGATAATATAAAAATACATTATGTCCTCGTTTTCTTTGTTATTGTTGATTGTATTGTATATAGGTGTTGTTAGTTTATTGTTATAAACCTGAAATTTCTTTGCATTTGCAAAATATTTGACATATTTCTATTGTCATTCTTCAATGCGTCAAACCGCGCGAGTGCTGCTTTATACTGCAACGCTATCATTTCGTTCGTGAAAATGGAAAAAATGGAATTTGGAGCAGTTGTATGGTATTTCTAGAAAATAGATAGGTGAAAAGGTCAATTTTTTGTGAATAAGTTCAATTCGAATATAGATTTAATTCCAGCGTTTACCTACTGCCAACAACAGATCTAGATTTTTAGTTGTCAAATCTTTAGCTTTCGATCCCTTGAAGATGTAGAAGGTCAAGATGTACATTGGTCATTAGTTATGCAGGGGAATCACCCCCGGGTATATCTACCAAGCTCCCCGAGGAAAAGGTCATGTAAAAGTTGGAAATTCGACCCCGAAAACTTGTCGATTTTAATCTGGCTAAAGCACTTTGTAAATAATGTCTCGTTTGCTAAAAATATGGCTGTGTGTTGTTATATAGAAGAGCTTCCTACCTGATACTACTTTAAAATAATTAGCCTTACGTTTGTTTCTTGAGAAGTGAAACTAAAATGGCTTCGGTGAAAGTTGCTGTTCGTGTGAGACCCTTAAATGGAAGGTGTGTAGTTTTGTGCATGCTTTTGGCGCTATATTTTAAACATTAATGTTTATTTGTTGATAAAATACCTAACTCAGGGAAAATGAAAAAGGAGCTTCTGTTATCATCGGAATGGAAGGGAAAAGGACAAAGATATCTAACTTTAAAGTTCGTTCAAAAATTACCTAATATAATATACAATACAACGTGCATACCATCAACATTTTTGTTGCTGTTCTGAACGCAATTCATTCAATATATTTCATTGTAGGCAAGCGCAATGGAGAAAGTTAAAGAGTTTACATTTGACCATTCGTATTGGTCTGTTGACAGACGCAGTAGAAACTATTCTGATCAAGAGAAAGTACGTAATGTTTTTACATAAAATCTTTCAATTTTGAATTCTTGCAGTAATTCACGGGTTTTTTTAGATTTTATTTTGCTTCTTGTGTTTGACACGTTCAAGCAACTTTACATAAAAGCTGTCAAAACGATCTGTTAAACTTGTTTTACTGGTATATTTCGTATTAGCGCTGCACAACTATTTCTCAACTCTTGCATTATATTATATTTGGTTTTTGTTCTTTCTTATTTCCGGAATACATCTATGAATGAATATCGTTTATATGTGGATTATGATTTTTTAATATTTGATCAATACGCATTGAGCTTTTCCCGATATTTTATTATTGGAGGGAATGTTTACTATTTCTTGTTGCAATAAATTTGTGACTTTCACCAAAATATCTTCCTTTAATTTTAAACTTTTTTCATTAACAGTTTTTTTAACAAACTTTTGTAATTTTATTAAAATTATATGACATTTGCTTATAATTGAGACTTTTCTAAATTCTATATCCTAATATACTTCGATTAAACAATTATATCATCATTTTTGTAGGTATTTAACGACTTGGGCTTGATGATTGTAAAGGCAGCCTTTGAAGGTTACAATGCATGTATTTTTGCTTATGGACAGACGGGCTCAGGAAAAACGTATACAATGATGGGAGATTCGGTATGACTGCCAATTCTTCAACATTTCATATTTATGCATTTATCCATTTTGATATACATTCACTCTTGTTAATAGGAAAAAGATCCCGGGCTTATTCCCAGAATCTGTGAGGTATTCTCTAAAATGTACAATTTTTTATTTTAAATTTAGAAAGACCAGAGTCATTATTTTCATTTTAGACTATGTTTGCAAAAATGAATGCAAACAGGGACCAGGGAGTTTCTTATAGAACTGAAGTCAGGTAAATGAAAGAAAAAATTTACTTTGGTATGTACAGTAGCACCTGTGTTAAGTGGTCACACAAGAAATCCCAGAGGTGACCGCTTATTAAAGGTTCTACTGTATATTTGCTTTTTATGATGTGTTAATTATAAGTTGTAAAAGCAAATGTTGAAAGTTAATACCCATGAAACTTTTAATTGTTGTATATTAATTTGATTATCTTATATATTATAATAACAATTTTATGGTTTTGTAGCTATTTAGAAATCTACAAAGAACATGTGAGGGACTTGCTTCGCCCTCCTGCCAAAGGGGCAGTACAACACAACCTTAAAGTACGTGAGCACCCACAAGATGGTATTTATGTTCAAGGTAGTATGTATTGTCATTTCTTGGCATGTTAAAATGCTAAATGTTATTGCTCACCTGAAGTAAGAGATTTGGGTGATGAAAATGTGTTTTGTTTCAGACCTCACAAAACATCTTGTCTCAGATTTTGAGAGCATTCATGAACTTATGAAAGAAGGAAGCTCAGTGAGGTTGGTTCAAAAGTAACAAGATAGAGCCCAAAATATTTACTATATTTACATAATTTATGTTTCACTGTATATCAACATTTTACTTTGTAATTTCTTCATTGTTTAAAATTATCTTCAATGCAGAGTAACAGCAAGTACGAACATGAATGATGTCAGCAGTCGATCACATGCCATTTTCACTATAAGTTTTACTCAGGTTCATTCTTTATTATTTTATATTATGTTTTGGTTTATGAATTGGTGATTTTTTCTTTTGTATACATTTATTGATTTTTCTCTCATATTTTAGGCTAAATTTGATCATGATATGCCAAGTGAAACAGTCAGTAAAATTAACTTGGTTGATTTAGCTGGAAGGTAAAGAAACTAATGTTTATCAACCATAAATATGTATCCAAAGTATTTAATATAAAAACATGTAAAAGACAACTTATGCTGTAGTGTTTAAAAAGTCATATTTGTAAGCAAGTTTATATTCATATTTTTCTCAATAATATATATATATAATATAATAATATAATAAACTTTAATATTCATTACAGTTATCTCAAGCTCCTTTGGTTTACTTTTCCTTTGCCAAATACATTATAATGGTTGTTTACTTTTATCATGTTGTTAAAGTTTACTGTTGTTTGTGTTTAGTGAACGTGCGGATGCTACAGGTGCTACAGGAGATCGTTTAAAAGAAGGTGCCCTCATCAATAAATCTCTTGTCACTCTTGGAACAGTTATATCGCATTTAGGTAAGTGATCTCTAAAGCTTGACAAACATCGTCAAGTTTTTTATATAATATATCTTATAGGTTATGCAAAACTATTTTCCATTATTTTACATCACTCACACAGGAATGTAAATCAAAAGTTAGGCCAGGAAGATGTTTAATTTTAAATTTTTCATTATTTTCCGTTGACGATTAAGTTGTTGTTGATTTCAGCCGACGTTTCAATGCATCCACAAAAAAAGATATTTATTCCATATCGTGATTCGGTGTTAACCTGGTTACTGAAAGATAGTCTTGGTGGAAACTCAAAGACAGTTATGATTGCAAGTACGTAGATACATTTCAATAAAATAAATTTTATAAATTCTGATTTCATGTTTCAGTTTGTATCACAATTTATTAGGATGCATTTAACGTGCGCAAGTTTTATATTTACATTAAACTTAGTTGGGTACTTGGGAACTCTGTATCTTGGCAAGAATTTCGTAGTCAATGATGCCTAAGTTACTGAATATCAGATGAGAGAGATGTTCCTTGTAAACTGTATTGCGTTTTGCATGATTTGCCTGTAATCGTCTTTTTGTTTTAAGACAGAGAACTTGGGATTGCTATAAAAAATTGCGTTTTAATCCGAGCCAAAGACACATTAGCGAATCGATTTAAATTCTTTAAATTTGACTTTCTTGATTTTAGCAATCTTTCATAATTATTGGAAATATTTATCCAGGCAACTTCTTTCGTTTTCTTCCATTTTAGCCATCTCGCCTGCAGACATAAACTACGCTGAGACCTTAAGCACGCTGAGGTATGCAAATCGTGCCAAGAATATTATAAATAAACCGACTATTAATGAAGACTCAAACGTGAAGTTGATAAGAGAACTGAAGGCAGAAATTGAACGTCTTAAGTCTATGGTTGACCCGGTAGGTGAAGATGGTCATGCGTCATTTCTTACTTTAATTATGAACTAGCAAAATCTCTTGGTACAACTGGAAAGATAAAATACTCTGAATAAACATCTTGTAAACTGAAGGTTTAAAAAACTGAGATTTTTTATATCTTCAGTTTTTTGCTTATTTTGCTAAATAACTATAAAATAAAATTGAAAGATACCTTTGAAATGCAAAATGACAGCACTGACGACAATTTAATGTCAAATGTGGTTAACCATTTACGATTATGGCCAATAGCCAATAACCAATGTATTATAACTAATTATAAAATAAACACAATGAAACGCGTGCGCTGATTGGTCTAGAGCTGAGTTTGCATTAGCCTGTGCAAAACACATCTGAGCTCAACCAATCAAATCAATCTAAACAATCAATCTGTCAAATAGAATTTGCAAATCGATCATGAATACATTTTAGAGGAAAATTTAAAATGTTTGTCTTTTTCGCATTATTGTTACTTTATAGAAGAAATAAAAGATGTTTTCGTGTTTGCACAGGCTTATGCAAACCTCAGAGACGTTTGTGAGAACTCTCGAGCATGTACAACCTCGACCTTCGATCTCGGGCTTGCACTGACCTGCTTTCGAATTCTCTCAAAGGTCCCCTTGATTTGCATAAGCCTTTGCAAACACAGGAAACATCTTTTATTTCTAATAGGCAATCACAACACAATAGAACATTAGGCAAAACGTTGAAAACTGTAAAAAAGCAAAACAACCATGCATGTCATTTTATTTATGGTTTCTCTCTTCATTTTTACCGCTGTGGCAAACTTATTTGTTTTGTCGTATGCAGGCAGCATTGGGAAGCGCTGAGTTGGCTGCTGCGAAGAAACTTTCTGAGAACGAAGCAAGAGTAAGCGAACTTACGGATCGATGGAAAGATAGATGGAAAGAAACACAAAAAATTTTGGAAGTACGAAAGTTTCCTTTTTCTTCATTTCTACTGAAAGTAAATTCATTAAATCTCCCCAGTCCCCACACGGATGTTTTTGGTGCAAATAACATTCCCTCGCTTTCTCAGCTTATACCCATTTGTCTTTGGTTTTGTGTTTCTAAATGGCTAAGGCAAAAAATGTCGAATCTAAAGAGGTGTACTTGATGAATTATGCTTTTGTTTCAACAGGAAAGAGAAATGGCTTTACAACGAGAAGGAGTTGGAATCAAAATGGACTCTGGACTTCCACACCTTGTTGTTGTTGACGATGATCTTTTTAGCACTGGAATTGTTGTTTACCATTTGACGGTATGTACTCTTGTGTAGAAACGAATATTTGCTGTCAAGTTTTTTCTTTGCGCTTAATTTGTCGATTTGTCACGTGATAGGAAGGGCGAACGACTATTGGTCGAGAAGATGCAAGTGTGAAGCAGGATATTGGTTAGTATTCGTATTTACTAGTTTTGGTGTTGTATTTACTGCATTCATCTATTAACAGTGATGTAACCAGCCAGTAAATTTGCAGTCTGGCTATGTAATGAATAAGAAATATCAGCTACTTCGTCTAAAAAACTGTTGTTTTTTTATCTTGAATATTAAGAAGAGGAGACATCTACATTCGGGGTTTTTTTATTATTTATTTTCTGAAGCTATGCCATTGACTTGTAATTTTTATTATAAGTCAATTTTTATTTACGTGTTACTCATTTTATTCGTGTATTTTTATTTCATCTTTTATTCACAGTAATAAGTGGTCCAGATACAAACAAAGAACATTGTCATATCGAGAATACTGCTGGGAATGTTGTTATAAATCCTTTATCTTCTCTTTGTACTATCAATGGAAACATGATACAAAAACCTTCCAAGCTTTATCAAGGTATTTTGGGATCAAGTACTTGAGCGATTTTTTTGATAGTAAACTAAAAGATGAAACATGGCATGCCTTATCTTTCTCAATCTCAGTTACTTTAGATACGTGGGTGAGGTTCATCATGTGAGGAGGGAAATCTTTGTTTGTTTGTGAACATGTTGTTTACATTTTGTAGGAGATGTTATTGTCTTGGGAAAGACAAATTTATTTCGTTTCAACCATCCCCAAGAAGCAGCTGAGTTACGGGAGAAACGCAAGGTAAAAATAAACATGAGTTGTAAATTAATGTGAAAGACAAACGTGGTTTTTAGCGAAGGCCATTCGTCGCAAAATTAATTATGTGAATTAAATGTTTTGCATAATTAATTATCTTCGCTCAAAGTATTGAAAAGTAAATAGGGCTGTTATGTTGCAGCTAGCTGGTCGTAAATAAATCTTTTGCATTGATAATACACATAATTGATCAGCTCCAAAAAGTTTTTATGTCATGTGATTGATCTGTTTTAAATTTGTGTCTTCACGTGCATACAGAAACATTTTCTGAAACATTTTAGTCGATGAACAAAAATGGTTTGAATTGTGCGAATGTAATAACGACATTCCGCAGCGAATCTGATTTGTTAAGAGGATTTATTACAGGGTATGTAACTGATTTTTTTATTCTCTCTGGCTTTAGGGGTCCTACGACTGACTCTGTGGGGAGGGTGGTCTTACGACTGATTTTGTGGGAGAGGGTGGTCTTACGACTGACTGTGGGGAGGGTGGTCCTACGACTTGTGACCTTTTTTGGGGGAGGGCGATCCTACGACCTAAAAATGGATATAATTGAAAAAGCGATGTGGGCAAAGTTTTACCAGCTAACTATACGTCGTAATGACTAATTTTTCCTTCTTCTCCATTTCCCAACAGAGTTATTGAGTAGTGTATAGTACACTTATTTAAGTGCAGTGTTTGGTTGATTGTATGTTTAGTGAATAATCGTTTTCATTCAATCATTTAGAAGTGAAAGAGAAGGAAAACTTACGCGTGAACTAGAGGAAGCAAAGTAAGCTCTATTAATTGTTCACTTACCCCTTTAATTGTACGAATTTAATTTTACTGGAATTACGCAACGTAATGTAGGAACTTTACATTATTGCAATGTAGGGTAGGTATTTTGTTACATTATTGCAATGTAGGGTAGGTATTTTGTTACATTATTGCAATGTAGGGTAGGAACTTTGTTACATTATTGCAATGTAGGGTAGGTATTTTGTTACATTATTGCAACTAGGGTAGGTATTTCGTTACATTATTGCAATGTAGGATAGGTATTTTGTTACATTATTGCAATGTAGGGTAGGTATTTTGTTTCATTATTGCAATGTAGGGTAGGTATTTTGTTACATTATTGCAATGTAGGGTAGGAAATTTGTTACATTATTGCAATGTAGGGTAGGTATTTTGTTACATTATTGCAATGTAGGGTAGGTATTTTGTTACATTATTGCAATGTAGGGTAGGTATTTTGTTACATTATTGCAATGTAGGGTAGGTATTTTGTTACATTATTGCAATGTAGGGTAGGTATTTTGTTACATTATTGCAATGTAGGGTAGGTATTTTTACATTATTGCAATGTAGGGTAGGTATTTTGTTACATTATTGCGGTGAAGTGTAGTTATTTTGTGACCAGGTTTTTGCTCATCTTTAAAAAGGAATTTATTGGAAAAACAGAAGCAAGAAGAATCACTTCTTTTGGAAAAAGCAAAGTGAGTGGACTCGCTTCTTATCCTTGTTTCTTTATTATTGTATTTTTCTTTTTCACTTTTTTTTTAGAAACGAGCTTGCTGCTGAAATTCAAAAGGAGTCAAAGCGTCTTGAAGAAACCAGGTGAATTGTGATATTTTGAGATACAACGTAGTGGCTTTATAACTGAAAAATTACTCTGCTTTCATCCACAGACAAGAGCTTGAACAACAGCGGGCGATTGTCACTACTCAAACAGAAAGAGCGGATAATGCTAGGTATGACGGGATAATGCTAGGTAAGAAGGGATTTCTATTGTAAAATTAGATGTGGTAGAGGATGCGAAGGGATTTCATTTAAGTCATAATGGGCTATAGAAGAAATTCTTTTGTGGTATTGTGATGGATATATAATAGCATTTGAGTATACTGAGGATCATCATCATACCCATCTTTAGCGTGTTGTGTAATTGAGCAATTATTATTAAGAGCTGAATACGAGAAACTGGAAGAAAAACACCGAATCTCAGAAACAGAACGTCGCAAACAAGAACTTATTTATAAACACGAACTGGAAAGTCGAATGATGAAGATTGAAAGTCAGAAAGAAGAACTTGAGAAACTCCAGGATCAGTTTAATCATGTTGAAAAAGTCATGGAACGTGAACTCGGCGAAGTGAGAGAAAAAATCTATGAAGAAAAACGTGCAAAGATTGAGCAACTTGATAACGAAGTAAAACGACTAATGTTACTTCAGACCGAGAGTAAGATTGCCCGCAAAGCCCGCGAGGAAGAAAGAGTAGCCTTAAAGATTATCTGGGACAAAGAAACTAGCAAGATATACGAGGAGAAAGAAATTTTGAATTCGTTAGAGAACGACCTTAGCATGCTAGAGAAAGAAATTGATGAGGTATTATTATAAAGGTAGTACTTATTGTCATCAATATTTTTGTTATTTTATATATATATATTTTTAGAAAAAACAAGCTACGGTCGACTGTGAAGATCTAGAAGATGAACGCGTCAGACTTGTAAGAAAAATTCTTAAGTCGAAGGAATGCATATCTTATTTATATCAAGAGCGTGAAAGTGCGGTTGGAAAGGCACAAAAGCATCTTCAAAACGCACGGGAGGTTTTAGATTGGGAAGTAGTTGAAAAGGATGAAGAATTAAGGCAACGTCGACTGATTCTTGAAGAACGTTTAAACGAGCTTGAAGCCGAAGAAGACATTGCGGCTGACCAATTGGCCGAGGCAGAAATCGAATTTGGAAATATAACTTGTGAGAAAGACAGAATTATACACAATGCTCAGGAACAGTTGTATAAACTAGAAGAAGAGATAATGAAGACTGCTCAAATTGATGATGCCGAATTAAGGGAGAAGAAGAGAAAATATGAGGAAGAATGCAACGAGAGAAGTTTACAATTGGCTGCCGAAAGGCGAACAGCTGTTGAATTAAACGAAAAGATTGAAAAATTAAAGAGAGAAGAATCAGTTGAGGAAGCTGAAGTTAAAAAACTTGAAGCCGAATTAGAAAAACGGAAAATTATGTTACGTGAACACGAGGAACAATGTATTGTTGAGGAAAAAAAAATTCAAGATTTATTAGCCATGGCTAGTCGTGATTGTAAACAAAAACAAGCCAAACGTGAAGCTGAGTTAGAAACTGAACGAAATAAAGTCAAGGAACTAAAAGACAACAAAGCAATGACTATCAAAGAATACACAAAAAAGATGAATCACTACAAAGAAATGTTAGCGGAAGCACAAAGTAAACTAAAATCTGACAAAATGAAGTTGAAAGAAGTCTTGATGGAAGAGGAAGCTTTGCGTGAGAAATTCGAGACCGGAGTGGTTTCGATCGCGCGTAAACTATCCGAGGGAATTGAAACCAAACCTGAAGATCTTTCACTTGAAAGTCTGTGTGTTGACTTTGAAGCAATGAGTAATCATGGCCGTACGGAGATCAATCAGAAGGAAGATGATGTACAGAAAGAGTTGAATGAACTAAAAAGCAATTGTAAGATTGTGGAAGAAAATGTGACGATGGAGGAAAAGGCTAAAGACATGATAGAAAATGATTTAAAAGAAATGAGAGAAGTGTTTAGGAAAGATCGCACAGAGGAAAAAATGGAGTTAATGAAGTTTGTGGAAAAGTTTGATGGAAATGTATATGAGAACGATAGGTAAGTTAGTAAACTTTAGATGTAGCCATTATGAAATAAACAATCTTCCATTCCTCTTTGACTGAACATAAAACAACAAACATAGTAGGTATGACAATTTAGGAAAACATTATTGAATCATTTGCAATTGCTTTCACTGTCAATAGAAAAATTAAGAAAGTGATCAGAAAAGATTTTGGTGTGAAAAGTTAAAATCTGCTCTTATCATACCATTGTACGATTTGTATTTTTTTTAACATACTGCTTGTTTTGTTTATTTGTATGTACAGCAACATTGATCCGTTGATTACGAACCAAGAGTTTCAACAACAGAGCGAAGAGGTTTTGTTAAAACTGGAGCTAGAAAAGAAGAGATTATTGTTAGAGAACGAACGACTTGAACGTGAAAAAATTAAAGAACGAGAGTTAATTGAGCAAGAGCGTCTGGCCTTGGAACGAGAAAAGATTGACGAAATACAATCAGTAATACGAGAGAAAGAAAACGAATTGAATAGTGTTAAAGAGGAAGCACAAGAGAAGATTGTAGAGTTGAAAAGGAAGCTGGAAACGTCTGATAGGTAGGAATAGTTATGAATACCAAGGGTTTCGCACGTGCCAGCTTATTATTGTTATGATTGATTTGTTTCAGAGAGATTGCCCAATTGCAGCATAAAGTAAGAAACTACACAAGTATGATTGTAAGTAGAAAAAATTTTCTTTAAGTTGGAAAAGATATTTATGTGATAAAAATAAAATTTCAATTTTTCTTTCACGTATTTGCAGAATTTACCAACACACAACGACTTTGATGAAGTATATGACAACGATGACGCAGAAATAGCAAATTATTTTTCTCGTAACAGAAAGGTTTGTTGAATTGAGTTGTAGTGAGTAATGTATTATAGTGAGCAGTTTATTACTAGGCTGTCAAAATCCTTTTCACTATCAAATTAGGAATTTTTTAGTTTTGTGATTTTATGTTAGTTGGATGAAATAGTAATAAAATCAAACCAAACTAAGAAACTCTTACATAAGTATTACAATCTTTAACTTTTTACCACTTTGTAGTAAAATTCCACCGTGATTTTTATAAATCAGTTTCACGAGACTTGATTGGTTGACAATACTAACATGAACATGTCATTATGCACGTATTTAGCTTCGACGCGGCGGCAGTATTGTCAGTTTGGATGGATCAGTTACCCCACCGTCAATAACACCCCCACCAACTCCTGTGTCAAAGTTCCTGGCCTCCGTCATTCATAGTAAACGAAACACGATTTATATTGAAATTCCTCGCTTCAAGATACGAGGCATAGGCCGTGTGTCATATCACGTATTTGAAGTCAAGGTAGTGCTGGTTTCTTTAGATTTATTCACTCACTCCAAGTTTCTCTTTAGGGGGGTGGGGGTGGGTAGCTTATTACATATTTTTGACGTATATTCATGAGCAAAGTGAAACCGTCATCCTAACCTTTTCAAAATTTCCTTTATTTGTTTGCCTATAAACGACCTCTTCCCGACTCTGGGAGGGAGGGGGGTGTCTGTCAATGGTTTAGGCAATTTCTCGAAGTTTTTGAGAACATTTTCAGTGTAGTTATATTTTTTAACGTTTTTTGACGTGTGCAGCCCATTCAAAGCAGTTTAAGAATGACAAGGAATGGTGACTTGTGTGAATAACAAGGTAGCGACGTGTACTGACGCATATGTTTTTTAGATAACCGTTGGAGATGACACTTGGACTGTTTTTCGACGATACAGGAAATTTCGAGAAATGCATAACGACATAAAAAATAGGCATCCAGAGGTATGGTCTAAAGAGGTGCACCTCCCTCTTATGAATATGGAATGTCTGTTTTGCCGGGGGGGAGCTACTCCTCAACGACGTTTAATGTCGTTAGTTTAATCATGCTATTTCGAAGTGAAAGAAAATGGAAGATGGTTTTGTGAATGGGGTGAAATTTAAAATCATCGGACACATAGTTGATTGTAGATTGGCCTTTGTTAAAGTATTGGGGAGTTTGAATAACTTGTTTCGACTGGACTTTGTTTATATATTATCATTTCAAGGTTCGTGATGTTAGCTTTCCTCCACGAAGAGTTTTCGGCAACAGAAATGAAGATTTCGTTTCAATGCGTAAAGAAATGTTAGAGGTTCGTGAACTTATTGTCAACTATACCTGCTATCAATTTGTTTTGACAAATTGTCCGAATTTAAGCACGTTTGAAAAAGTGTTCTAACAGAGATCATAATTATTGACTTTACTGTCTGTAGCACAGATTTTCCAAAATAAAACTCCATCGATACGAATCAGCGACAAGGAAAATTGCTCGATTTTCGTCCTCCGTTCAAAGTTTATTCATTTTGTAGCATTCAGATGTTACAGATTTGAATGATTATGTTTAAGTTATAAAAATTATTTTTATAGAATTATCTACGGGAGATGTTAAATCTCTGTTCAACTCTGAGAACTTGTCATCTAAATGTTCCAGAAGGACAAACTCTAACAAAATGGGATCTTGCTTACTTTCATAACTTCTTCAAGCAGGGAATTTTCGAACAATCCAGAGCATACAATGCCTCGTGACAGTTGCCACAGATAACTCCTGGTAGATATTATGATCTGATATTTCAATAAGATTTTTTTAATTTTCAACTTGAATACCAATATAAAACAAAAGCAAATCTTCGTAAACAAGAGAATTTCGTTGAAACACCTGAATATATATATTGCATTATTTCTTTCTTGCATTTTTCCATATGAGTGTCTTCTGCTATATCTATCCTTTTCGGAAAAGTATTTAAATAAAATTAATTGTGTAATTTATACTATGTACAAAGTGTGGAATAAATCGTATATTTAATAAGGGTGAATTTTATATTTTAGACGTAAATACTGTAAAAGTTTTTGCAATATAGAGATCGTTGCGAGGATGTAGTCAGGAAACTTTAAAATAAAGCTTCGAATTAAATTCTAATATTAGTTGTCTTCCTGTTTTCATAAATCTCATTCAATTCTTCAATTGATTTAAAAATCTATTGTAATTTACAAATAAAATGGAAATGCTTTAAGACGCTAACCTTCATTCTGTTTTGTCGTTTACAACAGCATTATTAAATCAGTTTAGTTCAAAGTACTTTTTCACAAAGCTTTATCGTACAAAGTTAAAAATGAGTTTCACCGTGACTGGAATTCAAAAGAAAAGGTAGGAACATGTTTTTTTCTACATTTCAAAATATTTTATCTTCCTACAAATTATGGAATATAAATTCTTCATTCTACACTTTTAGCCGAACAGCAAGTCATAAGACCGAAGATGATACTTATACAAGAGATTTAGAGAAAGCATTCAACGACTTTGACGAGTCGATGGAACAAACACGCAGTGAAGCACGACAAAGATGGGATAAAGCAGTAAGCTCAACAAGGACCATGGTGATAGCTCAAATTGATTTGTACCAGTACAAACAAGAAGAAATCGATGTGGAAATTCGTGATATGAAGATCTATGTGAAAGGTAGACACGTTACTGAACGTGAAAATGGTTATGATGCAAGCGAATTCGAGAGATTCTATACAATCCCAGAAGGTGTAGATCCCAAGCATGTCAGCACTCGCTACACCGATGGCATGCTGAAGATTGAAGCCCCACGCCCCAGACGGGAAACACAACCGCGCAAAATCGCAGGAGGTGAAATAGTCAGTGATGATGAAAAGTTTGAGGTTGTTCTCGATGTACGAAATTACAAACCAGATGAGATTGAAGTGAAAGTGAACGGAGACGATTTGATAATCTCTGGAAAACAGGAAAGCGAAGAGAAAGGAAGACGAGTGACACGACAGTTTACACGTAACTTTAAGATCCCACGTGATGTAAGTATAAAATCGGTGAAATCACGTGTCAGTGTGGATGGATTTCTATATGTATATGCAAAAAAGGAAACGAGTTGGGACGAGGAACGCGTCATCAATGTTCTTGTCAACGGAAGACGCTCACCAATAAGCAAAACACAAGCCTACTTTACTGGTGGTAATGAATAGGTTGACTTTCGCAGCATGCGGACCTTGTGCTATGGAAAAACTGGTTGGAAAAAGTAACAAAAAAGACTTAATGCCATGCAAATAGTTAAAATTCTTTCTTATCAATAGTTCTACTTAAAGAAAAAAATTTATAACATCTTATACGAGTACGTTCTTGACCTTTAAATCCTAAAGTTTGTGAAAATACGTAATAAATTACATAAAATGGAAACTTGATCGAAATCAAATATAATCTAAACATGTGATGAAAGTCTAATTGTCATCTTTAGTTATGCTTTGAACCTGACAAAATATGCGCTAGATTTTCAGAGGAAATAAAAGCAAAGTATATTCATTCATACGAATTTTTATGACTTGTTGGTGGTAAATCATCATGTTGAATCATCCATCTCAATATCGTAGGATCTCTTCACACTGGCTGAAATGAGAGTTAAAAAACAAGTTTAAACAATGAGCCTGTATAGAAGTGTAATACCCAAATGTACCTCTGTGCCCCATTGGTTCTTTACTGTTTAATTGTTTCATTTGGTAATTAGCCAGATAGATGGGCTCATATTCCTAGAAAATATAAATGAATAAAATATCCCCACAGTTCATTGCATGTAAGAATCACAAGCATAGCTAACCATTAGTTGTTGTGTAAAGCCACTATTTGGACAGATACAAAATCTTTTCCTTTGTACATACTTGAAAGCATTACTAATAAAATTTAGTGATTATTAGAATTTTATTGATAGTTATGACTTGAAATTACATAAGACAGGTTCAGTGTATTAAAAGTATGCAATATTATTGGTTAGTTGCTGTCAAGATTAAAATGGGACATGCAATCTTATTGTTTTGAATGAGAATTGTGCATACTTATAGTCCATCCCATATGTTTCCATGATGTATGCTATCAACAATGATGCACTAAAAGATAAATTTAGTATTGAAATTACAAACATATGTCAAAGAAAGTCAGTCTTATAACGAAGGGGGAGGGACCATGTCTGCATATTTAGTTGAGCACCTTCGTGATATTCCTGTGTTTCCATGGATAAGAATTTTCCCTGTAGCCAATGAGAACACAAGTTACATGGCATTAAAATGCAACACTACATGAAATACACAGGGTCATACCATTTAAACTTTGACATTCACATATGAAATCTCGCACCTATGAAATGCATGCTAATTCATTAAATACCATAGTATGTTTAGTAATGGGATGATTTTGATAGGTATTTTATTACTCTTGGAAAGTATTGTATGATGTTCTCTGTTGTTTTGTCTGCAATATTGAGTACAAGGTACCTGTGAAGGAATTTGTAGCAATATGATGAGAAGTTGTGATGGTTTTGTATGAAACAATTATACACTTTACAACATACTTGAAATGTTCTGTAAAGTTTGGTCTCACAAAGTTAGCTTCAAGATCTTCTCGAATACAGACAATGTGAGTAATACCATGTTCCAAGAGAAAGTTCAGCTATATCAAACAGGCATTCAAAATCATTATAATTATATTTGATTTCTTAAAAAAAATTTACATATATTATGTTTCATGTACCTTTGACTTTATAGCAACAGAGTATGGTCCCAAGAAAACACCTGGTAACACTTCCTGTTATACGAATATACAACAATGGTCTGAATTCCTGTAATTTCTATTTTTAGTTATTTTTCACGCAAAAACTTGATAAATTGTCATTTGAATGCTTAGATGATAGAAACCTGCATTTCTCGTCTTTTTTTATAATACCAATCCTAGTTAAAAAAAATCATAACAGGATCGTCAGTACAATAGTACATTTAATTGAATGAAAGTATTTCCGTTTAACAAACCTCCTCTTCCCCTTCGTCAGGTATTTGTGGAAAGCTAACATCGTCCATATTTATTAAGATATTACGTTACTGAACTGAAAACATTCATAATTGAGAAATATATAACTGATTTCCGTCAGATTTAAATGAAAATGTCAGAATTTCTCGGCTGCCATGTGAGTTTGCTCGTAGGTTTATATATGGTTTATATCATTGAGTTCTATTCATATCTCGTATGGTAAACGGTAAGCATACTTCCGGGGTGAAGGTATTGTCTTTGATGTCTTTGAACACACAGTTCGTTTCAATTTTTAAAATGAAGTCCAGATTCACAACTATTGATATATTTGCTGTCATAAATGATGTAAAAAGGTACTCAAAGGTGCATTAATTCAGTTATCATTTCTCTTGTTTCAAATGTTTTTTACAAAGTCGTTATTTATAGATTCCTTGGCATGAGAGTGAACAACATTTACGATATTGACAACAAAACATATCTCATTAGGCTAGCAAAGTAAGTTTGCAAACGTGTGGTTTTTACTGTGTATCAAACTTAAGCGAATATTCGAAAGTTATCTTTTATTTGAAAGTATTTTATCTGCAAAATAAATGAATGGCTCCATAACTAGCATAATGGTGTTTGTGGTTAAACATGAGTTTTCTCATCTGTGAGAAAATTTAGTTATAGTCTTGTTCTAGATACAATCTTGTGATTAAATTCATTTGATGTTGTTTTGAAAATTGATTGATACAGCACTTTTTATTCTCAGACCAGATCATAAAGTTGTGCTACTGATTGAGTCTGGACTGAGATTTCACAGTACAGAATTTGAATGGCCTAAAACACTTTCCCTTCAGGCTTTTCAATGAAGGTATGTGGAAGAATTATTGTGTGGAAAGTGGCTTTTCCATTTCCTTTCTAATATTTACTGACATTTTGTTACAGATGCGTAAACATATATCAGGAAAAAGATTGGTAAACATTACAATACTTGGTGTAGATCGTATTTTGGATTTTCAGTTTGGTTCCAATGAAGCTGCTTATCATTTGATTGTAGAACTGTATGATAGGGTAAGTTTGTTTGAGGTAGTTTATGGATTTTAGAGGGTATGATGTTAGTCTGTACATTGTTAGCATATTCAGATCAGCAGGTTTTTCACATGTTTTATTCACAGCAAATTTAAGTTTGTTGACTATTTTGAAACTTCCCTTAACCAAAGGAAGTCTGTTGTAACAGACAGATTTTAAATAGAAATACATTGGGATTATGTTGTGTATGGAGAGGGTGTATGTGAAGTCCACATGGGATATTTGTGGATTACAGTTGTTGGAGAAGGACTATGTTGTATGTAGGGATGATTTATATCATCTTGATTGATACATAAGCTAGTACATCATGAATTTTCCTCTTTACTTTCAGGGCAACATTATTTTAACTGATTTTGAATACACAATTCTAAATCTGCTACGCACAAGAACAGACAGTGATGATGTCAGATTTGCAGTTCGTGAAAGATATCCCTTAGAAAATGCTAGACAATATGAACCATTGCTGTCTATCGAGAGGTTGCATATGGATAAATGTCATTTTTTTCTTATTGAGAATTCATTTAAAGTTTCCAAACCATTTTTAGAGTAAAAGAATTACTTTCCCAAGCTAAAGAAGGCGATGTTTTAAGGAAAATTTTAAATCCTCATTTAGGTTTGTAATTTTTTATCACAAGCAAATATTTTATGTGGTTAAATGTTTTACTACATTATATGACCTTTTTTATTATGTTTATAAAGTTTTTGGTCCAGCTCTACTGGATCATTGTCTAAAACAATCTGGCTTTGTGTCTAATGCTCAGATTGGAAAGAACGTCAATGTTGATGAAGGTATTCAGTTGTGATTTTGTGGTGTTTTTTTATTTTTCTAAAAGAAAAGATTGAACTTTATGTCCAAAAATTAAGTTCATCCTATTCTTGTACTCCAGAGTGCCTATTTTAATTAGTTGAACATTTTTTAATTATCAAATAGACCATTTTCCCCCATTTACTTGCTCACCTGTCCATCACATTACCTAGCCTCTAGTGAAAGTTTATGAATTTGGTTTCTCCATTATCAGATGTATTTGCTCTCTTAGATTTGCCTAAAATAATGGCAGCACTTTCTGATGCTGAGTGTTACTTTAAGAGAGCTCAAAGCACATTTTGTAAGGTATTTTAATCAAAATATTTTTTCTTATTGGTGGTACATGTTTTATGAATCATTGCTAAGCTGTGCAGGTCAGTATTGGAAGCGAGGACTTTACAGTTTTTTCATTATCTTTACTGCAACATGTTTGCAGTACTCGAAAAGCTAGTGGAATAAAGGAGTGAAAAGTTAACATTACTTTGCTGTGAATTTTGATGACGACGAAATACAAAGTTATTATGTAGTTGGTCAGTTTTTCTAGGTGCTGTCTTTTATTCAGGGTTATATCATTCAAAGGCGTGAGAAAAAGCCTTCTGGTAGTATCAACCATGAAGATAAAGATATGGATCTTCTCACGTGAGTTTAATTTGTGATGTCTGATTATGTTCTCAGTCTTAAAGATTTTTTGTTATGTTAATGTTGTTATGACGTTTTAGTGATGATAGTTTATACTGTTTAGGTACCAAGAATTTCATCCATTTCTATTTGAACAACACAAAGACTTACCTTATATTGAATTGGAGTCTTTTGATAAGGTAAAATGAGTTAATGAAGGTAAAACAATGTTTAACTAAAGAATGTTATGAAAGTATTAGAATTTTATTTTAAGGAACAATAACGATTGTTTTTGGTTAATTCATTCTTGCAGGCCGTGGACGAATTCTTTAGTAAAATTGAAAGCCAAAAACTGGACACTAAAGCATTACAGCAAGAAAAAGCTGTTTTGAAGAAACTTGATAATGTGAAGAAAGATCATGAAAAACGTTTAAACAGTCTGCAAAAATCTCAGGTAGTCTTTGAACAACCAAATTCTCAAAGCAGTGTTGCGACAGCCTGTAGACATTTTATGTGTATGTTTTTTACAGATTGAGGAAATTATTACGTTAGGATGACATTTATTTTCCCCAGTTTACATGTTCGACTGAGAAACGAAGCATGGTCAAATTGAAAATACTTAATCTCGTTTTTTTTTATAGGAAGAAGACAAAGAAAAAGCAAGATTAATTGAAATCAATTTACCATTGGTTAGAGTATTTTCACCTCATCATTTTGTTTTTCTGTTCTCCAGCGATTGTATTATTTTCTTAACAAGATTTCTCATTATGAAGGTTGACCAAGCAATCAAAGTGGTAAATAGTGCTATAGCCAATCAGATTGACTGGAAAGAGATTGACAATGTTGTTAAGGAAGCTCAGGCCCGTGGTGATCGCGTTGCCATGGCAATCAAACAGCTGAAACTAGAGATAAACCACATCTGTATGATTCTCAAGTAGGTGTCTTATTTATCACTTCTTTACACGCACATCAATCTGCCATTACGTCATTTATACATCAGTTTATCATTACGTAATATGTACACCATTTATCACTACGTCATTTATACATCATTTTATCATTACGTAATATGTACACCATTTATCACTACGTCATTTATACATCATTTTATCATTACGTAATATGTACACCATTTATCACTACGTTGTATGTAAACCATTTCATCGTTACGTCACATCTACGCTATTCATCATTACGTCACATCTACGCTGTTCATCATTACGTCACATCTACGCTATTCATCATTACGTCATTTGACATTGATAATAACATCATAATACATGGATACATCTTCTAAAGGGAAGAATTTGACGAAACTTCGAGCAGCGATGAAGAAAACTTTCAAGACTTAGAAAGCAATAAAGTATGTGAGTTTTTTTTTGATAAGAATGAAAGTAAATTCAATTATTTTGTGTTTGCAAGATATAAAACCTCGTCATTTCTCTCGTTTATGTACTTCATCGTTTTTAAGACTCTGTTTACACGATACAGGTAGAGTTAGAAAACGATGCAAAACACTTACGGTTTAAGGTAATGTTCATACGACGCCGGTATGAAAAATTATGAAACCGTAACACTAACCATAATAGTTTGAAAACGGTACAAAACTACACCGTTTCCGTTGCGTTTGTACACCTAACCGTAAGAGTTTTATTACGGTTCAACGAAACTTTTTTCTCTGCTAAAAATGGTGCGTAAAATACTCGAACGCAGTCGTCACGACGTTAGATATGGTCAGTAAAAATAGGTAGACTTCAATTAAATATAACTGAAATAACTTGAAAGCCAGCCTCAATCTGGAGTAGTGTGAATACAACACCAAAACGGAGCAAAACTCTAACGGCATGGTGTGAACAGTACAAAACGGTATGAAACTCTACTGGTGGAGTTTAGTATCGGTATCGTGTGAACGTAGTCTAAACTTCTCAGTATGAGAAATGAATAAAAAAAAGGAAACGGAAAATTATGTTTTGTTTATGATGTTTTTATCCCCAGTTTAAGATGAATTACTATGAACATTTAATTACTTTAGACCTTAACAACTATGAAAGTCGACATTGATCTTGCTCTTACTGCTTACGCTAACGCTAGAAGGTAAATTGTGTATTTTATTGCACATTATCTTTTCATTAAAGGCATTCCTCACTTTTATTTTTCCTACAAATCCGCTCTTACTATTGACTCTTTTTGATTTAATAATTTAGGTATTACACAAAGAAACGTCAGGCGGCTACGAAGGAACAGAAGACAGTTGAAGCTTCAAAAAAAGCTTTAAAATCAGCAGAAAGGAAAACAAAGGAAACGCTGAAAGAGGTCGCCACAACAACCAGTATACGAAAAGCAAGAAAAGTCTATTGGTAAGAAAGAGTGGAAATACAAATCATCATCACAAAATATTCCCTGTGACAACGTAATGCTAGGAACAACATGCATCATAATAAATATAAATGAAATGAATTAGTTCACTGGAAAGCCATTGATTTATTTTCAATTTGTGCGTTTTTGAGCTTTGTGTTTTTTTTTCTAAATTTTTGTTTAGGTTTGAAAAGTTCTTCTGGTTTATAAGTTCAGAAAATTATCTCGTTATCGGTGGACGTGATCAACAGCAAAATGAATTGATTGTCAAAAGACATTTAAAACCCGGTATGAATGTTGTACGTCTCAAAATTACATCTTTTTCAAAGCTTCTAAACGGCACTTCGTATCTTACACACATATATTCAAGGCATTTTTCAAACAACGAAAACTATGGCTTCCGTTGTTTTTAATGAAAATATCAGCATGATGGAATGTTAGAAAGGTTAAAACTTGCCTTGAAAACGGTCATAAGTTCAATCATTTTTTGTCCACCATGTTCTAGGGGATATCTATGTACATGCGGATCTTCATGGTGCATCAAGTATTGTAATAAAGAACTGTGGTACCTCAGAAGACATTCCTCCAAAGACTTTAAACGAGGCAGGTTGTATGGCAATATGTTATAGTAATGCCTGGAATGATCGTATTATCACTAGTGCATGGTGGGTCTATCATCATCAAGTATCTAAAACTGCTCCCACTGGAGAGTATTTGACAACAGGAAGTTTTATGATTCGTGGAAAGAAGAATTATCTTCCACCTAGTTATCTCATCATGGGTTTCGCATTTTTATTTCGTCTTGACGAAACGTGTTTAGCGAAACATAAGGATGAACGAAAAATAAAAAATGTCGACGATGATTTACTGTTGCAGGTTAGTGATTAATTGATATATTTATGTAAGTTTTATTGTTATTTGTTAATCAGATTGTTCCACTATCACAATCCAGTCCATACTCTCAATTTATTTTACAATCCTTTCTTCACATTTTTTTCATATTTTTATTATTTTTAACTTTAGGATTTAAACATCGAAAGTGAAGAGATTGATATTGAAGTTAGAGATAGTGAAGAGGAGAATACAATAAAAGTTGATGATAAAGAAGATAATTTAGGTTTTCAGGGGGGTGAGGTTGAATCTAATTTAGAGACTGATGATTTACATGTTGATGAACGGTCGTTAACGATCTCATCTCAAGAGATGAATAATGACCAGAATGAATATGAAGATAAATTAATCATTGAACAGAGTATTAAAGACCAACAGATAAATGATGAAAACGGTGATAGCAATGTTGATGACCTATCGTATCCTGATACATCCATCAACCTTCAGTACACAAGCGGTGGAAAATTTCAGCTTCGAGGTACGAGTGTTCCTAGTTCTCATGCCCCTGAAGACTTTGTTGATCTTGGTGACGGGGAAATTCTCGATCTCAGGGCCCTAGGCAAAGACGTTGAGAATCGAAAGCAACGTCTTAGTGCAAAACAGCGCCGAGAGTTGAAAAAAAAGAATCCTGCTTCCAACTTTGACGACTCGTCATATGTTGAGAGCAGTGACCTTCAACCGGTCGGTGAAACCAACAAAACTTGTCAACCAGTCCCCCAGACAAGTGCAATAAAACGCGGGAAAAAGTCCAAGTTAAAAAAGATCAAAGAGAAATATGGGGATCAGGATGAGACGGACAGAGAACTGATGATGCAATTCTTGGGCTCTGCTGGTGTTCCTAAAGAAAGTAAGCGCAGTAAAGGCAAAGGACGTAAGGGTACAGCAAAGAACTCACAAATTGAGCGTAGAACTACAAAAGATAATGAAGCTAAAAGTACATCAGTAGCCAAAAAAAGCCAAGGTGAACTGAACAATATTGAGGGTGAAACTGTTCAGAATCTTCCACATTCCAGTATACTTTTGGGAATTTCGCTGAAGAATCATCACAGAAGGAGCAACTTGATGACCCTAAGGTATTGATGTCTTTGGTAAAAATATGTTTCTTATTAAACCCGTTGAGTGAAAAAGTATCATACGTTACAGGTCGTGGAGACAGATGATGTGGAAGATAAGGTAAGATCATCTTTCATGGTGCATTACTGATTACCGAAGTGTAAGAAAGCATTCTCTTATTTTATTATTGTTTTATTAAAGGATGAGATGGGTTTATTGAATTCTCTTACTGGTTGTCCTTATTCTGACGATATCACAATGTTTGCTATTCCTGTTTGTGCACCTTATACCGCTGTACAAAACTACAAGTAAGATTGAAAGTTAACTGGTCTTTATGTAAGGGAAACATTTCTTGTTTTGTTTTGTCAGATGTCTTGAAGGTTAACAATTTCTTTTTAAGATTTAAAGTAAAGTTAACTCCAGGAACAAGTCGCAGAGGAAAAGGTTACAAGTACAACTAATATACTTTTATATCCAACTGTTTTCTTATTCTTCATTCGCCACATTTCATTCACCACATCAATTACAAAACTTTATTTTATGATGATGATTTTTTTCATGAGGGACTATAGAAAACACTTGTTATTCAATATTAATGTTGACTATGTTAAAACTTTTATACATTGTGAGCAAACTAAAATCTTTCGTTTTTTTTTATTTTCCTTTAGCTGCTAGAACCGCTTTACATTCCTTTATTCAGTCACGAGAAACCACGATACGTGAGAAGGACTTATTGAAAAGCGTCAAGGTGTGTTTAAAGACTTACTTTTTTGTTATGAAAATCAAATTTTTCCGAAATAAATAAAATTTTGTTTGATCTAAAGTAACGTTAGAGTTTTATGAAATGACGAAACGTTACTTTGGATCTTATACCATTTTAATTTCTAAAATGGATTACTTAATGGTTAGGTATTGATTTTGATGTTATTAATTCTTTCTCTCCTGGCAATCCACTGGCTATTATTCCTGAACTTTCTTATTATAAGTCGGGTGGGACTTCCATCTTCCATATTCATCTTTGACTTTCTTGATCAACGACTTCTTTTAAATTTTGTGAAGTCAAGGAACGTAAGAACTAACTTTTAATTGAAACTAGTTCAAAAATGTTTTCGACAGTTTCTTTCTCCAAATTATGCCAGCTGAACCAACTGCTATACACCCAGTAACCAGTTTCAACAACAAAATCGATATCTCTGTTTATGTTTTTAAGGACGCCGATTTATCACGATATATTCCTGGCAAAGTAAAGTTGTCTGCGCCCAATTTGTACAAAAGCAAGAAGTGAGATGGAGAGAGAATATTTCACGACACCATTATCGGACACACCTGACAACACATGGTATGTTTTCTACTTCATAAATTCCAGCGTATCAATGTTTCTCCGCAATGGACTCTTACACAATGAAGTTTTCCATGTTGCTTCAAATACTATCAAAGTACCGCAAATGTTGCCAATGGTTACCGTTCAAGATGTTTTAATACATGTTGTCAAAATCATCTACTGTTCATCGTAATTGTGTTATAACTACACAAAAGATAACAGAGACTTTCCTCCGTGCCTCAAAATCATCTACTGTTCATAAGAATTGTGTTATAACTGCACAAAAGATAACAGAGACTTTCCTCTGTGCCTCAAAATCATCTACTGTTCATCGTAATTGTGTTATAACTACACAAAAGATAGCAGAGACTTTCCTCCGTGCCTCAAAATCATCTACTGTTCATCATAATTGTGTTATAACTGCACAAAACATTGCAGAGATTTTTAACAGTGCGTCAGAATCATCTACTGTTCATCATAATTGTGTTATAACTGCACAAAAGATAGCAGAGACTTTCCTCAGTACCTCAAAATCATCTACTGTTCATAATTGCGTATTAACTACACAAAAGATTGCAGAGATTTTTAACCGTGCCTCAGAATCATCTACTGTTCGTATTTATGTAGCTGATAATTACACAAAAGATAGCAGAGTCGTTTCACCATGCGTCTTCGCCCTCTTCACACGACAGTTGATCGCAAAGTGACGACACCATTATCGATTTTTTTCGAATCGTTTGATAGTGAGCGAGTTGTCTTTTGAATCAAAGGCGTTTTGATTTGCTTCTTGAGAAACCAGACCCAAAGACGAAGGAGAACCAATACAACGCTGACGCTTATGATAAAACTCGTCAAAAATACATACACTGCTAAAAGCATTGTAGTTGTTTTCTATTTTGTCTTCTCAGGCAATTTTGTTGCGTAATTTCTTTGTTTTATGAAGTTTTATATTGATGTTCAATCGATATCTGTCTTTTGAAATAATGAACGAGTACTACTGACTACAGGCTTTTAGTATTTTGTCCTAATTGAAAATTCATAAAATTCAATTTGGTCATGATTAAAAGATAACAAGGTTTTGCTTCACAAGAATGGAGGAAATTTTTTTGCGGATTGATTTTGTGGTAATTTATACAAAGCGTTAACCGCATTTCATTCATATCATTTTCGTAATAGATTGTACAATTTTATATGTAGAGATTTTTCAGAGTTGTGGAGAAATAGCCACATTATTTGGGTAAAAGAAATATTTGCGTACTTTCCAAGTGAGAAATATAGACTCAACTATTCATTAGAAATAAGATCTACTTTAGAGATATCAAGTGAAAAAAAATCCAGCCTGTGTAGTGTAATTGACTTTTTCAAGAAAATTTGCAGTTGCGTATTGTTATCGCCCATGCAGCTGTGCTCGTTATTTAAAGCAACACGATATTAAAAACTGTGGTGAAAAATAATACAAGCACGCCATAATTATTGAATGAATGAGATAAAGGAGGATATTTTTCTAAAGAATATTCATGTCACTTATTACATCCAATAATCATGAATTATTCACGTATACATCCTTGTAATAATTATACAAGGAATTTGTCTGTTCATCGCAGATATTTTCACTAATGGATTTCGCTTATGTATGCGATAAGGAAAATATCAATGTATGCACTTTGTGAGATATTCATACTGTCCAAATCAAAAATAGGCAGTTAAGTACTTTCGGGTTCAAATAGCTTTGTTAAACCAATATTATTTTCCGTTGCTAGTATGTTCATCGATTTTTCTCTCTTGACTACGGGCAAAGACGGGAGATTCAATATCCTAATGTCATATTGAAACATCTTGCCAACTTCTTTCTGAAAATGAAAAGGTGAAAGATTGTACAATGAAAACATTCTTTTTACGAATTTACTGGAGGAAACGGTTATTTTAGGCGTACTCCGATCAAGCCAGAAAGAAGTGCTTTGAAAATCTTCTTTTTTTCTTTTTCACTTAGTTCTTCATTTGACATCAAAGTCACATCATACTTCTACATAAATAACAAACATAACTAACATCGAGCTTCATGTCAAACACCTTGTTCATCATTACGTAAATTATTCACATTCTCATGTCAATGTGATAAGTTGCTTGGAAAGAAAAAGCTCACGTTGAAATACAGCTTTATTGTGTGTTTTTTGTAGCAGTAATTACAGCAGGTGGATAGTAGTTTGAATACTTAAAGTCTTATCTGCTTTCATCTTAATATAAACGTCGAGACGACATTTTGGCATTATCTTCTTTTGCTTATCTTCTTTAAGGCGGAGCAAAAACAGCTTATTTTACAAATAAAGGCATACTCTACTTATCAAAATAGTGTTGTTTTCACTTACATTTAATGAAATGGTGTCAATGTTTGGCACTTGTAGCATGATGTTCTTCAAACTTGGGAAGAGCGGACGCTAGATGTGACGTAGTAGATTTATTTGTAACTCGTGTATATTTCTTATGTTCATATGTGGAAGTGATGGCTGTACAATGTTTAGGATGAGGCCCAATGTTTTCCCTGTGTTTTATAAGAGGCGAATTAAGGCATTTTGTGTCGAAAGGAGTATGCCTTACTTCTATGTCATGATACGACAACCCCCCCCCCTGCAAGAGATAACAAACAGGTTAGGAAAGATATGTGGAACTGTGAATGGTTTAGAGGTACTAATCACCCTCATTAAAAATAGTGTCAAATATTTACTACACATCGTGTATAAGCAAACGTAATTTCATATTGTTGTCTTGACAACAACATGCGCATATTGCACTGACTTCAAGCATCATAAGCTGACCTTTTCAAAATCTTCGACTTGTTTAGAAATATGTATTGCTGTACATACATACTTACCAATAAGTCGTAAATTATTACAATATTTCGTATAAGATTGGATTGAATTTCTACATGATGTCCCATCAGTTGAAGACCCTGAAAATGAAGTTTAAATTGCTCAAGGGACTGGAACGAATCCTACATTAAAAATACTAGCACCATTGAGATACAAATGCACCAGGTATATCTATCTCAAGGTCTGTCGAATTCATCATTTATATATCTGGATTGCTGAATGAAAAAACACGTCGTTTACGTCGTGTTAAAATATTACAGTATTTATTTACCTGAAGAGCTAGAGTGAAGATTTGTTCAAACATCTCGGGAACCATTGCTACTTCACGTGGTGGATTTCTTATTAACTAAAAATAAAACACAAAAGATGTGGAATACAATGAAAATTTTAAGTTTTGCTGGGTTGTATTTAAAGCTATCCACCTGTCTGATGAACGGGACACAAAGTCTGATAGCTTTCGTGAAAGAGGAAACATCTGGCCATCGCAGGGCGATAAATGGTAATAATAGAACAATTTTGCAAGTTTCCTAAAATTGAGAACGAGTTTTAAACTCTTTTGTTACGAAATTATTTTTTGAATTAATAACTGCCAGCTTACACTAGCATCGCTTACAGTATGTTGCAACAAAAATGTCGGCAGTTCTTGTAAAACGTAATCTGCGCTTTCTAACTTTGCTTCTAAATTGATAAAATATGATATCTAGTGAAAAATATGTTTTTATTATTAGAAATCAAAGAATGCTGATTATACGTGATTCATCTTTCTTTTCCACATATGGCTCACGAAGAGAAGGTCGACACATTGTACACATGGAGTCTGGTAACGAAAAAAGTTAATTCAAAACATTGCACTAAAGTGAGGTACACGTCGACGATTAACGTGAGATAACGCACAAGATGAAATCATTTTGACATACTTAAAGTTTCAATGAAATTCTTTGTCAAAAGATGAACGAGTTGACTTTCAATAACTTCGTCGTTGTTCACAGCATCTTCTTCTGTTACTATTTCAATATCATCTATTGCTGTTCGTATGTGCTCTCTGCTTTTCATGGCCTCCCATTCTTTGTTTAGACGCTATTCATTCAAGTTATATGAAGTTAACTTTTGACTTTCATCAACGTTTAAGTATCTTATTGTAGATCACCTACATTTAGGGATCATATTGTGGATCACCTACATTTAGGGATCATATTGTGGATCACCTACATTTAGGGATCTTATTATTGATTATCTACATGGATTCCACGGGTTATAATCAATTATGCATTATATAAGTGGATCTAAGCTAACGATGGTATCTATTAAATCCCAAATCATCTTGCCAACAATATTTTCCCATCATGCTCTCTGTGGTCTACATGAAAGCTTCAAGGCCTTGGAAAAGATCGTTTTCGTTGTGTCCGACAGTTCGATTGAAACTATTCTTACCTCAATCATTTGATTGAATGTAACGACGATAACAGGAACTAATGCTGACTCGTAATAAGACGGGGGACATACGCGACAATACATTTTAAGAAAATGGCTTAGGAAAGAGTCAAGGAAAAAACATTGGTGGATACTGAAGCACATTAACGAGAGATGTGTCATATTAAAATGTAAAAGGATATGAATATAATTTCTGAGGCGGTACTTTGGTAAATGTTTCCACGGTTCAATGACATTACTGACAACATGTTCACCCAATGACGGAGTGCAAAAATACCCTTCTCCAAGTCGTGAACAATCTGATAACGTCATTGCTCTGAAATAAGTACACAACAATAGTATTGCAGTAAATCTTCATTAGTATCTTTTGTCATAGAATACATACAGCGTGTCGTTAAATCGAAATAGAAATGTCTTCAGTGAGTCGACAAGTGTTTTCTTTGCTCTTTCTTCTTTTGGTTTTTCAATTCCTTCACGACCATCCACACCTATAAAACAAACTCATTAAACATACAGTACATATTTCATTTTTTAATGTTACAGATCGTTGTATGTGATGATTGTTACAGGTCTTTAAATGTCGTGTAAGATGCACGTTACGATTTACCAACCAAACAATGCAGCTTTTTCGTTCTCATGAATCTCTAAAGCCGGTTGCAAGTGGTTAGGTATTCTTGCGCGAATGGAGGGATGCCAAAGGCTGTTCAACACTCTGAAAGAAGATACAATTAAAAATTTAATAAAATTACTCCTCCGTTGAAAAACCACATTCATGTTATAAACCTAATTAAGTGGAAAATGTTAGACAGTAAAGGAAGGATAAAGGATATCGCAGGATTTCGTGGTTCGTCCTCAAGTCTTGCTTTAAATCCCCCTTTAACTTGTTCCTGTAGTGACAAAGAACATCTTTAATCCAAAGGTTCCAGTAATATCTTTGAGCATCGAAGGATATCAAGTGTTACCTTTGAATCTTTGGGGATTTCGACTCGTTTTAAAATCACGTGGATAAACCGTTGACACATTTGTAGCTAAAAAATGTTCCAGTGAAGAACAGTTAGAAAATATCAAACAAAAGATGTCATTTACATCAATTATAAAATTCATATCTTCAAATGTTGGAGTTGAATTAACAAAATAATATTGGCAGAAAATAATCACATGATCATAAATATTTATGCATAATTGAGAATATTTTAAATATATTTTTATATACAAACTTTTAGTATATAATAAATAGTGATACATTGAAGTGTACCTTGTTTCTCCGTTCTTTAGCTCTTGATTCATCTAATGAAGTGAAAACAATTTCATGATAAACTATTGACATCATTTGAAATAATTCATGTTGCTTATAATACAGAAAGTCAGTGGATAGATGTATCAGCGACTAAAAATACGGGTGAAGTAAAGCTGTGGACAAGAGAAAGCAAAGACCATCAATGTAAACGTGGACGAAACTAGGAGTAAAAAAAAGCAAGAACCTAGAAAATTGAACGCCATGAAATGAGCGAAATGGAAGTTGTAAAAGCTAAAATGATTGTTGGCAAAGTGGAGGTAAATATGGTCACTCTCTTTTTGGGGATGAACCTGCTTCAACATTTGAAAGAAATGGAGTATAGCAAAAGCAATTTTTCGTAATACCTGCGTTTGAAATATCAAGACCAACATACTTTAAAATGCCTCTGGACTCAATAACGCGCTACATTTGATAAAAGAAATTCATCTTACTTTGACCAATGTTTCTTTATGCAATAAATAAAAGCGAAATTATTTTTACTGTTCAATTTCGGCACTTGTCCATTGCTCTTTCACAGGATTCATGATTTGTTTTAGATATGCTGATTGCTTTTCATAATGTGAGAAGCCATTGCTATATGAGAAAGTTCGACCTCAAAATATTTGCTCCTCAAACAAGAAAATGGACGGATATTATTATGTAAGCTACCTTATTGCAACTAAACCTTCCATCATAAAAGATTTTTCCATAGTCATGTCGTTATAGCCGATAAATGTTAATTCAACTTGCTTTGTGAGGTCATCAATGATGTTCTGTTTTAAAGAATTACCATAGTCAAAATAGTTTTATTGTGGAAGCTAATCTGAAAATGAGAAGTTCGTTATTCTCCAAACAAAGGGGTAGATCAAATTATACGTGTTGAAAAGCCTGTAAAACAAATAAAAACAAAATTTTTATTACAATCATTAATTTGTTGTGAGTGAGACAAAGTCTTATCCATATTGATCCGGCCGAGCGTCGATATTCTGAACTTTTCAACGACTGACAATCCTGGAAAATATTCATACTATTGTAAAAATTTCGAATGATAAGAAGTGCGAAGTAAAATAATTTGTACCTCTCCATCACTGGGCTTGTAAACTACAGCTGTAAATAGCTGAAATAAATTGTCCTTTTTAACTTTAAATATTTCAATCATAAAAAATCCATTTCGTTAACCTATACCTTGTAAACAAGCTTTAAAAGAAGTTCGCTGTGAATCTCAAGGAATGGTATAAAAGATTCCAGCATTTGCAGTACGATATTTTGAATTAATAGAGCCTACAGAACAAATGTATGGATGTCGAATTTTTTCGTTAACAAAAATGAGTAAACTACTCAAGAAAACCTCGGTGTTGTAACGAAGTAACGATTCGATGCATTTCTTTGCTAAATCGCCAAATGAGATAAATGTATCGCCCATTTTTAAACGACATTCATTAAATTCCTAAAAAAACATCAATGTCTGTGGTGATTAAGAATTACCGTGTACTTAGTAGGATATTTTTAACCACTTACGTGCGGTACAATTTATCGTAATTCTAACGAAGAGTGTTATACCTTTACAAATGAGATGCCATTTTTGAATAATCGATTGACAACTGAACTTGTAAAGCTTGCCAAACTATCCCATTCACAATACTCAACGCTATTCTCGGACACTGTGAGAAAGACTTAAATCTCACACGACATTCATGAGCTTTTAAGCTCAACCTTTAAGGGCAAAATCTAATCAATTTTAACATGCCAACCTTGTGTCGTAATAGGAGTTGAAGTTAAGTTAACAAGCCAGCTGGCTGTATGAAGAAAAGCGTCAGATGGATATAACGACGTAATATCTTGAATTATATCTTTTGTACTCTTTCTCAAATCTTTGTAATGATAAAATATGTTAAAGTGGAAGTCTGGTTTAAGGTAACTGAGAGAAAAGATCAAAAAACGAAACGTACTTGTCCAAGCTGTGTATTTCTCAGCGAAGGAGCCAAAATCTACATCTGGGTATAACAAATTGCTTGAATTTAATGCTGGATGTAGCCCCTATTTTAGAAAAAAATGTATGTTCAACTGCCACGACAGAAGTATTGTAACTTTCCGACACAAATGTTGTTTTTTTGTTACCCTCGATATTTTCGTTTTGGATATTTCTAAAATTTGTGGTATATACGAACAAAATGTAGCGTTCTTGCAAATGGTCTTGTTTGTCAAAAATGCCAAATACGTTTTGCTGATTAAATCTGACATAATCTAAAGAGGTTTACATAAGGACTATTCATTAGCCCTATTATTAAGATCGAAGAAATCAAATAAACACCACTCTCCATCTGGTAGCTACACTCAAGTTCTTACCATGTTTTTGTGTTTGTATAAAAATATCAGTGCTTGTAGATACACGTCAAAATGAACGGGTTCGTCTATGTCAGCATGATTAGGAGAACCCTAAAATAAATAAAAATAGGTTCGCGTTTCGTACATTTTGTCATTAGAACATGTATATTACATATGAACACAAATGGCAACATGGCTGCGGCTAGGGACGTCACATGACATACCCAAATATTGGCTAGTTGTAATTGGCCAAGTGATGACAATATATTGCAAACTCTCTTAAGAAAAATATGATTTTCTTCATTCAGATCATCATTGTGAGATTTGATTATATCTCTGAAATGAATTAGCACAATAAACATTGGACAATTGAACGAACTTTCTACAAACGGTTTAAGTTTAGTACTTTTAAGCAGATGGAAAATTACGATGATAAAATGTGTATCAATGATCATAAGTTAAACTAAAACTTACGTTATAGATGAAAATATCAAAGATAAAGCATCCATACTAAACAATATCAACAATGGAACTCTCTCTGTAGTTGGTCCCTGATAACATAAACAAACAGACATATTTATAGAAAATACACATAAATTTATACTCCAAGCAGTTCTAAGATCCTTCTCACCTTTCGCATAACTACACCTTCAAAACATTCTGCTGCTTTCAGGCGAAGTTCGTTGTAACGTAAGAGTAAGCAGAGTGTTTGGAGTAAAAGAGCATTTTCCTGGACTATATAGATTATATTCACCCAATCCACATATCCACAGAGCGTGTTTAAACTCGTTTCAGCGAGAAGTTTATTTTCAAGAATCTTTGTAATTAAATGAGATATTATGAAACGCGAATGTACATTTATGAACACAAGATGAATACTTTCAAACACAAGATGTATACTTTTGGACACAAGATGTACACTTATGAACACAAGATGAATACTTTCAAACACAAGATGTATACTTTTGGACACAAGATGTACATTTATGAACACAAGATGAATACTTTCAAACACAAGATGTATACTTTTGGACACAAGATGTACACTTATGAACACAAGATGAATACTTTTAAACACAAGATATATACTTTTGGACACAAGATGTACACTTATGAACACAAGATGAATACTTTTAAACACAAGATATATACTTATCACAGGTAAAAGACTAGATTTAAAAGAACATAAACTGTTCACAAATATGACTATTCTTTGATTAATGTGCGTTTTCACAATACAGCGTTGAAGTGTATCCTGTACACATTTTGAAGATACCTGTCTGTTCAGCTCATCGTCATTCTGCATTTTCTAAATAAGTATATTTAAAAAGTTGTATAATGGTATGTTTTGCAGCGTCATGAAGTTTACTTTGAACTCACCAGTGATTTCAGTGTTTCCGCGGTATTTCGAAGAGTTTTTACGAAAAACTTAAAAAGATCTTCAATGATGACGTTCATTGCCGACATCATATCTTTCCGTCGTTCAGACGGTAAATCTCCGTCTGCATTCGTAACATCTTCGGCCAGAAATAACAACGTACGTAAAACGGTGAACAACTGTGAGGGCTGCAAATAAGTCCGAGTCGTATTTCATCCATTTAAATGAAAAATTGTCATCATAATATTTACTACCCCCTGTTGAGCTATATCCCCAAGTTGGTTTATAACATCAGGCCAGTTTTGTGGCCATTCCCTTTTCATTATTTCCACTGCATATTTCGCTATCGCATCTTTCAAATAAGTTGGTTCATCGAGTAAGGAAACTGGATTCTATCAACAACATAACGTACATTATCAATAATGTATTAGGCTATTTTAAGAACAAGAAAATTCTACCGTTTTAATATGTTTCAAAGCCAATGACTTTAAATCATTTTTCTCTTTGTGTGTCATGTTATTCCAGTTGACCCTTGCAAAGGAAATTTGGTAAAATCATAAAAAGCGATAATGATATTCTACTGTGTTTTAAAATGTTTATTTCTTACATGAAGTTTTTTATTAATACCTAATGCCATGGTGTATGAGCTGCAATCCAAAATGTTTCACCACAAAGTTGTTGCGACTTTTGTATAAGTAGTGACCACATTGAAGCAAGTTTGTTTTGCTTTCTTTAAATTCCTCGCAGAACTTGAAAAACATACCGGTAAATGTTAATAATCCTTTATATGAAATGCTACTAGGACATGTAGAGTCAATAAAGACATGAAATGTATGAATAGAAACAAAATTATTTTACTAAACAGCCAATGGCAAAGAATTGCATTGTTAAAGTAACAAAAAGTAATTACTACGAAACCTTCGTTGCTTGAAGTCTTTTATCGTGCGAAGAACTTGGGTTTAATATGATTTCAACTGATTCTGCTAATTTTTGAGATATATAATGAAGCTGTCCATCTTCTCTCATTTCGTTAAACAACGACATTGTGGCAATATGCTATTGTTATTTAAAATTTCTTGATATGCAAGACTTGATAAGGAAAACCACCATATTGGAAATTTTGCAATACTTCATTCCGTTCAAACAAAGTGTTTCATAGAATTGCCTAGCAACATTACGAAGCCACGACTATGACCGCGCGAATTTCGAAGCCTGAAAACGACAACACAACAACTGAAGCTCAATCATCCACAATTCCACAATCATCTCATATCATCCCCGTGGGAAGGATTTTAATTCAAATTTATTCCAAAAGTTTAATTATGGTTGTGTTTCAAAAGAGTCTTTACACCTACTGTCACGTTTAACGCTTAAAGTTTTCGTCACAGTTTGTGGTTTACATAGAATGTTCTACCTTGAAAAAAAGATTCGTGAATCAAAACATTTCAGACATTTCTGAAGAAATTTAATCTCCTTATTTCTGTCAGCATGTCTGATTTTTTCCAAGTTAACACAGATGCTCAACAAGACTATATTCTTGTCAGAACTCTTGGTAGAGGAGCATTTGGCGAAGCAAATCTTTACAGGAAAATTGAGGTAAACAACGGCAATGATTCCCCAATGAATTAACGAAAATTTAAAATGATTTTTAGCATTATGAGGGGAAAGCTTGAGCAGAGAAAAAAATGCCCTTGCCAAATGTTTATGAATTTTTTAAATAATTAATTGATTTAAAACAAAATAAGACGCAGCTGTTATAAGCTTACTTGGCGTTTTTTGTTTTTGATTGATGAAGTCCTTCTTTGAACCCTTTCATGATAGACATTTATCATAAATCCTGTTGTGCTGACATTCTTGTTAAATCTACGGAATAAAATGTCCCTCCAAGTTAACATAAGCCTACACAGTCTACTTCAGGCTAGCTGTCTCGTTACACAACATTTACAACATTTATGAATCATGTAGTCAAGTGTTTTCCATGGGATTTTTGTAGGATAACAGTCTTGTTGTTTGGATTTTTGTAGGATAACAGTCTTGTTATGTGGATTTTGTAGGATAACAGTCTTGTTGTGTGGATTTTTGTAGGATAACAGTCTTGTTGTGTGGATTTCTGTAGGATAACAATCTTATTGTGTTGATTTTTGTAGGATAACAGTCTTGTTGTGTGGATTTTTGTAGGATAACAGTCTTGTTGTGTGGATTTTTGTAGGATAACAGTCTTGTTGTGTGGAAAGAAATTGATCTGTCAAAGGCTAACGAAAAAGAAAGGCAAAATGCAATGAAAGAAATTGAAATCTTGTCATTGCTTAATCATGCCAACATTGTTGCCTACTTTAATCATTTTATGGATGAAAGTTTGCTTCTCATTGAGATGGAATATTGTAATGGTAAATCACTATTTGACTGAAATAAATTTTTTTTAATTTCATTTATTATGTGTTAAAACATTGACTGAGTTTTTTTCCAAGGTGGAAGTCTTCATCAGAAGATTCGTCAGGCTACATCATTATTTGAAGAAAGCGTAAGAAATGCTTAATGAAGCCTGTTTATTTGTATTTCTTCCTCCAGTTGATATGATTATGCTACTGGCAAAGTGTGTTTTATGATATTAATTTATTATGTCAATTTTTTTTATCATCTATAGGATATCATTCAGGACTTTTATCAACTTATCAGTGCTGTTGCACATTTACATGAAAATGATATACTGCATAGGTAATTATTAATGATTTTTAATCTTTGAACTTTTGGTAAGCGATGACATACTGCTATCTCAAAAACTTCATGTCTTTTGAATGGTTTATTAATTTGTTCAAACTGAATACGTAGTTACTTGTATGCAGGAATGGAGTCAGATTTATTTTGTAGGGCTAGTACTATGCTGTGAATTTGACTTTGTTGGCTAGGTACTTTTAACGAGTGCTGCTCTAAGATGACACATTTTTTTTCATGTACTTAAAAACCATGTTTTAGAAATATTTTTCAAAGTGTGCACCAGTAAACACAAATCAGAATTATTTTATCTTAATTCTTTTGTACACTATATTTATATTTTCTTTTGAAATTGACACCCCTCTTTTTACCACTTCAAACCAAGGCTAGGAGGCATCTCCTTGGCTAGTAGGTTCATCATTGCATTACTGATAAGCATTAGAGTTGCAAAGCATTGAAGTAGAGGCAAACATCATGAGAAAAGATGTTTCCATATTATTCTTTCATAGCTTTTCCATGTTGGGTTAGGTAGACATCATTAATGCATGGCGTAAGTGAGAAGAAACTATTTTATTTCTATAATTTTAGAGATATAAAGACCCTGAACATATTCTTGACAAAATCTGGTTTGCTCAAACTAGGAGATTTTGGCATATCCAAAGTCCTTCAGGATCCAAACGAGATGGCTGAAACAGTAAGATATTATGAGTTTTGACTATGAACTTACACAAGCTACTGTACTTTAGTCCTTTACTTAGGTAGTTGGTACTCCATATTATATGTCTCCAGAATTGTGTAAAGGAGAAAGGTACGACAGAGGTACTATGTTATATCACATAAATTTATGTTACTTTAAAGTTGTTTTTCAAATAGTTGTTTGCTTTTATGTTAAAAATACTTGAGTTAATTTTGAAAGAATTTTAACATTGTTTGATGGACGATTATCTTAATTACATATGACACGTCATTATCATATACACGGAAAGAGCATCGTTGATTTTGGAAAATGTAAAGTTTTATCGTAAAGCGTTAGAAAATGTGGCAATGCAATAAGGCTTTATTTTTGTCCTTTATCTTTAGTAGCGATTTATATAAACCAAATAATTCCGCTTGGTAATTGAGTAAACTTGTAATTTTTGTGCATATTACTGTTACAGTAGGGTTTTTTTTTACTTCTTGTGGAACAATTTTAATGTCACAAAAGAATAAGTATTATAACTTAATTTTAATATAACTTTATTCTTAATATAACTTTAATTCATATTCTTATTGAAGATATGATTCGAAAAGTGATATATGGGCTGTTGGCTGCGTCCTCTACGAACTACTGACTTTAAAGAAAGTTTTTGATGCAACGGTAAAAATAAACGATGTTACATCATTTTATGTTTAAATATACCGTCATTTATTTATTAAAGTTTAATATTATCCTTATTACGCGTCTTGTAACGTGACTACAGCTTTTACAAATATCCTAGAATGTATGTATTCAAAACGAGACAAATGTGTTGTATTTAAAATCGATTACCAGCGGACAATTTTATGTAGTATAATATGAAGCATACACCGAATAGAAAACTCTTGTTTAACTCAATATTTGAGAAAGAAACAAGAAATTTTTATTTGAAAAGTAATATTTCGAATTTGTTACAAATTCATCATCAGACTATGAGTCACGATATAAGCAATAGCATTATTTCAATATAACCTTTGCATAATGCTGCGAATAATATTCTCTACCTATGAATCCTTTGTATGAATTTCAACCCCACTTTCTACATCGTAGCACACAAAAAAAAACAGAACAATTTTGTGTTTATTTTTGTTCATGTTAGAACCAACTGAAATTAATCTGGGACATTGTGAAAGGAAAATATGAAGATATCAGTGATGTTTATTCTTCTGACATACGAAATCTTTTAAACAGTCTCTTATGTCAGGTAGACTTCATAATAGAGAGTTGTTTATGATAGTAGTTTCAAAAACACAATTATGAAAGTAGTTTTCTTGATTTATAATTTAGAATCCAAATGAACGACCATCCGCTGACGAAGTACTTCAAAATCATTTGCTTTGCTCTATTGAAGTGTTAGTATAGTTCGTACCGTAAAATCAGAAGATTGGAAAATTTGTTTCAACCGTCATTCTTTGAGGCTGAGGCTAATTTGAGAAAATGTTCTCGTAGAGAGATGTTGAAAAAGATACGGAAGTTAAATACCACAGCTAGACTAACAAGGTTCATTATTTATTCGTTCAAAGAAAAATATTTTAAAGAAAAGACTTTATACCACGAACTTATCGCCTATCTATTCTTAGATTGACGTCAGGTGGTGTTGAGCTTGTTCAACCTGTGGTCTCTTCAAGAATTAGTGAGGTAAATAATTAAAGGAAGTAAATGAATGACCGAGGCATATGGATGGATGAGTAGGGTATATGGAGGATAAGGTATATGGAGGAGTCGGGTATATGGAGGAGTAAGGTATATGGAGGAGTAAGGTGTATGGAGGAGTAAGGTATATGGAGGAGTAAGGTATGTGGAAGAGTAAGGTATATGGAGGAGTAGGGTATATGGAGGAGTAAGGTACATGGAGGAGTAGGGTATATGAAGGAGTAAGGTATATATATATGAATGAGTAATGAGTATGGATAAGTATTGTAGATAGTCGAATGAAATATGTACTTTATGAATTGTGTGTATAAGTGAGTGTATTGTTGAGTAAATGTATTGAATAGATGAACATGTGAGAATTATAATTAGTAAAATTATAACGCTGTTAGTAACTTTTAACCCAAGAATTATTTTTAAAATGTTGAAGATACAATACGTGGGACTGAAGGAAATAAAACATTGAAAAACATGCTGTTGTTGTTCACGATTAAAATTCTAAAACTTGAAACGTTAAGGTTTATTGTTGGGGTGGAGGTAAACAAACACCTCAAAAAATTGATGTTTTTCAAGGAGGAAACGCAGTTTTGCAGGTAGATGTTTTATCACATGGATTTTTTTACTGCTTTCACTTTTTTCTCTCAAACTTCATACCATGTTTAGTCAATTTTTTTTGTTCGACTTTTTATTTCATTGAACTTACCAGATGTGATTTTTTGTCATAAAGGTTGCAGCCGGGCGATCTCATTTCGCTGTCATCAATGTTGAAAAAGAAATGTACACATGGGCGGTAAATAAGAACAATTACTCGCTATGCTACGCAAATCACTTTTTCAAATGAAGAACTTTAAAACTTTAATTACGTTTTTTATTTTTAGGCTTCTCAAACAATGAATGAAATGGTTGGACAGCTTGGTCATGGCTCTTCAGCATCCTGTCGCACTCCTAAGATTGTTGATAAACTTCACGGAATAGCCATTACGCAAATTGCTTGTGGCGAAGACTTCACTGCTTGTGTTTCAAGTAGGTATCGAGTTTTGTTGTTGAAGGGGGGGGGTGTTAAATGAAAGGGCCTTATATCCTGACCTTCTTTCAGGTGAAGGTCACCTGTTCATGTTTGGTTCTGACTACTATGGTTGCCTTGGTTGCGATAAAAAGTTTGGTGACAAAATCTCCCAACCTACGCTTGTGGAATACTTCAAGGGAGATTTTGTAAAACAAGTGTCCTGTGGTGATTGTCACGTGGTTGCATTGACTGGTACAGTTTTATTTTGCCATCATGAAGTTTTTCAAATATCTATTCTCATCATAATTTTGCGTTTGAATATAGAATCTGGAGTTTATTCGTGGGGATGTGGGGAACAAGGTTGTCAGTGGAATTTTTATAGTATTTTATTTCAAAAGTAAACATTGAAGATCAAGTTTTGTTTTCTTTGCTTGTAAATAAAGGACGCCTTGGCTTAGGAAATGAAGAAGATTTTTCAACGCCACAAAAGGTTTGTTGTTTTTTACTGGATGCCATTTATTTTCTAGGTATAGCATGCTTTCTATTTATACACAGGCAGTGAAAAAGAACTGAGAACTGCACATACACCAACAAAAATAGTTTATTGGAATTACACTTCGGCAAAATGCGAAAACATTATATATAAGTTACACAACAAAAAATAACAGTATATTTAATAACTAGTGTATACTCCTCTTTGTTTAGTAACAAATTTACATCGTTTATTCATGCTGTCTATTAAGTTCATGAAGCTTTGGCGATGGATGATAATCATGAATACATTGCAAGACAAAGCATTACAGTATTATCAGCATAACTAGACTAAGTCTGGGCAGTTTTTTTTTAATGTCTGTGTAACATATGAGCTTAAAAATTCGCCATAGATCTAACAAACATCTAATACAGACAATCTTTCTAGTCCAAAACGCCGCTCGCTGATTGCTTGCAGTGCATGTAATGACTCTCGAATGTTCTTAAATCCTGCTGACTTCCCAACTATCTCACAATGTACTAGGTTAATCCTCCGACTGATAAAATCAAAAGTGTATGTTGTAGCAACGATGGCACTTTCTTGCTGACATCATCCGGCCGAGTTATTGCCTTTGGCAACAACGAAAACAATAATCTCGCTCTTGATACACCACAAAACTTAAAGAAACGGAATACGAATGTGAGTTTGGTGGATTTCCTCTATTAAAATATTTCGTCTGTTTTCATAAAATGCATTTTGTTTTTATTGTTTTTTTTCATTTCTTCCATGTGTTTATATGTTTATGTTTAGAACGCTGGAACTGTTTATTCTGTGAACATCCCAATTGTTGTGCGATCTCTATCAAGGTATGAATGCATTCTGAATGATGATAAATAATTTTTCTGCATAATCTCTTCATTCGTATCAATGATTTACATCCGTGCTTGTAGATATTGTATTGGTATAATTGCTGCAGGGAAGACTCACTCAGCGTTTGTAGATGGTTTGTGACTTTACTTCTTTAACAACAAGTAATCATTCACATGTTCAAAAGGACGTCAGCGGCTCATTTTTTCTTTAGTTTACGGTCAACTTGTTACGGTTGGTGATAATACATATGGACAGTTGGGAATTGGCAACAAGAAGCGACACGAAGGTCCTTGTCGTGTTCTCGGAAATTTAGCTGGTGATAGAGTTTTATATGTTTCGTGTGGTGATGGTTATACAATTGCCTCTACTGCAAGTGAGTGAGCTCAAGCATTGTCACGTGATTATTGATCACGTGATCTTTACGTTATCTATATTTGGCAGAGAACCAAGTGTTTTCGTGGGGCCGCGGTGATAACGGATCGTTAGGCATACCAGTTGATAAATTTACCAAAAAAACTAAAGATGGGGTCCCACTGACGTCTTTACCCAAGCCGATATTTAGCTCATTGTACGCTGTCACAAGTCTAGCATCTCGTTATTGGCATACAATTATTGTTGCAGGTTAGTATATGGTGAACACCACAAAACGTCAGTAACGAGATAATGTTTTAACATCAATGAAACATTTTTATGCGTCGTGCTCATAATTTTTTTGAATTTTTCTTCTATCGCAGACCGTATTTTGGGAAGTCGTGCTATCAAAACACAAAGTGCCACAAACTCACCTCGATCTAGTAGGTTCCTCAATCAACGTTGACGTATGATGTTCGTACTGCACAGGTGTCTGGAGACAAATCTACCAGCTCCTCTTAGTTTTCTTGCCATAGAGATAAGCAAACATTGAACTGACCTATGAAAATTTATCTATTGTAAATATTTCATGTGTGTGTTTTGATCAGACAGTTTTAGACATTAAATTAGTTAGATGGTTAGTTGTTTATTATGATCGAGACTGAGAGACAAGGTCATTGTTCAAACACCATCAACTAAGTTTAAATATTTAGTTGAAATAGTTTTTTTTTTAACATTTGCTACAAATGTAGAAATGCTATTTCCAAATCGTCTTTTCTTAGTTTCTATTGAATCAAACAAAACAAATGATGTGGGTGATTCGTTTTCTTCACCGAGTTTTAAAACGCCATCTTCCAGCAGCGACGATTTTTTCACCAGAACTCGGGATTCTGGTGCCAGAAATATTTTAACAGATGACGAAGTAGAGACACCAAGATCTCTTCAAGATGTGTGTTAATGAATGATTAGATAGTGAAATTTTTTCCTTCATACAATAATAAAAGCGAACTGTCGCCTTCTAGGAGTTTGTAGATGCTGTTTCAGCAGAAAATGATGAACTACAAATTGGAAGACATCTAACTATTACCGATTCAAGCAGTAATGTTCCAGAATGGCTGAGAAAGGTGAATACATTTACAAGTAATGTTAGGATAGATGTCATGGAAAATGAGGAATGAATACAGCGCGATTTTTTTTGGAACTACCAGTGGCTGATTGTTAATTACGGGGCTTTTAGGCTAAGACAAAGTTGTGGATTCAGTCTCTTAACGACGTTTGTATTCTTCACGCTCATTTGTTTTTGCATTTCCCGGGTTGTGTTTGTAACCTATAGGGTAAATAATGGGGAAGAAAATGTAAAGTTAAAACTGGGGAAATTCACTCCTTTGCGAGTTCTGAGCATTGTGCATTGAAAAAGTAGATAGTACAGTATTCAACAGCATAAATGGTCTAATTGAAGAACATTTATCGACTCCGGAATGGCAAAAAGTAAAAACTTTTTATGTCTAGATACCACGGGCCTTTCGAAAGCCTGTGCCTGTAGCCTTCAGACTTCGTCACTGAGAATTACCAAACTGCCATTCTTGTCCTTAGGAGTTATTGGATGCTGATCAATTTATTCAGAAAAATCATCGCTCCAGGCAGAATGAAAGTGTTGATGGAAAGATGTAATAAATTGCATTTTTTGAAACACGAAATACTGAAGTCTATTTTAAGCACCATTTTTTTTTCGAAGTATGCCATCCCCTGACGAAGTGAAAGTCTCGTGTAAATCGGTAGGAATACAGACAGAAGAAAGGGAGTATGAATATGATAACGGTATAAAAATGTTTCTTTTGAAGACCTGTTAATAAGCTAAGCTAAATGATCGTGAATGAATTATTGTTTTGATTACTAGTTAAATTTTCTTTTTATCCAGAAAATTTAACCAGGAAAGAATTATTGGAATACATTGCTCATTATAAACATGAAAATAATATGGTATGTATAGCACGATGTTGGATGTGACAACGTAAACATTGAACTTTGCTAATCGCTATCGCATGATATCTTATCCAATTGGCTATGTATGTGATAACTAAATCTGATCACTAATCCTATTTAGATTATCTTTGTTTTTGTCTCAAACATCACTAATGCGTTTCTGTTCATTTAGCTTGTGCGAAGGAATGCGGAACAAAAGGATATAATAGGGTTACTGCAAGCAAAATTGAATGAAATTTCAACAATGAAAAACTAACTTAGCTCTAATGTATGATGATAGAGTTTTTTGTCTGAATATTTGATTTAATTAGTGCGTGAATTGATGTTTGAAAGCCTTTGTGATCTAGGTAAAAAATATTTGTACTTTGTCATTGTAAATGATAGGCCATCTTGAATGGAATGCAGCTCTTAATATATTTGGTGAACTAACTGAACTTTGCTCCATCTCAACGACAAACAGATATTTTGCGTGGATTTTAAAAGTAGTTGAATTTGAAGAAATACTAGAAATTTCATATTATATGTTTAAAAATTATGATAGAATTGTTCACGAAGTGTTTTGAAATATTTTTTAATACGTAGACATTTTTGGACGCGGCTCCCAGGTCATGACCTTATTCAGATGACTGAATTACAATAAGTCACTGACTCCTTTTCCTCCAATCAGTTGTCAGAATTTTCTCCCAGGGCTCCTCTAAGTTGTCTTTTGAGGTCTGGGTACTAGCGAATATTTACGTTTACACATACGGCGAAAGTTTTGCTATCGTGATCTTGTCTTATTTCTTTTATGAGTAAATGATAAGGTATGCGATTTTTTTTCATTGTTCACTCGAATGGTTGTAATTTAATGTCCAAAAGAGTCAATAATAAAGCAATATATTGCTTTATTCAATATAAATATGGCATGCAATACTATATCACCGGTCTTTATCATTCTAGTTTATTGTTTATTACGATTATAGTGTCAAAGCCTTGTATGTAGTGCAAGCCAACATTTGTAGTTTCTTTGTGGTATTCAGGTTTCATTATATATTGCTTGCCTAAAAGAAACTAAAGAAAACGTGGCCTTTCAAGGGTATGACCTAAGCATAATACTACAGAACTTGACTGTTCCTGTGTGACAGCTGCAAGTGTCTTTCGTCGATTTTTAAAGTACCTAGTTTTTATGAAAGAATACTGAATGCTCCCTTAATTTAGTGTGAGCATCTTGAAACGCGTATTTTTGGATATTTTTATTTTATGGTGAGAGAACCCGAATATATCAGAAATTTATGATATAATTTTCATATTTTATGCACGCTTTGACGTACATATCGTTGACAGCCGACAAAGCTAAATGGATGAAAATAATGCTTGTGGCTTCATTTAAAAAATTAGTGTGCTTTATGGTTGTTTAAGTAGTATTAAAATGTAAGGCTTTAAAATTCCATTCAGCCGAGGTTTTGCTCGTAGATGCAAACATTAATATATTGTTGTATGTTGTGTATGTCATTTTACAAAATCATTTTGTCTGTTAGATTTCATAGTTCGTCTTACTATGTAAACAAAATACGTTTGTTTTGGAGGATGATTGATTTGTTTCTCTCTACAGTGTACACCTCGGCCTAGGACAGGCTAGAAAGGCGTCTTGCCTTGTCTATCACACAGATTTCAAAGTTAGTCATCGTCATCTCGTTCCGAATCACTGACACAAGAATGCTTAAGCTTTTGACGAAATTTAAGACGCAATCGTTAAACGAAGTGAGACCTTACGAAAGCAATGTTAGTATGTTGTTACTATTGCTGGAAAAGCATAACTAAGAAATGGCTCTTTTTATCCTCGCATTAGTATAGGTTTTGTACTTTTTTTTCGTATCTTTTTAATAGGGAGAAGTTGTGTCATCTAGTCATGGAGAGAAAAATGGTGACGATGGAACTCTGCAGAAGACGTGGCATTCTGGTAAGTCATGAACTTATTCGCATTTCTAAAAGATTATTTGTCATTTGGTAGGATATTGGCCGGTACCTGTGATAGAATAGCTTTGAGTATGTTTATAATGATTTTTTTGCTTTAACGTAGAAGAGACTGTCGAGACAGACATGAGCAACTACATGGGAAGCACACCTAAAGATTCGTGTATTTTTACTTCATTTCACACCTGCATTTCCAACGTTAACATCAGAACTTTAAATGTGTTCAACGAAGCTTTGAAAGAGGACGAGCTCGTGAAAAACGAGAACAAGGAGAATGGTGAACATTTGTATTTTCCCGGGACTTCAAATGGTCGAGATAGTGGTATGATATTGACGAACTCTGCGGAAAAACGAAAACGCTCTCACCTTTCAAACAATAGCATGTCTAACGATAGTTCATCAAGTGACGAGGAAGTAAAAGAACTGTTATCAAAACAACCAAAAAACGAATGTAGAAAAGGGATTGAAGAAGACTTAGTTGCAAACGTTTCTACTCCTTTACGAAATACTAAAATACGCCCTACAGAGAGCCACGCAAGAAAACGACATCGCTTTGCTAGTGGACAGGAAAGATTCTACAGTCGTCCGTCGTTAGATTTTGAGAAGATGCAGCAGGTATTTAAAATTATAAAACTGTGTTAGTTCATGTGCATGACAAATGACCATCTAACGTTTTTATTATACATATTTTATGGCGTATGTACTAAAAAACAAGGGATGAATTATTTTATACTTGAATGATACAATGAACTCGAACAGTACTCAAGATTTTATAATTTTCATTTGAGTTCAAGAATCACTTGTTGGGCCGTGTCTCTAAATATAGCAGAAAAGATAAATAGTTGGTCAGTTAAAGCTACAGGCTTTTGTGAAGAGGATTGTAGCTTGATGCGAAAGGATTAGTAATGATATTGCGTATAGAGCACTCAGCCTTTTGGGGGGGATATATCGCTTAGTATTTTGGAAGGGATGAAGGCGGTGTATATTGGTAATGCTCTCATACCTATACCGTTTAAATGGATGGATCTTCTGAAAAGCTACTGAAGTTTATTTGTCATTCGTGCGTAGGTGGTGTTGTATTTTTAAACTTGCTTAATCTTTTTTTCCTAGTAATTTGCGATGTATGCAAGGTTTTTTAACACCCACGTCTTTTATACAAAGCTCAAGAATGAAATCTACTATCACTTTATAACGCAAACCAATGTATTTTCATTGCTTTCAATGACTTCAAACTCCTATATACTCACTAATATTTGTATGATCAAAGCAGGTTTTTTCGATATCTTTGAATGACGTATAGAGAGTGCATCATTCCTTTTGTGGTATTTCGTCGCTTTATACTGCGTTGTGAGATATTCAAAAAATAGTTTTTTCCTATCACGCTGACGTAAAGAATTATATTTTCATTTGCTTAACATTTGTTGGATCTTGATTGTCTCGTTGCCATTGAAACATCAAATATTTAGGTTGTTGTGTTGTCAATGATCTGGTAGTTGTAAATGAATTTGTCCTTCGATATTCAAGCAATGCCATTGGACTTTGTGGTTTTGTATTTAATTATTATCCCTCTATAATCATCGTGTTGTAAACAATCTGTTCGTCTGAAACATTGTTAATGAATGTGTTTCGACAGTCTTCATGGAACAATGGGGCTCTTACTCGTTAATACTATGTAACCAAACTTCCAAATCCTTATATTAGAGGTTCATCAAAAACATCACACTACATAGTTGTGCATTGATCGATGTATGGATTGTAATTTGTTTTAGTTGAGTCTTTGTGTTGATAGCTGTGCTCATTAAAAATTGTTGATCTTGATAGGGCAGGTTAATGATAGCTATGTCAGTTTGATGCCACCGTGCTATTTTAATGGCCTAATTTTGTGCCATGATGACTTTTGACTTCTAAATATTTTCTCTTCTGTTGTCTGTTTTAGAAAGTTTATTACAAACGCAGCAGCGCAAATGGAGCCGGAAGACCACGTATTGTAAAAGTTCGAGTAAGGTTCACCTTCACACATCGTTACTGTCCTTAGGATAAAACTCACTTGGAAGTTTTGATCCTTTTTTATTGACTTGGATCTTTGCTTTGATTTATGATACTTTTCTCGTATTAAAATTGTTTGTTTGATTTCGATTTGCAATTAATATGTGCACACCAGCTGGGTTCGTCATTCGATCAACTCTTCATGCTGTTATTGCTTAATTTAGAACTTGATGATTTTGTTTTTTTGATGCTATGCCATTAACGTCGCAGGCTTCTTAGTTGACAGCAATAAATTTGACTGTCAAATTCTAAGAGGAGTCCATACTTGTTTGATTATTAAAATTGTGACGAAAATGAAGATCTACTGGAGGAACTTCTGTCTGAGATATTTTTGTCAAGTCTTCTCAGAAATGATGTAATTTAGCATTTTTAAAGTACAAAGTTTCTCGACAAAATATTTATAACGTTTCCATGTCGAAGTATTCATTTTGGAAACGTAAAGTTGATAGTTTGCTTGAGATTTAAGAAGGATTTAATATATTTTATTGACTTTTCTATAAATCTTTGATTGGCATCTATTGTTTTAGAGCTTTGCCGGACTCTCTCCAAATCTTGGTTCATCTGTGATGACATTTCAACCAATCCAAGGGATTCAGGCATTTAAATTACCCCCTGTGGAAGAGACAAGATCCATTGCTTTTTAACCAAAAACGCTTGGCTCAAAAGTAAGTTGAAGCTAGCCGATCTACTTCACGATGTCAAATGATATTATAGAATTTGAATGACAAAGTAACTCCCGGAATCTATAGATATTTTTTTATGAAATTAGGAAACCAATGCCTCAATACGGTAAACTTGCTTTGAGACCATGAAATATCTACATCATACCGAGGGATTCTCTTCATTATCCAGTTAGCTTAATTACTCATTTCATAGACAATGAAATAATTCTCTCGCTTTTTTCATGAAATTTTTTGAGTTTATAAGAAACTGAAAATTGACGATTTTGATAACTGGTAGAATGATATTACCCCCTAGCGAATGTTGTTATTCAGTTTTGATGCTTCTTAAGTAAACTTCTCTCGTCTAGCTAGATCCACTCCATGTGGTTTGATCGGGAACTTTTTTACTTTTCAGTGAAACTTAAACAGCTGTTGTATGTTTTTAGAATTCGATTGTGTTGGATGAAAAGAGCTATCATTTGCCTTGGGTACGAAATCCTAGAGATTTGTTTGTAGCAGACAGCACATTAAACAGTTATTAAGCGTATAACCGTTGACAGAAAGTTATTGAAAATGGCTTTATAATCTCGCTGATCTTGTTGTATAAATCAACTTTGTTAGATAGGCGAAATCAAGTATTGGATTGGCTTACGGTTCAGCGAGGATGATTTGGGGGATTATTATTGGGAAAAAATTCTACGGTGTCTTTCTCGAAAGCTAGAAATTAGGCTGAAGTGCAATGGTCTCAACATTTGATTGTAGTAGTTACGTCGTTGATAATTTTTATGCTAACAATAACTGAAAGAATTTTGATTTCTTGATGTTATTGTAATATTTGAGCACAAAGTTTGCATTGCACAAAATGTCAAAAATGAACTGAAATAAAGCATCACAAGTGAAAACTAAAAACTTTCAACCAATCTGACTTTATAGGAGCTTAGTGCATTTGTGAGAAAAAACTTTGCTGGCCTAAATTTCAACTTTCGAGTGAGAAATGGCGTGTAGATAAATATTGCTGGGGTTACATATATATATGCTAATATGTTATAACATAATGATTGATTTTTAATCATTATTTTCCTTAGCGCTTAAACTCATATTGAGGACATTGTTTTCATTATTGATCACATTATTGAAGGATCGTATGTATACAACTTGTAGAATTTGCACAAAATATTTATATAATAGAAACATTCTGTCTGCTGCATGTTTTGTATTTAACGTATATTATGTAAGACTCTGTAAGAGTGTTTTACAGCATTTGTATTAGTCGATAATGTTTGCTGCGTTTGCAGTGATCTTATAGAAACATATATATATTTATAAAGGTTTTTAAAAGATGTAGTTGTGGTAATATATTAGAAACGCAACAGTTGTAAGATTTGCAATAAAAATATAATTTGAAATATCGAACTTTTGCTGCGTCGTTCTATGGTCGCTCTCTTTTTTTCTTATGGTCGCTCTCTTTTTTCTTCTTTGGGTTGCTATCATTGAGTTCTTTGGGCTTCTAGAACTCAATGGTTGCTATGCCTCGTCTCGCTAGCTCGTTGTCGTGGTGACTGTAGACAATATGGCGGTCGTCAACTAACGACAACCATATAGGCATATACGTACAACTTTTTAAAGATTGGCATTTTTTAAACATTTATATCGTGAGGACGTATTAAATATGAATAGCATAAATTTTCTCAATATAAATGGGAAAGGTACTCATATTTTCACGCACGATAATGGTCGTTTTTGATAGAATTCATAGTGTCAACTGCCGTGAATCATGATGATTGATCAACTCCTCCACATTTTTTTAGAAAAAAAGAAACTCAACCCTATTATTATCGCATTTGAGCAGGCGTTAGAAACTATTTTATTCAAACTGACGAAGCTCAGCTCAACTGAAGGTCGTTGTCAATCCAAAACTGCCATACACAGAAGGTGAGAAACATCACCAACTTTCCAACTTTGTCTCTTACGTTACGTATGTGTGATTTTTATCAAAATAATGTTAAAATATATACAAACGTATGACAGATTGTTGCTGCTTATAAAAGTCCATAGATCCTTTCAACATTTCTTGCTATTTGTTAAGTTTAGGAAGTCATTTTATTTTGTAGGAGACCTGATTTTTCAAAACTCTTCAAAGAGTTCAGGCCACGACTTCCACATCAATATTTTGTCAAAAAACTTATGCAAATTGGCTACTTCTTGTGTTCATTAAAGGTATGTGATGACAATTTAAAATGTTTCACTTTCAATTACACCAATTTGTAACTTTTAGTCTTTGTTTCCAGGCATTTCAAGAAGCTAAATTCCAGTGCTTTACACGTTACCTTCAGGAAATATCACCTGACCACACATGCATTGAAGAAGTAGCTAATTTAGATTTTGAACATTTTAAAGAAACATTTTTCCCTAATGGACTTGGTGACTCACAGACAGTGGACACAGTAAGAATGGTGGTTGTAATTCTTTATTTTTAATAATAATTTTACAAGGTGAAATTCTTTTGTTGGATCTTGTTAGATCCTGCTGTGTAGAAGAGAAGTAGGATTTCTGTGCAATATCTTATAGAACCTTACAAGATCAAGTAGGGTCTTAGCTTGGGATCCTGTGGGATCATAAAACATTCTACCAGGATCCTATAAGACCCTGTAGGATCTCGGATAAGATAAACATTGGGATTTTGCCGGCTGCTAGATAAAGCACTTTTTGGATTCAATGCAGGGTTTTATGCAATGTTTTCACCCAGGTTGCTACTTTGCATTTCTTCACTAACACACAGTTGTCTGGATTTGGTCTATCCAGTTCCTAATGAATCACACATTTTATAGATCAAAGTTTTATATGAAGACACCATGAGTTCTTATGTATTGCTCATAGAGTCAGATCCAGAACTTCAGGTAAAACTTTAGGATGAATCAATATTGTCTGTTATAGTCTTCCCTTCATTTGGTATTAAATAAGTTATATATATATGTACCTTATCATTGTAGACTGCAAGAAGTGTGAATCAATGTTTGAAACTATTGAAGATTCTTATGCTTGTTATGCAGTTGGCAGTACAATGTGAAGCCTTCTGTTGGTTACTCTATAATGGTAATTCATGAATTAAACAAAGTAAAGCTTAAGTGAATATGGCTTGCATGGGTCTGTGATTGTACGAGTCATCTTTATTGCCTTTTGATAGATATTTCAAATAAATAAGAAAATAATAATAAAATGGGCAATCTTATTTGGACCGGTGTTTTCTAACTAGTGTTTTCTAACCAGTTTCCTGTTCCATAAAAGAAATGTTAAAGCTTTGCCAGTTTTTCATCTTCGTTAAAAGTTTCATACAATATTTTCAATTTGGGATTTTTTAGGAAGATTTAGATAAAACCTGCACTCTATTTATTGTAAGATGAGCTGCTTTGAACTTATACGTGTCTTTCTGCCTCTTAGGTACAATTCATGTTTACACAATTTCACAACAGCTGATGGTCACTGGAAGAAGCAACTTGGTAAAAGCAATGTTTGAACTTCAGAATATAGAGGATTTTACTTGTGTTTTGTTTCTTTGTTTTATTTCTTAAAGCTTTCTCCCTCACATGATGGAAATAATAGATGATGTTCATGATATTATTTTGTAGGTTCTTGAATATTTACTGTGGTCATGCATGTGCATGGAAGGATCAGTTCCACTGCTGACAGTCAAATATATCCCTTGGCGTAGTACATTGTACTCTGCAACCTGTCTATGTTATCTTGACTGTAACGAGCCAAAGCATGCTGAGACATTTGCACGTAGATCAATGAAAAAAATTACAGAGCTTGCCGACATCGAGGAAATGAGCACATCCGTTCAAACGCCGGAAACTAAGGCCGTGTTTCAGGCTGCTAAAGTGAAGATTGATGTGTTTATATTTCAACGAGTGGTCTTTGAAAGCAGAAAGAGACCTAAAGGAATGCTACGTCCTAAACTGAGAGCACCTATCAAGGAAGCTTTGCATGTAAGTTAGTGCATTGACACTATTTGGATTGCAAAAACTCGTTCACATTCTTTCTATTCCTTTGCAAAGTATTACACACAACGTAATCTCTTATTTTTGCAGTCCAACTGGCCTCGCAATCAGACGGAGCGTCTACTGACGGATCTATTTGATGGCAATGCGGCTCAATTTCTTGCTATCCTTCAAACATTAGGGGGTCCACATCGCCGTACCCTGCAATGTAACGCTCCTACTGGATCTATTGATGACGTCACCTTGGATATTTATCCCGAACTATTTGTCGCTGGTGTGGACTTAATATCCGGTGGTAACAATGCCCGGCTTTCACGTAACGACCAAGAGGTTCATCCTTCTTGTATTGATCTATCCAATGCGTCACTTCTTGAACTATCAGAAGAAGGTATGGTATGTTAGAAATCTACAGCCACTCCTCCCCACCTTAGATCAAAGTATGGTATGTTAGAAATCTACAGCCACTCCTCCCCCCCACCTTAGATCAAAGTATGGTATGTTAGAAATCTACAGCCACTCCTCCCCCACCTTAGATCAAAGTATGGTATGTTAGAAATCTACAGCCACTCCTCCCCCACCTTAGATCAAAGTATGGTATGTTAGAACTCTACAGCCACTCCTCCCCACCTTAGATCAAAGTATGGTATGTTAGAACTCTACAGCCACTCCTCCCCCACCTTAGATCAAAGTATGGTATGTTAGAAATCTACAGCCACTCCTCCCCCACCTTAGATCAAAGTATGGTATGTTAGAACTCTACAGCCACTCCTCCCCACCTTAGATCAAAGTGTGGTATGTTAGAAATCTACAGCCACTCCTCCCCCACCTTAGATCAAAGTATGGTATGTTAGAAATCTACAGCCACTCCTCCCCCACCTTAGATCAAAGTATGGTATGTTAGAACTCGAGTCACTCCTCCCCCACCTTAGATCAAAGTATGGTATGTTAGAACTCTACAGCCACTCCTCCCCCACCTTAGATCAAAGTATGGTATGTTAGAAATCTACAGCCACTCCTTCCCCACCTTAGATCAAAGTATGGTATGTTAGAACTCCGGAGCCACTCCTCCCCCACCTTAGATCAAAGTGTGGTATGTTAGAACTCTACAGCCACTCCTCCCCCACCTTAGATCAAAGTGTGGTATGTTAGAACTCTACAGCCACTCCTCCCCTCACCTTAGATCAAAGTGTGGTATGTTAGAACTCTACAGCCACTCCTCCCCCACCTTAGATCAAAGTGTGGTATGTTAGAACTCTACAGCCACTCCTCCCCCACCTTAGATCAAAATATGGTATGTCAGAACTCCGCAGCCACACCTCACCCTCTATTATTTCTTCATTGATTCTATTTAAAACTTTCAAATAGAAATAGCATAAAAACACTTGCAACTGCATTTCCAATATCATTCGTCATGCTCCAATTTTTAAGATGCATCCCATTTTCATACATAAAAAATGAAAATACTGTGTTATTGTTTTATCATCACTTTAAGATCTGTTGTATTGTAGGTGTAGATGGTGTACCATTTCCACTGGTGATGAGATTTTTAAAACTAGCCTTCAGCTACGAACAATGGGAGGTGTTAGATACCCTTATACAACCTTCCATAAACTTACTTGAGACGCGTGCGCAGATGGTTCAGTCACCTGTTTATCTTATGACACTGGAACTTTTAATAGCCATGGAGCCTTTTTACAATCCAACTAATCGAAGACACAACAAGAAGGGTGTGGCTTGTAATGAGGGTGCATTTAACGATTATTCTCAAGGTAATCATGCTTTTCGTCAGGTTTGACGACAGCGAGTAATATCCATTTGAAAGTGAATCAAAGCATTTCAATGTTATTTCTGTGTGTGTGTTTAGACTGTAAAGCGAATGTATCTTTTGTTGATGAACTATTGGTCGTTGCAAATATCCTCAGTCGATTTACAAGTGAGCTGCCTAAGGTAAAGACTTTTTATGTTTGTAAATGATGATCGTCCAGGTTAATAAAGTCCTGAGAAGGACTGTTTTTGTTGTTGTTGAGGAGACTTTTGGCTTTTTAAAGACTTTTGGTATAAGTTATTAAAAATATAAGAAATACTCTTGGTTATTGATATCTGTTGATGAAAGTTCCCTTTCATCACTTCGTGTTCTAAATGTTCAGCACAAATGAACGTTTTTCCCAAACTTTTCTTTATTTTAGGCAGCCATGCCATATGTTGATGTAGATATGCTCGTGGATGCTACTCTTTTCCTCTGGAATCGTTGTAAACCGTTCTTCTTTCGTGTTGTATCGTCAAATTACGAAAGCTGCAAACAAGTTTTGAACGATAAAGATTGTGACAAAGTGAGTTCTTTGTTGAGGACTTTTCAGTTCTTTGTCGTCTAAATAAATTTGTTTATAGTTTGTGTTATTTTGATGTCTTCATTTTGCCTACCATCGTATATTTTACACAAATGTTATGACACACGTTACCATCGTATATTTTTACACAAATGTTATGACACACGTTACCATCGTATATTTTTACACAAATGTTATGACACACGTTACCATCGTATATTTTACACAAATGTTATGACACACGTTACCATCGTATATTTTTACACAAATGTTATGACACACGTTACCATCGTATAATTTTACACAAATGTTATGACACACGTTACCATCGTATATTTTACACAAATGTTATGACACACGTTACCATTGTATATTTTTACACATATTTTATGACACACAATTCCAACGTACATTTTTCAGTGGCTCTTTCTTCTTCTCAACATCGACAACGTTTTTCGTTCGTATGGATTGTCAGATATAGATCCTGTCGTTGCTGCTGAAATATCATTAAAACTCTCCATGGTCATTGAATGTAGAGCCTCTATGTGTACTCAAAACAACAGCGCTACCATTTTCAAAACTGTAAGTACATTTTTATTATTTGCATTTTTGCCATTTGTCATTGTGTCCATTTTTTACAATGCATAGTGTCGCAATGATTAATAATCAAACGCTTTAAAAACACTTTGAAGGCGAAGGAGGGATTGTGCAACATTTGTATAATCGCTTTACTCCAGGTAACGAAACCTGAAAGGGATTGGGAAACTGAGATGCCCATAATATTGAATTGTTGTTTAGCGACAGGAAAGTGAAGTTAATAACGTTCGAAGCAAACAATTGGACGAAAATACTTTAGAAGAGAATTTCACTCATTACAGCTCATCATACCAGGACGTATTTCCAAGTTCTGGTTTTGATTTATTATGGCTGGCGTTTAATGTACTCGAATCAAGTGTTGAACGAGTTAGCGACGCAAGAGTAAAGATTGGTGTCGAGCTGGTTTATGATCAGGTTGTTGACTTCATTGATCTTTATAAAATGTTTAAATTTAGTTTTTTCAATTTCATGGTAAAGACCTATACCACAATTAACTCGATGTTGCATCCTAAATAAATGACTTTACTTTGTACATTGCGTTTCAAATTTTGGATTTTTGATGACTTTGCCAATTGAAATATTTTTTACATTTGTGAGGTTCTAAGAATTTTTTAGTGTTGATACTTTTAGCGCCATCCAAAGTGGAGGTTCTTTACAATACATCCCTTGTGCTTATGATAAAGGTTCAACTCAAAAATTGTACATATATGTATTTAATTTAGAGATCAGTGCTTCATATTTATGTTCAGTTTTACCACCACAGGTAAAGAATGGGACGCTTGGACATAAAGGAAGTGGATTTTCTAAGAACGATATGGACTTGCAAATATTAAAAATGGAATTACTTTTCAACATGATGCGATTGCTTTCCAAGCTGGTCAGCGGACGCTATCACTCAGAGATGGTGCCTGGTTTGCAGAAATCGATGACTTCATCTTCAATATTATTGAAAAATCGTGGAAAATCTCGTGATACGAGCTCATGGATTGAGGACATCGTCAAGAAATATACACGACTTCCCATTGCGAGAGCAATGTTTCTCATGCACAAGACACAAATTGATGAGATCACAAGGGAAAAAGCCAAAGAAAATCTCAAGGTATATTTTATTCTGAAGAGAAGCGAGTGTTATTTGTTAGGTAGAAATAGGATTAGTTCAAAAATTCCCTTTTTGGGTACAAACAATAATAAATTATCGAAGTTAAGATTTATGCGTTTGCATAGAATGTGTTTGTCAGTTTCTTTTATGAAATATAAACAATAAAACGCGTGCTTTGATTGGTCAATAATTGAGTTTGCATTATGCTGTGCAAACCGATCTGAGCTCAACTAATAACAATATTCCCTCGACAGGATTGTTTTAATATCATTAAAAAATGTGAAGTTCAAGAGAAAGTCCTTGCATCAAGATGTAAGAATTCAAATAAAGATATCGAACCTACATCAACTCCACCTTCTCCAATCTTAGTTTTTCGTAGCTCATCTCGAATGATTTTAAAACCTGCGCCATTTATACCCATCTGTAAGGTAAATGCACAAAACGTGACATTAAATTAAATATTAACATGAAGTAAGAGGTTTTCTTTCCGTCTTTAAGGTGTACTGGTATCGTATGTTTGGTTGCTCTGCCACCGGTAGTAATGTCAAAGTTAGATTGAATGATTGTAATCTTGTTGGAACGGGTATAGAGGTAAAGTGTCATCTCCTACACCTGATCCTACCAATTGATTTAATGATTTAGCATTAAATCTATGGATGTATTTAGAGGAGGGTCGTGCACCTCTTTTTTGGAAAGAGGGCGTGTATGAGGTGTGCCAATTTCCCAACAAAATACTTGTTATACAAAACAACTAGGCAAAAGCAATTTATAGGAGCGCACTTCCAAAAATCTCCCAGTCATAATAAAAAGATGACAGAATTTACACCTGATGCAATCTCATCTAAATAATAAGTTTTGTCTTTTTTTACCTATAAACTGTAAACAAAATTTAGGTACCGGCGAATCAACATTGCATGTTTGATGTGACAAATCTTGAAGCAGGGGGAAGATACGTGTTTGCAGTGGCTGCTTACGATAAAAACGGTGATCTCATTGGTGGTGGAGTAGGTCCCACTGGAATGGCTTGTCCTGCATCTCAGCCTATGCCAATCATAATGGCTTGGTCTTATTTAGCTATGGTATATTACATTTTTCTTGTTCTCTTTATGTACATCCCGTTATGTCATATCAAGACTTTTCTTTTGTCTTTGCTCTGCTTGGAAGTTTAAAAACTGCTTCATCCTGTTTAAGTGAATCGTTTATCAGATGATAAAACACATAGAAACATAACTTTTTAAGATTCAAAACATTCAGGGCTTTTGTTCTATTTGATATTGAGCACGTCTTAGATTTTTGCTCACATCTGGGTTCAACTGCTTTTTTGTCTTTAAATTGATTTAGACTTGTTATTCTGTTGGTATTTATGAAATTGCTGGCGCTTCAGCCAGTATTCTCTGGAAGTATTTTGTCAAAGAGAAAGATACGAGTCACCTGACCCAAGAGATGTCTTGTTCAGGTAGTAATGTAATCTTGGAAGAACGTCACTTTGATTGGGAGATGTTGAACGAGATCAATCAAGTTTTGGGTCGTCATTTTCTGAAAAGTGTGTTTATTGCTGTGGATGTTGCAGTGCGCAATGAGAAGTTATATTGTGATTCTTTATGTGATCATGGAGTATTACTACCTGGACAGGTATTAAAATATAAATATTGCATAGAATACAGAGAAATATTGGATTTAAAAAAAAGAGAACGAGGACATGTATTCTATATTTGTTTTGCAGATACGGCGAATTCGAGAATGTGAGAAAATGTTGCTTGTTCTTCGAGTCTCGTTGTGGATAAATGATGTCAGTTTAGTTTTACAAAGTATTACAAGATGCTATGGTCTTCTTGCTCCACTAATTCACATGAATATTCCTTCAAAACCAGTTGTGCAGGTTTGTTAACATTGAGTAGATTATATTAGTTTGTGGTAAATTGTCACGTGAAGAAATGCTGATATATGCTTGTACAACTATCTTATCACGTGAAGAAATACTGATATGTGTATGTATAACTATCTTGTCATGTGAAGAATTACTGATATGTGTATGTATAACTATCTTGTCACGTGAAGAAATACTGATATGTGTATGTATAACTATCTTGTCACGTGAAGAAATACTGATATGTGTATGTATAACTATCTTGTCACGTGAAGAAATACTGATATGTGTATGTATAACTATCTTGTCACGTGAAGAAATACTGATATGTGTATGTATAACTATCTTGTCACGTGAAGAAATACTGATATGTGTATGTATAACTATCTTGTCACGTGAAGAAATACTGATATGTGTATGTATAACTATCTTGTCACGTGAAGAAATACTGATATGTGTATGTATAACTATCTTGTCACGTGAAGAAATACTGATATGTGTATGTATAACTATCTTGTCACGTGAAGAAATACTGATATGTGTATGTATAACTATCTTGTCACGTGAAGAAATACTGATATGTGTATGTATAACTATCTTGTCACGTGAAGAATTACTGATATATGTATGTATAACTATCTTGTCACGTGAAGAATTACTGATATGTGTATGTACAACTATCTTGTCACGTGAAGAATTACTGATATGTGTATGTACAACTATCTTGTCACGTGAAGAATTACTGATATATGTATGTATAACTATCTTGTCACGTGAAGAATTACTGATATGTGTATGTACAACTATCTTGTCACGTGAAGAATTACTGATATGTGTATGTACAACTATCTTGTCACGTGAAGAATTACTGATATATGTATGTACAACTATCTAATCACGTGAAAAATAGTCATCCAAATCAATGATTTTTTCTAGATTCTACTTAAATGCTACGCTGTTCTTCTGGAAGTACCATCATTGAATCGTTTTCGCAAAAATTCTTCAACGTATGACAGTTTTTATCATCTCATTGCAGTCATCACTTATTTTCTCACCAAGGTACGTCTTCCACTGTTCATTATATTCCCCATAAGTGTTACATCGTGTATTTGAACCTTCTTCTGGTTTCTATTGATTATTGAGGGATGTTGTTTTTCATAAAATGGACAATTTTTGTATGCGTTTTAGACATTGCCAATATGGGGGGAAGATGAACTTGCCAGCACAATCAAAGACTACGGTAGAAAACTTTTAACTATCGATGCACCATTTGTGGAACAAATGGTACCTGCCATATCGATCACAGTATCTCTGGATGAGCCAAACGACGCGAACCAACAAGTGGGAACTAAATGCAAGAAAAAAGGCGGGAAAGGCAAATTGAAAAAAGTCAAAGGAGCGAACTTAAAAGCAACTACAAAGCCAGAACAGTCCAGTAGAACTGGCGTTTCTCAGAAAGCAGAGTTTATGGCTTTAGAAAACGTTTATGATAAACGAGCAAGTCAAGGTAAAGGCTTGCAAGGGCACAGTGAAAACTCGCTTTTTGCTTTTTCAATACTTTTATTCATTTTCTCGTATCCCCGGCTTGTTTTTATACAATTCATTAGATGCTTTTTTTCATATTACATTGTCCATGGTAATTTGCTGTTTAGTGTTGATTTTACTTTATAATTGAAACAATTTTGATAAGTTTGCGACGCATCTGTTTAATTGTAGTTACCAAACATTAAAAGTTCCTTTCATGGAAACTATTATTTTACATTCGACTTTCCAAGGATGGCAAAATACAGATCTTATCATGATTGAGTATTGATGAAAGCAACATATACAGCATGATATGTACTCCAGAATAAAATCTACTTTTTAAAACTTACTTTGTGATCATTATTAATATTAACCCCGTGTTAACCTAGGATTATCAGTTTGTTATCAGATTGTCTCAAATATATATGTCTCTGTTGGAAAAATTATGTTTCGTTTCTTCTATGAATAGTGCTGTCTTCATTTTTACTGGCGTTTTTCTCTCATAATTTATGTTTCAGCCATGATGAATTTCAAGAACGACTTTGATTTAACAGGATCAGAGGATCCGTCCGTTCTCACTAGTTATATAATGGCTTTAAATCCAAGCGAAGGCTACAGAGAAGGTACATATCTTCAAACAAAATTGGTTCTTGCTTCCGAAGTCATTTTTCTCTCAAAGTCAATATACTTCTAAAGCTAGGTGAACAAACAAATATATAAAATACTTTTCATGCATTACATGTTTGAACCTGTTCTTATCATCCAGGAAAATTTTCATTTGAAACGAAAACTTGATATTCAATTGACAGCTTACAATTACATTTTCAGTCCTTAAATTCAAAAGACGCACGAAATTTCTTCAGTATTTTGTTATGGTTGCTGAGAAAGCTCTTGAGTTTGACTGGTTTGAGAAAGTTCTAGAATGGTCGAGTGACACTGACATATGGCTAAATAAGTATTAAATAAAAATAGTTTATATTTAAGACTTTCAACAAAGTCAATGTCTGATTTTTATTTTTCATAAATTGTTTAGACGTAACGATATCCTGGTACCAACGCAGAAACCATCCATTTCCCAACAGTCACCTGACTTTGATGGTGAGGAGATAAAGAGCAAGAGGTTTGCAACTGCAATTGTTGAATATGGAAAGGTTTGTGCTTGTGTTTGTAACCGCAATTGCTTAACGAAGTGGTTGACAATTTGAATCATTTCTTACTTTTTATACTTCAAATGATACAGCTGCTCTACATGAACAAGATTTTAATATCAGAATCCGTCTACTTCTAGCTGACCGCAGCTACCCTTAGCTATCTCTAACTACCTCCAGTTATCCCCAGCTAAACTAACATGTACTATTGTTTGTTGCAAAAGTAATTTATACTTGCATGACACTGTTATAACTAAATGAGTCTGTTTCTTTTTTGACTTTGTGCTCACAAGTGTTTAGTCCAGTTTCTCATCTCAATGAAAATGTGTTTGCTCCCTTAGCAGGCAGCCAAAAGAAATACAAAGTGCATGAAACAGCTTCTTGAAACACTTGCTGATGTCAAAGACAATAGTGACATGACTTCCCATTCAAATGGGGAAAGGCCAGATGGAAAGTATGTAAAACAAGTCAAATCTACGAGGACAAATAAGTCAACCAGTCCCTCACGAACACCACCTCATGTGCCTCGAATAATCCGAAAGGTTTGTCATTTGGTCAGTGTTACTAGAAAAATCCATCTCGCAAATTCAAAACATTGTTGTATTCATTCAACTTTGTCTTAAGACAATTTTCAAGATTACCATGTTATCTTATTCTCTTCATTTAGGGTAAAAAGAAGTTTCGAGGAGCAACGGATGAACAAACCTTGATACGAGTATACTACTGTTTTATTAAATAAAGCTTGAAAGCTGTTTCTTTTCCCCCGCAGTATCTTTTTACAAAGGCAATATCTTCTTAATTAAGAAGGAAATATCTTCTTCCAAGACAATATCTTCTTCCAAGGCAATATCTTCTTGTACAGCAATATCTTCCAAGACAATATCTTCTAAGACAATATCTTCTAAGACAATATCTTCCATGTAGGCAAAATCATCTTTGATGCAGTATTTTTTACTTTTTGTTTCAGGCTATTGAATCATTGCAGTCAAAGCTTCCTTTATTCTGGAAATCTGAAGGCAGGAAAAGGAGATTACGTTTGATAACTAAAGAAGAAACTCCATGGCGTTGTCAGGTTTGTTATTTTCTTTTTAGTAAATCCAATGGTAAGAAATAGCTTCGTAGCGCACGTCCAATTTTTATAGCAATGCCTTCGTAGTGCACGTCCAATTTTTATAGCAATGCCTTCGTAGTGCACGTCCAATTTTTATAGCAATGCCTTCGTAGTGCACGTCCAATTTTATAGCAATGCCTTCGTAGTTGCACGTCCAATTTTATAGCAATGCCTTCGTAGTGCACGTCCAATTTTTATAGCAATGCCTTCGTAGTGCACGTCCAATTTTATAGCAATGCCTTCGTAGCGCACGTCCAATTTTTATAGCAATGCCTTCGTAGTTGCTCTTTGTTGTCTGATGTTGTCCTTTTATAGTTTATTTCATTTTTCTTTCTTAATAGTTGAATATCGTACGTGCTCTTGCTAGTTTTTCTTTCTTCCTGAATCAAACCAAGGGAACCGATAAAGGAAATAACGATGGTTTGAATGAAGAAAGGTACTAAATGTTTTAAATAAACGTTCATGAAACTCTGTTGATTTTGCTTTGCTATCGTTTTGATCAAATCAACCCAGCTAGGAACGGTGCTTTTCCGAGAACGACTGTTGATGTTTGTTTAGTACTGTCCAGTGGTTTGTTTAGTACTGTCCTTTGACTCTGAAGATGACTACCGCTAAGGTTGTCGCAACGTCAGTCAACAACAACAAAAATAGTCCTTCTCAGGACTAAACCAACCTGGACGATCTACATTTACAAACATGTAACGATACTCCCGGGCTCAAACCATTTACTTTATTACTGTCCAGTGGTATTACCAGATTGACTCTTAAAATGACTACTAGCAACTAAGGATGTTGAAACGTCAGTCAACACCAACATTTCTTCTCAGGATTAAACTAACCTTTATAAGTATATACAAACATCTAGGATTGTTTATTCTTGTTTGCAAAACTGCTTTCTAAAACACCTTTTTTTTATCGTACAAGTGAAATGTCTGCTCTGGATATGGAATGGTTTGGTTTTGACCTCAGTGGGATTCTTCTTCGTCAACGCAATTCTGTCTTGAAGGATACATCTTCATCTTTTAAGGATCTTGTTTTGGCTTTAACTCAGAAACAAGATCGAACAAATGCAATGAAAAAAAGGTAGATTTTATCTCTCTAAAAGTGTGCTCGTTATCGTATGAAAATGAAAGTGTCGGTCACAAGGTGTTTATATAAAATTGTCACTTTATCATCATTTTTTTTTCATTTTCATCATCCATGCCAACAGAGAGCAACAGAGAATTGATGAAGAGACGGATTACCTCAGATTTGTTTACAACGCTTGTAAATATCTATCGAAAGCAATGGTAAGTGCTTGTATGTCATGTGAGTTTGTTCTGGGATCGTTGTCTCTTTTTAGATTTTTTACCTGTTTTTATGAAGGTTTTATCATACCGCTGTAAGTCTTGGGGTATTTTGCAAAATGCCTGTTGTCATTTGTGGAATATAAGACAGAAACTCTACGCGTTTATTATGGATCCTGGCACTAGAGTTACTGAAGATATACTTTATGAGATAACCTGGATGGCTTTTTATTTTGCGGCTGATACACTGCTTGACATGCTCTTGTTTATGAAAGAAAATGTGAAAGATTTTTCAAGGCCGATGAGCAAGGTAGAATTTAAAATTACAAAAACAAAAATTTCAGTCCTGCTATAAATAGAAGTTAAATTAGTACCCATGTCCCCCACTCTCCATTCATCACTCTACCTTACAAAGAATCTGCGTTCCCATTGGACATATAATACTCTATCGTTTTTCCATGGACGTTTTAGACTTCTGAAGACAAAGGCATCTTTTCCTTGTGGGGTGGCATCGAGGATGAGAAGGGCGGTTCTGATTTAATATTTGAACCGTATCTAGATGATCATACAGAGATGGATGTTGTTTGGATCCGTCGTATTATAATGCATTCTATGGAATGTTTGTTTTATAAAGAGAAATGGGAAAAGTTAGCTGACATCATATTAAGATTTTTCGCTCTTTCCAGGTGTGTTCTGTGACATTTGTGTGAAGTGTTCATGTGTGTCACATATAGCCGTACATCCTTACTAGCCAGCAGGATTTTGATGATGTCGTTTCGTTTAAAGTAACATAAAATGCGTTGTTTCCACGAAGCACTGTACATTTTATTTCAACGCTAATGAAACTAAAGTCATTTATTAGTTGAGTCAAACTTTACCTCGAAGAAAGTTTTCGATGTTTTGAATTTTATGTGGTTATTGGTTGTGACAATCAAAATTTATTTCACAGCACTTCTACACAAGCAGACAAACTTTATGTCAAAATCAAGTTATAAAACATTGTGCAACGCATTTTTCCATCTTTATAAAACCTTAAAAAACCTTTCTTTATAAAATCGAAAGCTCTCTCTGCTTCTTTGTTCTATCGTCGAATCATTTTTGCCCCAAAAAATCGTAACTTGTTTTTTTTTTGTTTCAGAGGTCGCTACGCAGACAAAGTTTTGCCTTTACTGGCATTTGCTCAAGAAAACTACTGGAAAAAGCTCAGGCACACGGCGGCGTTTTAAAATACCAACCCACTGTTATCATTTCTACAGCCAGTGGTAAACCTGAAAATCTCAAAATGGATGTAAATATGAGAGATAAAAATTTCGATGTAGCAGTTCACATCGATGCCAAAAATCATAATGTTTATTGCGGTGAAAATAACGCCCATCGTCTGTTTTCCGTCCCTTGGATAAAACAGCAACGTTGCTGTTGCTTAAAGAAACCGCTGATTTGAAACATTGCGCTGCAAAGGCTCTACAACATAGTCGGGAGTTATTGTTGAGATATCTAGCTGGATTAGGTAAGGATTAGGTAGAGATTAGATAAAGCTTAGATACAGTAGATATCAACTGATAAAAATTTTGTTCGAATGGTGTGTTTTGCTTGTCAAAACTAAAAAATACATTTAGAAGTTGCAAAGTTTTCCCATTAATCAAAATTTCTGATTTTGTATAGTGTATTGGTGGTTATGACATGGTACCCCATAAACTATGGCACCCTTTAAACTATGGTACCCCTTAAACTATGGTAACCAGTAAATTTTCCTGATGTATCCAGCATGCAACAATTAATTTGCCATCGTTGATTTTTTAAGTATTAACTACTTCATGCATGTTTTTTCAACTTTTAGGAAATCATTTCAAGAAAAATCCATCATCACGGGTCGCATTTTTATCCCCAGATGATGAAGAATTGACGACATCACCTCCAAATATCAGCGAACTGAAATACGAAAAGGTTGATGATGTACATAAATATCCCCTTGCATCCTCCCAGCTTGCTGTCGTGATAACATCGTATGATAAAACAATAGGTATGTGCTTAAGAAGAGATACTTGGTGTAATATGCTCATACTGAATGAGATGTTTTCATAGAAATGCTTCAGTTCCATGGACGAAAAGCGTTGTTAGCTCAAGCAATGAATGAAATTGGCAAAATTATGCTTCACATCGGTAATAAGAGGTGACCACATTCACTTATATTTACGATTCTAGCCACAATTCACCGAAACTAGGCCAAATGCTATGAATTGTGATAAAAAAATCGTTTATTTTCTTGTTAGATCCGCGCATCGGTGGTGGCAAACGGTTCTGGATACCATTTTATCCCCGGTCTCTTTCTGAACATAGTGACGCCACTCATAATCGTTATCACAATGCAGTAAAAACTGAGCCAAGTGTCTTGTTGAAGAAGCGAGGTATTTGGGGATGTATGCTGGCCGCTGAAACCGCTGTAAATATGGCAAGGTATACTTGAACAACATTATTGAAAGATATTTAAGAAAATAATTTTCTTTCTTTTTGTAATATTTCTGTTTTTCTTAGGTATATTGAAACGGATAATGCTGACAGAAAGCTGGACTACTGTTATGTTGCCACTTATCTGTTTAAGGTTAATGATTTTAAAGATCTATTGTTAGGAAGGGAGACTGAAAACCATAAAATGGATTTCAAAGGAACTTTATACGATATATCATGCATATATATAAATATTTATTTTCCCTCCAACTATTGATCGTCCTATAACCTTATATTCGGGTGTAGGTACGTCTCCCCCCCCTCTTAGCTATATAAAGCATCCAGAGGTCCATAACTCAGGCGATTTGCTTTTTGTACAGGCATTGTTTGCATCCAGTTTACCTCATCCTACATCGTGCAGGGATTTTGCTCTTTATGACATTGGCAAAGGATGTTCAGTGAATACATTGATACCAAGTGTTAACCTTTTCACTGACCCGTTTCGTTGTAATGCTAAAGTATTGTTGTCATCATCTGTTTGGCTGATTGAAGAACTCATTGAAACAGGACATTACGTCATGGTTAGTTTATAAAAGTTTATATACAGATAGTAATATGTCGATGATGGTTAAGCGACTGAAAGAGAAATTTGGTTGTAATTTAACAATATTTTACTTGATGATAGTGTACATTTAGGTTCATTTTTTGTTGTGTAGGTTTTGCCAATAATTACGTTAGCTCGTTATGTAGCAAGTGATGTGTTTGAAAGTAAACATTGGATCGCTAAAGTTCTTATACTCAGGGTGAGTATGTAATATTGATAATAGTGAAGACGTACACACAGGGAGGGGATACTGATGGATACTTAAGGATGCTTGATGTGCAATGTGTACTCGTGATTAGGTATGACAAAAGGATGCCATACAGTCATACAACGGTTTCCTAACTAGTTACTGTTTTTTTTAAATCAAAGGTTCGAGCTTTAACAAAAGCAAGGTTGTTTTCCCAATCATTTAAAGTCTTCAATGATCTGTTGTTTGCTGACGAGAAAATGCAGGTACAATTGATTATTTTCTAATCCTGTTTTTACTATTTGTTTGTAAACGTGTCTTTCTTTATTCTGTCAGAAAATCCATCAGTTTTCCTGCTCTACTTCACTCAATTCTTCTCAAAATATTCCGGTTAGTATTAATAGAAATGCTTATAGTCTGTTACTTTGATGATATCAACACGATTATTTTTTGTATCCAATGTTATCTAGGCTCTTGAGAGTCTGATAGTGAGCCGACTATCCTCAGAATACGTCATGTTACATGGCAACGAAGTTTGCCGATTATTGGTGTTAGAACAAGTTCGTCTATTGATTGAGATTGCAGCTACAGTTTACGCTATACCATTAAATAAAAAAACAGTGTAAGTGAAAACTCAAGAAACAACTACATACTTAGTAGATGGCATTTTCTGACTTTGATCAATGCATTTAAAAATTCGTTTTTTTCTATCTTCTCTTAAAGACTTATTGAAAAGCTAAGAGAAATAAAGAACAATTCAAACGATTCGCGTGAGTATTATGGATGCAGCAACATGAAAATTTTTGTCTCTGGTTTTTTTTTAACGATAAAATTTCGTTTTTTATGGACGTCTAAATTGTGCAGCTATTAATATTCTGGACAGTGACATCTCTCACTCCACGTTAAAGGTAATCAAATCATATTTTTGCATTGTCTTTATAATCTATTCAGCAGCTTGACGTGCGTGCATTTAGGGTTATCTACTGGCTGCTGCAGAACTTCTCCTGGAAGAGATGAAAAATATGATTTTGCTTCCACAGAAAAACTTGAAAGAATTTCTTGATGAGAGAGGTAACAAAATACTAAAATACTAAAATACTGCGTCTATTGCACGTCATTTTTGATTTTGTCTTAGTCTTGTTTTTCTTTAACATCTAGGTCACCTTATCCGACCGGCGGATTTTAAAATTTTAATTTTGATCGAAATAGAATCATCATACATTCTTCATGAGTATTCAGAAAATTTGAGCGCAGCCAAGGTCATTTATGAATGTATGAGGACGCTGGAGGATGCCAGTGTTCTTTTGGAACGCAATGCCATCAGGTATTTCTGTATTAATATATGATGTGTTACAGTGCAAAATGTTACAGCAAAGAGACAACCGCACAAACGTTCCTATATGGACGTTTCTGTATAGATGTTCCTGTATAGATGTTCGTGTATAAATGTTCCTGTACAAATGTTCATAACGTAACATTACAAACCTTATTGTACAGACAAAACCATACAAACTGTACAAATGCCAATTATAAAATAACAATTAATCGTTAAACTATCCTTACGAATTTCTCATTTTTGTTCAGACTCAGTTCAGATTGGACGACATTTTCCCGTTCTCCAGCTCCTACAAAGACACCAGATAGTATTCGCTCAGACCTAGGCTCAGTCAAGTTTGAGAATGATGCAAACCTGTGGCTGAAATGTCGAATGAAATTGGTGGAATATTTGTTCTGTGAAGAAAATAGTGTTGGTAGACTAGCTGGCTTCAGTCGTACAGTAGTCTCTCTCACTGGTTCCTCCCATTACCATTGTGAACAAGGTTTAGATGAAAGTGAAGCATTTGGTCAAAATGAAATGGCTGTGGAATTTCAGTTTAATTCTATCTTGCTTAAACTCACGCATGGCTCTCTTACTCAAGAGGATTTCGATACATTGAAGGTAGGTCATGTAACAATGATGATATACTTGGCGATGATTGAAGTACGCTATCTAATAGACTGGTACCATAAAGTTTCAATTTGTTATTGTGATTAATAAATACGATTTATGTGAAAGTTGAATTCCCAGTTGTAACTGATCAAAACTGCATCTTCCTTTGAAAATATAAATATCCCTCTAAAGGTCAGTTAAGATTTCTTAAGATTACTTTGCATGGCAACTCGTGAAAAAAAACGTTACAGAGATGGAGTGTGAGTTGTATCTTAATCACCTAAACTTAAAGTATTTATTATGCATATATCTGTATTGTGGAGGATTTTTTGTTGTTGTTAGAGCCTTGTAAAGAAATTAGAAAATGTTCATTCACTGTCAGTGAAAGGTTCTTTGCTTTTGGTGAAAATTTTGATATATTATGGTGATATCTCTCAATCATTTGGTTCAACTATCGATGAAACTTTGAAATGTTACCAAAAAACAGAAAATTTTATCAGAAAACAGGTGAGATGAAACAGATGCAAAATTTTGACGAGACCAATGAGTGAAAACATATTTCTTTTTTATAGATTATTGCTCTGACCGATACCATGTACTTTAACGATATTGATACATGTAGTCGTGCTATGAATATTTACCTACAGCACAACATGCTTCTTGTTGAAGTCTGCTTAAGAATTGGACGCTTTAAACTGCGGAATATCGACGAATCAAGCTCACCAGAAAATATCAGTGAAGTACTAAAATTTTTGCTCCAAGCAATGTCCATTATCACTGATGCACAAATGGAAAAAAATCCTTTGGAAAGCGAGTTGTTGTATTTTATTGGTAAGAAAAGGAAAATTAGGGTTTGTGCATTTAATATAGAAGATGAGTTTTTTGAGAATAGACATGTTTCGACATCTCATGATGCCATCCTCGGTATGAATGAATAAATATGAATAAATTATAACAATAATGAGGGAATGAGATAATGTGGAGCGTGTACAAACTAAATATTGTGTTGAATCTAAAAACTTGAACATTGAGGTCAGAGTTAGTTTGTTAATGTGGAGTGCTTCTTTGATTTTAAGGGAGAATGAGGTGTTTGCGGTGTCGATGATTTTAAGCAAGAGGGTGAATAGTTGGTTTTACAGGAATGAGATTTAAGAAGGTGTCGGCAGATATGAGAGTTTTTGTCTGTTGTAGTATGTTCCCTGATTCTGGCGCGAAGTTTCGCCAATGTATCGGGAATTACATCCCGCGCAATTGAATTCATATACCACCATTGATTTAATTGAATCAGGGATTGAGTCTTTAATGAGAGAAGGTTTTTGATTTTGAATGATGTGAAATAGGGTTGTTACAAACTGTGAGCCCTACATAGGACATTTTAAATCTATAAAACAACTAATGGTGTAAGTTCATTCATCCAATTTCAGGCGTTTGTCGGAGTCTTTTATGGAATTATGAAAAATGTCCTGATATGCTTGTCATTACAACGTTTATTGACTCCATTAGCAAAACTTACAAGTTTGATCATGATCTTGAGTAAGTACTCTCAGTTATCCTTTATTATCCTCTGCTATCAAGGCTATTATCCTCTGCTATCCCTCTGTAGGAATTTTTGTGCCATTACCTTCCTGTTTATGATCAATTTTTGCTGTGTTTAATCTTTGATTTTTTTTGTGGTTTGTCATCTTTTAGTTCTTCGCATCCTTACACATCCCTTGATATCTCTTAATGTCACTTGTATGTTAGTCAACGTTAGTCATTGACTATTTCTGTTATGTTTTTCGTAGGTTGATGCGCAAATGTTACCAACAACTTGTTTTATTCTACCTCAAGAAAACGAAGAAAGTAAAAGAAGAGTTTTCAAACAAAATCTCAGCAAACAAATGGCACAATGCTGCGAAAATTATCTCCAAAGACAGCCAAGGAAAAACAAAAGACAAAGAAGAGCTTTTGCTTCGACGGGAGACAAAGAGAGAACTTCGTGCCACATGGATAGCCTGTAGAGCAATGTCCGTACTTTCAACCACCATTGATAGTCGTAGTCTACTATATGGTTATATTACAGGACTTTCAATGCCCAAAAGTAGCGGAGAAAAGATTCCTTTGTCCGTACTTCATGATTTGTTAGGATCTGTATCTATTTCAAGCATTAACGGTGGTGAGATTCAAAACGATGGCGTAATTACAATGAATACGTTCGTGAATGGAACAAATACGGTTCAAATCACGTGGAACCATCTGTTGTATTATGTCGACCATCTACGACGGCAAGTTAGTTACCATTCTCTTGGAATAAACGCGATTGGTGGTGCGTTGTTCAGATGGTCAAAGTTATTAAAGTTGCAAGAGATACACGAGTTTTGAACTCTGAACTTGACGTCTACGAGAAGAATGCAAGTGGAGTAAATGTTTCATCTATATTGTTGCTTCCAGAATTACCTTTGAAGAAAACTGAAGTGATATCACATCAAAAAGGTAGATATTCCGTTTAATAACGAAACTTGAATAATAAATGTTTCTTTATTTCTCTCTGAATGGTCAGTACGGATATTTAAATTGGGGAGGAATCTTACTTAAAGTTTGAGATTTTTTAATACAGTTTTTATAAGACTGTCTATGTATATTTTTCGCTTACAACAGATTTTGTTCGTAATTATCTCCACATTTCCATGAAACACGTTTCATCGTTCATTGATATATTAAGCACATATCGAGTTATTATTATAATTTTATGCTCTTCATGAACAGGACGATATGTCGATGAAGCTGAAGACAATGAAATCAGCATTACTTGGATACAATCAGATCCACTTTTGAAGCAAACTGATAATGACTTGATCGATTGTATATATGCATTCAATACAAAAGCTACTTGTGGTGTACCCGTGACTGGACTTAGCGCGGGAAGGAAAATCGTGTCACGGAAAAGTGTCGAAAATATTCACGAACAACTAGAACGTCTCCTTGTGTTGACTGAAAGTGAACAGACCATCCAACAAAGTGAGTAAAAATATCGATTCATAATTTATTGCTAGCACTCTTTATATTGCATAGCTTTAGAGATCAACTGAAGTAGAAAAGAACGTTTTGATAATATTTTTCATAATACAACCTTTCATTGTTTGTAATAAATTAAGCAATCAGATCTTGTGAAGAATTAACTTCAAAACTTTCAGCCAATGGAGAATATGTTTATTTTCTGTGCATTGTTTCTTTCGTGATATGGTGAAGCAAGCATATTTCAGGAAAAGTTATATTTCGGAGCATTAACTTTCTATCTATATGTGTTTTTATCAAACACAACACAATACATCTATAAAATTGTTGTATCAACATAAACAATCGTTTTATAATACACTCCAGGAAAAGTATCAAAATGTGAAGGTCCTGTCGCTACTTCCAATGCTATTCCACAAACTCAACGCAGGAAAAAAGCAAACTCATTGAGAGCGCAATCTGGACTTGCTCGTCGTGACGTTGAAGTTGATAGCAATATTCGCGCTTTTATACATGATGTGAATAAAATGATGCTTCAAACTGCTGGTTCGGATAAAAAGGTAAAATGATCGTGAAGATAATTCTAATTACAGTACATCCTTTTCAATACTAAAAGCATGTACTCCAATTTATTGTATTTAATATTTTATTCTCTTATCGATTTTATGATATTATTTACTCATAGTCTACCTTACATGTTTTAGGAACTTCCATTTCATGCAACCCATTCTAATATTTGTATTCTGGAGACTGTGTTTAATACGTCGCGGGGTTTTATTGGTAAAGTACCTGATAATCTGTATCAATGGATCACGTCAATTGTTGTTTAATGTTGTTACATTTAAAATTTTTGTTTTGATGACTGTTTTAAATATGTCAAGAAGTTTTACTGGTAAAATATTTGCCATTTTGTTGTTGCGTAGTTAAATTTTTGCTTTATATTTTATGAAAATAAGAAGCTAAAGTAAATGTTTGATAGTAGTTTTTTTATTTTCTTTGTTGTTTTCAGTGTTCAGAAATGGAAAAGATATACGAATAATGAAAAATGCACTAGGAACTCTGAAATGACATGAAATGACGACTTAATCTGATGTTGTCTCTTACGAAATATCAATTTTTTTGAAATTTCGTTCATGTCGTCTTTATTTATGAAGCATATTTCAGGGGGGTGACAATTTTTAGATGCATTTGGCATCAAATTCAAAACCAGTTATAGATTGGAAAAAACATGGCGGATTCATAAGCATGGTCTATCTTTGTCTATCCCCAAGCTATGTATAGGGTGTATGGGACTATAGGTAAGTATTTCAAAAAAAAATCAAAATATTGTTAAGTATAGCTACATATGGAATATCTTTTCGAAAAAATTATATTATAACTCGACTACACAACTGTGGTTGTTGACTGAAAATTTCTGAAAAACATAAATTTCTTTCACAACAAACACTACAATAATATTCTATGTGCGAAGAATTGCATATGTGTAAATTGCTTATATTCAAAAACCTTTCCAATGAATGCAAATACGAAGATAGCTGAAGCATCTCAATTTCGTTAGGTGTTATAAAGTAACGGCTTTCTATTGTGGTGCATTGTCTTGTTGATTCAGTAAAGTTTAATAATCTGTGGAAGTTCTAAGTATTTTCACCAATAATGGTTAAAGATAAAGGAAAGAAGGAACGTCAAGGTGGTTTTGCTCCTACTATCCAACAGATTAATGCAGACATATTGACTCAAGTATGTTGTAGTTCTTTATGCAATATGTTCATTTTGTCTTCATTGAGCAACAAGTTAAAGAATTTTTATGGGGTATCTATGTTATCAACTGTTTTTGACAAGAATACAGATACTGTTACTGTAGCCATATCTGTGATTCTCAATTATAGTTTTTGGTATTTTGCCAAATTTAAATGAGTTTAATATAGAGATGCTTTTGTTGATAGATTGCAAACACTTACTGGGCACCTCATCAAGATCATCTGCCATATGATCCCAGGGTAAGTAATAGATGAGTGATTTACACAATTGTAGAATCTTTCATGTAAGTCAAATGGTTCACGTTACCCTGAGAAAAACCCACCATGATCTTCAAGTTGCATAATTATTTTCTTTGCTATACAGGTCATTGAAAAAATTTATGAAAAAGATCTTTTGGGATGCAGGTATTTTATATTTACAGCTATTTTTTAACTGTTTAGATGCGTTTATTTGATTGTTCATTTGTTGTATTTTTAGTTTTTCAATTCAAAGGATCATGCTTTTGGAATTTAGGTGTGCATTTTTGGATTTATAGGGTTTAATGTTGATTCAAATGTTTAGATTCGTGACAGCAAATGTATTAATGTATTTCTTTTAGTCAATACTTAGAAAATTTTCTCTGGCCCAATTTCAATTCAGATAAGGTACAATTGTGGTTTTATCTGGAGTCTTTAACTGATGAATTTTTTTATTATTAATGAAAGTTCATCAATTTATTGAACAGGCTTCACTTGCCCATGTCATGTCTATTGTTGTCATGGTGAACGAGAAATTTCGTGAAAGTGTTCCACCTTGGGAGGTAAGTTAGAGATAACAATGGCTAAATTTCAGAATTAAAACATCTTTTCTATTGTTATTTGAATGAATATACTGGCAAAATAATCTAAAATATATCACAATGAATGCTTTTTGCCTTTTGCTAAATGCTTTGTGTAATTCTATTGTCTTTTATTCACATAATATTTAAAATTTAGCACTCTTCAAACTTGCTTCACCCTACAGTAATCTGTTTTTTATTGTTTTTTTATGTGATAGATCTTCAAGTCATATCCAGAACAGTTCCAGGGATTTTTTCAACGCGTTCTGGACATCAGTATTCTTGAAGAGGTGTGGCTCTTTTTACCAGATTTATATTTATAAACCAGGATGTTTTTATTGTGTTTTTAAACATTTTACAATTTCAGTCTGTTTCAATCAAAGAGAAAGTTGTGATATTACATTTTCTAATCCATTGCTTCAGCAGTTTGGTAGGTTTTCTGAGAGTGTATTTGTTCAAATTACAGGATGTTTCAATCAATTTTCTAAGAATTCCTTAGTTTACTTGAAATTCCCCAAGCTATGTCCATGATGTTAAAATCACAATGGAATTTAGGAGGTAGATGTGATTCGAAAGCAGGTTCAACAACTGGTCTCATTACCAATGTGGTCTTGTTTGTTACCTGTAAGTATTCTTGTTTATTTTCTTCATAGATGTTTTATCTAAGGAATATATGATGAATCTTTTGGGGGTAATTAGTGGCATCTTCAACATATGTAATGAATCTTTTGGGGTTAATTAGTGGCATCTTCAACATATGTAATGAATCTTTTGGGGTAATTAGTGGCATCTTCAACATATGTAATGAATCTTTTGGGTTAATTAGGGTCGTCTTCAACAAGAGTTAAAACGGATTCCAAAATACAGAAAGTACTGGGCTCATCTCAACAAGAAAGATGCAAAATGTGATGAAAATACTTTAAAAAGGTTCCTGATGTTTATCTTTAAGTTCTATGGTTATAATTATTTTTCTTTCTTCTTTATTTTTCCTCTATAATGTGAAATTTTTCTTCAGGCTACAATGGGAGAGATTGTATCTGTCTAATTTAATAAAATCATTCTTCAACATTTTGGATTCAATGAAAGATCCTGGTATAAAGTTACTTACTTTATTTTCTTAATTGTGCATAACTTGTCATATTGACCATTATGACAAAGATTCTTGCTTTGTTCTGTGTAAATATAAACTATCCATGGTTTCTAAGCTTAAAAACTTATTCTAGCCATTATGCACATGCTCAATTTTTTGTTTAGTATAATTTTTAACTGAGCATTTCATCTTTTCCTTAGACTCATTGGATAAAGACAAAATTCATTTCTCTGAACGGTTCCTTGAATTGCTTGTGGATCTTGAGGTTAAACAAAACAAAAATTTTATTCATATGTTGCTTCTCCTTGTTGTTCATATATCATTTAACTATTGTGATAGGCTCTTCTTCCCACAAGAAGGTTCTTCAACACTGTTCTTGATGATGCTCATGTTGTTGTAAGTAAAAACAAGTGCTTTAATTCAAGCTGATTTTTCATTGCAATCTTGTTATTTTTATTTGCAGGAACGGTGCTCTCTTTCTTTTCTTGCAAAAGAGCCAAAAAAAGGCAAATTGTTCACTCAAGTAAGAATACTTTGTTATTATTTATAAAGTAGTAAGTTTATAAAATGTGTGCTGATTGGTCTACAGCCAAATCTGCATTAGTCTATGCAAGCTGATTGGAGCTCAGCTATGGGCAATCAATCAATTAAATTAATTGAAAAGAATTTCGTAGATGTTTGAGAAACTCTTGATCTGGTGCAACCTTCACGTTCAGTCTCTGGTTTGTACTGATTTGCTCCCAAATTCTCCCAAATGTTTCCTTGGTTTGCATAAGCTAGTGCAAACACAATAAACATATTTTATTTCTTAATTAGTATTTATGTTTGTTATTTAATCTTAGAACACTTCCATCTCATGTTTAGCTTCTAGACATGTTACGCTTTTATGCTGGTTTTGAAATCAATGATGTTACTGGTACTAATTATTAAATTACTACTATTATTGTCATGATGTATATCAACATTAATCTAAGAATGCTTCAAAAAAAGCTTCACAAAAGCTTCAACATTAATCTATTGTTCACGTTGTCTTTTCTAGGTTCTGCTCTCACTGATCATGAAATGGTGAACATTCATTATTGTAAAATAACATCACTTCAGGTAGATAAAGTATTCATTTACATGTTTAAGTGAAATGCAACATAAATACACTCTCAATTTTTTTACCAACATGTATTTTATCCACAGAGAGCTGCTTTCAAGAATTTTCCTGAACTTTATAATTTCTCACTAAGCAATGTGGCAAGTGTCGATACAAGAGAGGCTTTATTGAAGCAATTTGAACCTTTAGAGTAAGATTTTCCTGAACTTTATAATTTCTCACTAAGCAATGTGACAAGTGTCGATACAAGAGAGACTTTATTAAAGCAATTTGAATCTTTAGAGTAAGATTTGAATATCATTATACACAACTACGTATTTAGTCGTTATTGCCATATTCTTGTTGAATTTTTAACTAAAAATGCCAGACTTCTCTCTATTTCTGTAAAAAATTGGAGGTGCAGCTTCCTTTCGTTTCTTCTCCCTCTGCGCCCAATATGCCTGTGTGTGTTTGATGTTTATATTTTTTATTTTTATGTGTGATATGTACAATTTTTAATATATTTTTTTATTGAATATTGTAGGGAGAGAAAACTGCATGATATTTGTGCTCACTTGAACCTGCTGCCAAAACTTGAGGATAAACAATCTTGTTTGGATAAAGATCTTCTACTTGAGATATTGGTACGTATGTTTTAAATTTGTCTTACGTAAATTTAAACTGTAGCAGTCGAAGTTAGTAATCAACGCAATGTGAACACGAGTAGCTTCTGACAATATAGAATTCACGTCTTTGAAAACACTGACAAATGGTTGAAGTGCATTTGACCAATCACAGTGCTTCATAAATTCCTGCAAGTACATCATACAATCAAGAACTGCTCTGTTTGTGTTGTCGAAGTCATTGCATGGATATTTAAATTTTTGTTTATTTTCATCTCATTCTATGGTGAATGACTTCAGAGCTAACCCCTGTATAAGGAAGATCTTTCGAAATTGGAGAACAATTTTAGAAATTTAAGAGTGTGTTTTTCTAAAGAGACTTCTGCAATAATTTACTCAACAGAATCTTTCATTATGTAGATATCGCGTCATGAAAGAAGACTTTCTCAAATTGATGCCCTCAACAACATGCCTCTATATCCAACTGAACAGATCTTATGGGACGAAAATATTGTTCCATCTCAATTTTACTCTGGTGAAGGTGAGCCATTATAAACTCCTTTTCTCTGATGTTTTTAAAAAGAATTTTTGATCTCGCTTTCTGAATAATATAATTTTCAATACTCTACGTAATGGACGTTTGTAGAAACTGTTTGTATTAATTCATTTTCTTCTCTCTCTTCTTTTACAGAGTGTCTTGCGTTGCCAAAACTCAATTTACAATTCTTGACGCTTCACGACTATCTTTTGCGAAATTTAAATCTGTTTCGTCTCGAGTCAACGTGTAAGTATATTGTAATATTGGTGATAAAAAGCTTTGAGTTGTTGCATGGATCTTGAAATGAAATGTGAGTTTTTCCATCATTTTGAAGATGAAATAAGACAAGATATTGAAGATGTCGTGAAACATATGCGACCATGGTAGGCTTTGTTTGTTTATTTGTCGTTCATAACTGTCATTTAAGCATGTCATGTCCCACAACTGACATGATTGTTTGTGATAAGATCTTTTATAAACCTTCTCACGTGGTTCGCTACTCATCTTAAATCATCAACTGATGAATGTTATTTTCAATGAAGGTCAAATGAAATTGGTCACACTGAGTTTCGAGGTTGGGCGCGAATGAGTCTGGTAAATAAAATGATATTTGCTTGAACATGTCATTTCTCCATCTCATGTTGATGTCCATATTTTTTTGTAGCCGATATCAAGTTTCACTGTAGTGGAGGTAATTTCCTAAAGTTTTAAAGGGATAAAAATTTACTTGAAAACATAGTTATCCAGATGTATATTTGGTTCAATGGTAAATATTTATTTGCTAAGGTTGCAAAGCCAAATATCGGAGAGAATCGACCATCACGAGTTCGTGCTGACGTCACGATTGATCTTAATCTTCGACGCGAGATAAAAGCTGAGTGGGAATCGATCAGAAAACACGATGTTATTTTTCTTGTATGTTGTCGACCTGCTAAAGTTACGGCTGCTTCTCTCGATCCTAACCAACTCTTCAAGGAAAAGGTGGAAATTTATTCTCGATGTTTCCAATTTATCATTTATATTCACGGTGATTTCTCTTAGTATGGTATTGATTATGTTCGCGGTGCCGAGATCGAAGGAATGTTGGATGAAGAAGGAAAAATTATAGAAGATGGTATGTGTTGTTTTGCCAACATTCACTTGAAATATTCATCTTTATTGAGACACATGCCTCATGCGAAGATTTTGACCAGTGCTCATATTATAAGTGTGACATATTTTATAAACAACGTGAAAGAAATCGAACCATAATTAATAATAGGAATGGGACCATCAAAGTGGCCAAACGGATTTGATAAATCTATTACCTAACACCAAAGGATGTTAGGAAGGTTCCCTGATTTTTCGTTTTGTTCATTTTAGGGCCTGAACCTAAGCCTGAATTCAAGAGAGATACACGTACATTTAGATTATGGTTAGACACAAACCAGTATCAACAGGATATGACTGCAGCCGTTCAAGGTAAAGAGGTTGGTATCAAAATTTGTCTTCACAGTGTAATTCTCTTTACTTCTTCTTGATCCGTTTTTCTCTTTAGGATGTTTACGAGACTTTCAACATTGTCATAAGACGAAAGCCAAAAGAAAACAACTTTAAGGTTTGATATTGAGGGTTTATTGAAGATAATTGCAATGCATTCATCGTGTATATCTACTTTTATAGTCGCATATAAATATGATACGTGAATAGTTATTGAGAACTAGCTGCATATTTTAGCTCATTCAAAGATTTGTATCGACCTAAGCATTGTCAGGATTCAAAGTAAAATGCAGTATAATACGCTATAAAAATAAAGTAAATGGTTTGAACCCGGGAGTATCGTTACATGTTTGTAAATTTAGATCGTCCAGGTTGATATAGTCTTGAGAAGGACTGTTTTTGTTGTTGTCGAAACGTCAGTCAACAACAACAAAAACAGTCCTTCTCAAGACTATACCAACCTGGACGATCTACATCTAAAACATGTAACGATATAAAAATGACAGGGAACATTTAGTTGACCTTATCGGAAAACCAAAAATATTATGAAATTACTTAATGGGGCTTGATAAAATAATATTATATTTCCCATCATTCAGGCTGTGCTAGAAACTATTCGAGATTTGATGAACACGGAATGTATCGTTCCCGACTGGCTACACGATATCTTCCTGGGTTATGACGATCCGGGATCTGCACATTATACCAGGTGACCTGTTGGCTTGCTTACTTTTGAAATATCAAAAAACGCAAGCAAGTCACGTTTTTGACATAATGGTTACGAACTGATGAAGTATACTGCCTTGTGTTTAACATTTGGTGTTTGTAATGTCGTGTTTTCTGTCAAAAAACGTTGCTTGGTTTAACATTTGGTGTTTGTAATGTCGTGTTTTCTGTCAAAAAACGTTGCTTGGTTTAAATTTGGTGTTTTAATGTCGTGTTTTCTGTCAAAAACGTTGCTTGGAACGGTTTTAATGTCGTGTTTTCTGTCAAAAAACGTTGCTTGGTTTAACATTTGGTGTTTTTAATGTCGTGTTTTCTGTCAAAAAACGTTGCTTGGTTTAATTATCTTTAGCGTAGATCATTGAACGGACAACTTTTACAGACTCGAGGATGAAATCATTTTCTATGAATTATTTTCCTTTTCAGAATGCCCAATCAAATCAAAAATTTAAACTTCAATGACACCTTTCTAAACATGGAACATTTAAAAGCTAGTTTTCCCAAATATTCGGTGAAGGTAAAAGATTTTTTGTTAATTTTTTCTTGTGATTAAAAGATTATGAAGAAGTTTGTATTAAATGCACACAAGTTATATGTCACTTAAATACAAATGGATATGCCATTCGACCTATTTAAAAAGAATTTTTTATATTTTTTCATATTTTTTTCAGGCTCCGAATAACGACGCTGACCAGTTGACTCCTCCGTTTAAGTGAGGATAATTTTCCTTTTTCTTGTAGCGATATTTTATTTTCTTTGTCATTTACTTGTATTTTGGTACTTTTCTTACATTAGAAGGCAAACACGAAAATCAACGAAAGTAATACATTTGAATATTTGTGATTTAGAATAACTTTTCCAGAAGAACAGGACAAGTCTAACAAAAATGACGATGTTGTCGATGCATTGCCAGAAATAATTGTTGAACCTTTCGTTACTCCTAATAGAGGACCATATCCATATAATCAACCGAAACGGTGAGAATATCACTTCTATGATAATTGTTTATTTTACCCCCCTCTTTTCTATAGTATTTGCCTAAAACATTTCTCACTGTAGGGGATATGGGAGTCTGTAGATCAAGCATTATGATTATGTCATGTGATTTTCTCTTTCTAGAAATGCAATTCCTTTTACTCCAACTCAAGTTGAAGCAATCCGTTCTGGAATGCAACCCGGTCTAACAATGGTACGGTGCCATAAAATTTTTTATTAAGTAGTAAATAGCTTATTTTGCAATCTGTTCTATTTTTAATCGTAATATATACATTCGTCACGTTGGAAATATATTTTTAGGAAAATAATTTTACAGACCCCCCCAGAAATGATAATCCTTACGATCAAAAAACGCTTAAATATCATCACACTAATTACTTTTACATAAATATTTACAGAGTTTGTCTCTGCAATTATCCTTTCTGCAATTATCTTTGAGATTGAAAAGATTTTTAAAACTTTAAGGTTGTTGGTCCACCTGGCACAGGAAAAACTGACGTTGCAGTTCAAATTATATCAAATTTATATCACAATTTTCCTGAGCAAAGAACACTTATCGTCACCCATTCTAATCAGGTATTATCTATGGTTTGTTTATTGTCTTTATTAAGGTTTTTTATATCATGCGTATTGTAAACGTTCACACACACCCCCTTCTAATGGTGGAATATTGAAAACGTTTTCTTTGTCTGTAATGAGCAGTCAAACACCATATCTTCTCAGATGTCGAATGCTTTTTAAATATTGAGTTGTTTTGTGAATTGCCTTAGGCTTTGAATCAACTTTTCGAGAAAATCATGGCTCTAGATGTTGACGAACGACATTTGTTGCGTCTTGGACATGGCGAGGAAGCTCTGGAAACAGAGAAGGACTTTAGCAGATATGGACGCGTAAACTTTGTCTTGGCAAAACGATTAGAGCTTCTTGCTGAAGTTCAAAGATTACAGGTGAGTAGAAGTGTTTGTGCAATGTTTTTGAAAATCGTATATATGAAAATGCAACCTCCATTTTTTTTTCGAGCAGGAGAGTCTGAAAGTTCATGGTGATGTCTCATATACGTGTGAAACGGCTGGGTATTTCTTCCTATATCAGGTATTTCTTCCTATATCAGGTACTTTTTCCTATATCTGGTATTTCTTCCTATATCTGGTATTTATTCTTTGTATCTGGTACTTTACTATCTTAAGAACATTTTTCTTTGTGACATTTTTTCAAAATCAAGAACTCTTTTCAAGAGCATGTTTCATAATTATCAACAAGTGTGAAGTTCAATTTTTCTTGCATACGGAGAAATTTAATAGTTTGCAAGCAATTACAGCTGCTAAAACATAAATGCATTTATCTTTTAAAGGTTGTGGCAAGATGGGAAGAGTTCTCTAGTAAACTGCGCAAACGGGTAATACAATCATCGACAAATTTTTGTGTTTGTGTGTTTGATACTCGACATTTTAGTAAAGCGTTTGTGTAATTGTAGAAAAATGAAGTTGCAGCCATCGCGGAACTTTTTCCTTTTACATCATTCTTTTCAAACGCTCCTCAGGTAATTCGTAGAATTTTATCATTCCCATCCTCATATCATTTCCATTTCAATGTCTAACCACGCGAGTGTTCTATTTTTGATCATCTGAATGTTCAAATTTCGATCACGTGAGTCTTCAATTTTTATCACGTGAGTAATCTTTAATTTATAGCCCGTCTTTAAAGGAAAGACGTGGATGGAAGATATGGAGATTGCTGAGGTATTTTACATTGAGTTACATTGAAAGCAAGTCGCAAAGTCTTGTAAGCTATCGGCTAAAACACTTACGTGCAAATTCATTGTAGGGGTGCTATCGCTACATTAAAAGAATTTTTCAACAGTTGGAGGTATGATTTGGAGAGAGAGCATATGTATATTTGAAAGGATTACAGTTGTTTAGTTATTGGTTGGAAGTGTTTAGCAGTCACCATAGGTGGTGTGTGCTCCAATCAATAAACAATTAGCTTTGCGACATGGTTAAAGTCATTGCTAACGATGATTAATTCATATTTTTTGTAAAGGAGTTTCGTGCTTTCGAGCTTTTACGGAGTGGTGAGTATCTTTAACATCCGCGCTCTATTTTTCAACTTTATGATATTGAAATTTTTTTTATGTTAGGTGCTGATAGGTCTAATTATTTACTCGTGAAAGAAGCGAAGATTATTGCCATGACCTGCACTCATGCTGCTCTCAAAAGACGCGATCTTGTTGAGTTGGGATTTAAGGTACGCTATATTTATGCATGGCTCGATTGTGCTCAGCAACATTTCACTTTTGAAGGAACAAAAGTTACTTTAATGCTAAGTCTATCCTTCTCCGCCTCGATGCAATATAAAGCAGGAATTCTTTTATAACATTTTAGTATGACAATGTGCTCATGGAGGAAGCAGCTCAAATTTTAGAGATTGAGACATTCATTCCACTCTTACTTCAGGTAGAGTTTAATCTCTTATTTGAAAATTATTATGTCAGCATGTGTAAAACTGATTGACGAACACTTGCTATCACTGCTATTTAATTAACCCATTTAGACTGCTGAAGATGGCTTCAATCGTTTGAAGAGAGTCACCTTGATTGGTGATCATCATCAGGTAATTCAGTCATTATCAATCAGCTCATTATGTCACTTTCGTCCACTAAACTTTGGTTGTACCAACTAAAGATTCAACGTCAGAACTGTTAAAATGACGAAACATTTCTATGGTAACAACATTCTTTAGTTACCTCCTGTCATCAAGAACATGGCTTTTCAGAAGTTCTCCAACATGGAGCAGTCGCTCTTTACGAGATTTGTTCGTCTTGGTGTACCAACTGTGGATCTAGATGCTCAAGGTCGTGCTAGACCAAGGTATGCATTTATGTTATTAGTGTAAAGTTTTGCAGTCTTGTGTTGAGTATAGAAAATTCTCATCACTACGTTAGATATTATAGTGTAAATATTTTGTAATCAAGCGGTTTAGTTACTCCAAAATCGATGAAAATAGATCCAGTTGGTATTTGCCTTGACTACGAACTCGAACAACTAATCGAGCGAACTGCGCATACGCGAACAATCCACCTTTCCTACGGTTGACACACGTGACAAAAATGCGAAATAAAATTACAAAATTCGGACAATCTAATGGTCGGACATAGTATTGTTTATATAGAATAGTGGCAATAAAATGGTTCGGAGATAGTTTTGAGTTTGGGGACATTTGTGAATCTGATTCTAGTTATTCAGAACGATTATTTATAAAGGCAGAAGGCATAACAGTGAATATTAACCATTATGGATTAGAAAAATGAATAACGATCGAGGGAAAGCTTGAATACTGGCATGTTGTCGTGCTAATGACTTTTGTAAGAATTGTTACGGGCCTTTACGGCGTGACTTAAGAATATCCAGGATGGATTCCAGCTGCATAAAATCCAAAAAAGCAAGCCATACAAATTTTTGAATTGTTATTTTTATTACATGTTGGTTTCGCTGTCTTATCTCTAATCTCTAATCACTATTGGTATTATTGATGGATGAAATCTCCATAGAACTTGCTTTTCAGATTAATTTACAAGTTATACATGTAAAAATGAAATACGATGACGAATACGATGAATATGTGTTAATTATATTCAAAGGAATGAATCTAGTCATGAATCTCATCTGGAATCTCATGATACATCGAATCATAAATATAAAATTAACTGTTAAAAAATTTTGCTTCAAGACTTGCGATTTTCTTCGCTCGATGCAGCTAAAATCGGATCTTGATATTCTTCCGTAGAGGTGGTTTCTTACAACGAAATACATACTACATGCATTTACGTAATAAATTGGACGGCCGTCTCTATGCGATTAAAAGAAACCCTTTGAATCCAAAAAGTGTACTGTTTAATCACAAAATTACTCAAGAAGTGAAGTTACTTTCTACATTGAATCATGAAAATAGTGTAAGGTAAAAAGAAACTTACTCTCCAAAAGGAATCAAAACTTTATAGCATAATGGCTCAAAGCAAGGTTCAATTTAGACGATACAAATTGCTTGGCTTATTAAATTTTATCTTTGTAGAAGCTAACAAAGTAGACTATCCTTTTTTCCATGAAGCCCATCGATGCTTTCGTTCATGATGAGAGAGTTACATTGTATAAGGAGGCTCTCGTTCATCACGAGAGAGTCATAAGAAAGTTACATTGTAAAAGATAACAACTAAAAAACGTATAAACATGTTTAAAGTTGGTGTAAATTATAAGTCAAAAAGGTAGAAGTTGTTTGAACCTTTTCAGTATCCTAGGATCTTCTAGTTTCTTTTTTGAGAAGAATTCTTGTAAGCAAAAAAGAGCAATTTTGGAAATGAAAAATCCCATTTTCTGTCCATGCCTCCCGATAACCCGAGATAGTTGAGCACTAGAGCGTCGCATGTTAAGTAAATCCTGGTTCTCGCATAGTCGTTTCAGTTATGGCAAAACTTCACAGACGACCCGTGCGACTGTGAAGAACATGTGAGAACATTCAAAGACGACCGGGATGACCTCAAATGACTCGCACAACTGAAACGACCAAGATCGCTTGGATAGGTCTTTGCTCTATAAGGACGACTTAAACGACCGTTGAGAAAGCGACCTTTTTATGGCGCAAAACGATTTGAAGAAGCAATTAACTAGCCAAAAGACTTTGTCTTTGATAAACATCAGCTGCCATTTTTAAATGTTTCGCGAAAAAATTAATTAAGGGGTCTCTCGGCAGCGCTAGTACGAATATATGAAAATTTCATAGCTTGAGTCGACCCTGTCGTTTTGAAAAACAACGCGGAACGACTCGGATAACTTAACCGACTTAATGTGAACCAGGTTTAAGGGAACCAGATAATCCTTGTTTGCCATGAAGCCCATGGATGGTTTGCTTGTGATAAATGGGAAACAGTAAATGAGAGAGTTAAATCTGAAAGATATAAACCAATAGAAATTGTTTAAGGTTGTTTAGAATTATAAGTGTCAGTAAAAGGCACAGTGTCAGAAGAAGTTAATTGCAACATTGCTTGGTTTATTTTATGAACATTGGTTTATTTTGTAAACAAAAAGATTAAATTCAAAAGCAAAAAACCCCGTTTTCGGTCCATGCTTCCCGATACCTTCTTAAGCTTAAGGCACTAGAACGCCGCATGTTAACGTTTCGGTAGGAGATTTCGGCCCCTCCACGCTATCCTACTTGGGAGATGCAATAGCAAGCTTCCGCCCATCAGACCCCGAGATCACCTGCGATAGGCTTTGCTCGGGGTACGCAGGGAGAGTGCGGTCGCGACCCGAAACGTCTGGGCCCCTAAGCCACTGCATACATATCGCACCCGGCGTCCACTGCTAGTTGACATCTACTATCCATATATTTAGCTTTATATTTATATACATAAATTCAAAAGCCTTACGAAAGTTGTGGTATTATTACAGTACTGCGCATGCTCAGATAATTTCTTTCATAATTTGCGACTAAGTGAGTTAATTGCCACAAATGTAGTGCAAGTACATATAGTTAGTCGTTGCCATGACCATGAACAATTATTCGAGTGGAATGCGCATGCTCACGCGCATGCGCAGACGATTTCTCTATTAAATTGTTACTAAGCATGCTATTTACTTCAAAATCGGTGCTAGTAGATGCAGTTGGTCCCTGCCATGACCATGAACTTGGGCAGCTGGTTAAGTCGACTGCGCATACTCAAGCAGACTGCGCATGCGCAGATGATTTATCTGAAAATTTGACTGAGCGAGCGGATTACTCCATAATTGGTACTATTACATCCAGTTCGTCGTTGTCATGACCATGAACCTGGAGAGTTGATGGAGTTGACTAAGCATGCTCAGTTTAATTCTCAATTAATTTGTGACAGAGCGATCTCTGAAATTGGCTCTGAGCAAGTTGTCAATCATATATTTTTGGCATGCTCTTTGTCTGCTTAAGCTTGTTTTGACAAATGCATATCAAACTCATCAACACTTTGTTATGGCGCTCGTAATGTCAGCGACGACGCTAGAAATGTTTTTATTTTTCTCTATAACTTTGTATCTGCATATTGCATGTCATGTCCAAGCTTTTCTCTGATTTGATGGAAAATGGTTTTTATTCACTTTTACACCTTCTGCCTTTATAATTAGTTATAATTAGTTTCTATTTATAGAGTTAATATATATTACTTTCTATTTTATTGCCACTATTCTACAAATACAACAATACTATGTCCAACCATTTATTGTCCGAATTTTGTGATTTGATCTCGTATTTTTAACACGTGTGCTTATCGTTGGAAATGTGGTTTCTCTGATAACTTGTAACTGAGCGCGCTATTAATTCGGAATTGATGCTAGTAAATACAGTTGGTCGTTGCCATCTATTGTCATCTATAGTAATCTATAGTCATCTACAGTCATCTAGTTGCAATGACTAATGAACTCGAACTTTGTCAAGTGGATTGGGCATGCACCAAGTTCAGTCGTATATTCTCGTGTTGTATTTCTTCTTCAGCTTGTGTAAACAAATTTATTTTCAAATTTGTTTTCTCGACCACCATTGCGGGCTCAACGTGCCCTCGCCACGCGTAAAATAAATGTAGACGTTATAATTTATGGAAAATTGGAAAAAAGACAAATGTGGACATTTGATTCTTTGAAAACAAATCATCCTCGGGCAATTTAGTAAATGTATATGTTTATGGTTGATGTAAACTACAAATTAAAAAAGTGTTTGTTTGCAACTTAGCACTATCCGCAGTTTTGGATAATTTAGCTTGTCCTTTGAGTTAGTATTTTGTGTTTACTTTGTTATCTTACTTTGTTATTAAAAAGTTATCACGATCATTAACATTAATGGTTTTGTCGAAATGTAACTCATACAAGACTACTGTAAAAAATTTACACCACTATTTCCCCTATTTTCTCCCTATGTTCCCCTTATTTTCTCCCTATGTTCCCCTGTTTCCCCTATTTCTCCTGTTTCCCCTATTTTCTCCCTATGTTCCCCTGTTTCCCCTATTTTTCCCTATGTTCCCTGTTTCCTATTTTCTCCTATTCCCTTCTTCCCCTATTTTCTCCCTATGTTCCCCCTATTTTCTCCCTATGTTCCCCTGTTTCCCCTATTTTCTCCCTATGTTCCCCTGTTTCCCCTATTTTCTCCCTGTCCCCTGCTTCCTCTATGTTTACCTGTATCATTCAAGATAATTCCTTGTCGTGTGTCAAGTAAACGTTGCTTGTTAATGAATTTTTTTTTATTTGTCCATTTTAGTCTATGTAATTTGTACAATTGGCGCTACAAGAAGCTGGGGAATTTACAACATGTTTTCAACTGGCCCGAGTACTGCACAGCTAACCCAGGATTTCTCTACGACTTTCAACTTATTAATGTTGAAGATTTTAACGGGGTTGGTGAATCCGAACCCAATCCGTATTTCTATCAGGTATACGAGTTGAATTTAGCAATATTGAATTTTTTTTCAAGATCCAACTCTATCCGAGTTGTTGCCTGTTCTGTTTAGAATCTCGGGGAAGCAGAATATGCAGCTGCCATATTCATGTTTATGCGATTACTTGGTTATCCTGCCGAAAAAATTGCTATCCTCACAACGTACAACGGTCAGAAACATCTGATTCGTGACGTCATCAGGAAACGATGCGCCGAAAATCCTCTTATTGGTTGGCCTTCAAAGGTTTGTTAAGATGAGATGACTATCTTCATTTTGAAATTGGAGATTTGTCCTAATGAGTTTTGTACTTCTAGATCACAACTGTGGATCGTTATCAAGGACAACAAAATGACTACATTATCCTGTCATTGGTGCGCACGAGAACTATCGGCCACATACGAGATGTACGTCGGTTGGTCGTCGCAATGTCTCGTGCCCGCCTTGGACTATATATCTTAGCTCGCGTCAATCTATTTAGGAATTGTTTTGAACTAACCCCAGCTTTTGATCAGGTGGCTATTTTATAGTTATAAAGATTTTATCATGCAGCATTTTAATGTTTAATCTCTTTCATATATCATTCAGCTGACATCAAGACCTTTGAATCTTGTCATCGCCTTGAACGAACGATATCCTTCCCAAAGATCGGTAAAAAATCTTCAAAATTCATATTTATTGATGGGAGGAAAAATTTGCAAATAAATGTTAGCCTTAATCCAATTTCATCCTAATCCTAACCTTAGCTCGATCCATTCAGAATTGTTTGCTTGAAGGTTTTATTAATGCGCTTTTAAGCCAAACTACTTTCTTAATTCCGATCCCTATCTCACCTCTAAGTCAACCTATTCCAACCATATACGTAGGACATACAATCCAATACTGATTCTCAACTCAATTTATTTTGGACTTAACTTGTGGAGCATTAGTACAACAACATCCTTGATACATTTTATAAAATGTTTTACAAATATGCACTCTCCCTGAAAAAATTTGCAAATAGTGATTCTTGTTCATTCTTTTTTTCTCTATCTTTTAGTATAATGCTGCTCCAACACATGGAACATTTTCAGTTAAAGACATGCCTCATATGCATCGTATTGTCTACGATATGTATCAAACAATTGTGTCTGAGATGAACGCCCAACAGCAGGTTTGTATGTGTCTTAGAATGCCATGATTTTTTTGAATAAATGAAATTACAGTTGTGTGTATCTCGTTACAGTTGTGTGTATCTCGTTACAGTTGTGTGTCTCTCGTTACAGTTGTGTGTATCTCGTTACAGTTGTGTATCTCGTTACAGTTGTGTGTCTCTCGTTACAGTTGTGTGTCTCTAGTTACAGTTGTGTGTATCTCGTTACAGTTGTGTGTCTCTCGTTACAGTTGTGTGTCTCTCGTTACAGTTGTGTGTCTCTCGTTACAGTTGTGTGTATCTCGTTACAGTTGTGTGTATCTCGTTACAGTTGTGTGTATCTCGTTACAGTTGTGTCTCTCGTTACAGTTGTGTGTCTCTCGTTACAGTTGTGTGTCTCGTTACAGTTGTGTGTCTCTCGTTACAGTTGTGTGTCGTTACAGTTGTGTGTCTCTCGTTACAGTTGTGTATCTCGTTACAGTTGTGTGTATCTCGTTACAGTTGTGTATCTCGTTACAGTTGTGTGTCTCTCGTTACAGTTGTGTATCTCAGTTGTGTGTATCTCGTTACAGTTGTGTGTCTCGTTACAGTTGTGTGTATCTCGTTACAGTTGTGTGTCTCTCGTTACAGTTGTGTGTCTCTCGTTACAGTTGTGTGTCTCTCGTTACAGTTGTGTGTATCTCGTTACAGTTGTGTGTATCTCGTTACAGTTGTGTGTATCTCGTTACAGTTGTGTATCGTTACAGTTGTGTGTCTCTCGTTACAGTTGTGTGTATCTCGTTACAGTTGTGTCTCTCGTTACAGTGTGTGTATCTCGTTACAGTTGTGTGTATCTCGTTACAGTTGTGTGTGTCTCGTTACAGTTGTGTGTATCTCGTTACAGTTGTGTGTATCTCGTTACAGTTGTGTATCTCGTTACAGTTGTGTGTCTCGTTACAGTTGTGTATCTCGTTACAGTTGTGTGTATCTCGTTACAGTTGTGTGTATCTCGTTACAGTTGTGTGTCTCGTTACAGTTGTGTCTCTCGTTACAGTTGTGTGTCTCTCGTTACAGTTGTGTGTCTCTCGTTACAGTGTGTGTATCTCGTTACAGTTGTGTGTATCTCGTTACAGTTGTGTGTATCTCGTTACAGTTGTGTATCTCGTTACAGTTGTGTGTCTCTCGTTACAGTGTGTGTATCTCGTTACAGTTGTGTGTATCTCGTTACAGTTGTGTGTATCTCGTTACAGTTGTGTGTATCTCGTTACAGTTGTGTGTATCTCGTTACAGTTGTGTGTATCTCGTTACAGTTGTGTGTATCTCGTAATGAAAAAAAATGAAGGCCAGCTTTAGTGTACAGCTTTAGTTTAGAATATGTTTATTCTATTCCATGAGCAATAACAAGGAATAATAGTTCCATAAAATTGTTTTGAACAAAATTATAAGTACTCAATATTTTCATCTCACAGTTGGAACAACAACAGCAATCAATTCCTCAACCACCTCAAACAGAGGCTCGAACAACTCAAGGCAAAGAAGAAATGGAGCAATCTATTGTGCCAGAAGCTTCCCAACCTTCAACTGAAAGTATGTCAATGTCAGAGGACCCCCCTGGTTCACCTATTATTAATGAAGTTGAGGAAGAAGATGTAATGTGAAGTTAGCAGAGGGAAGTTGAGGCAGCAATTTTGTTAAACATAATTAAAAAATTTGAAACGCTGTTACTTCCTGGAAAGGTGAAGTTTTTTTTACATGGATTTATGCCTAAATTAAGACTTGCCTTTCTTGTCCATGAAAGCAATATACATCTGATTGAATTTTTGTATGAAGCACTCAAAGTTTTTCATTATTTTTGTGTGGTCATTGAAACACATCATTTTATTCAACCGCATTTTTTGCAACATAAAATTATTAGAACAGCCAGTTTGAATTTCCCCCTTCCATTGTAGTTTATTAGAAAAATTATTGTGAAATCATGAGTAGAAAATCAATCCACACCAGGCTTTAATAGTGCATAAACCTTTACATAGTGCTGTATTAAGCCCTCAAAACTCAACTACATTTTCCTGAAATGTCCATGTGTTATCACATCATCATGTGTGTCTTCATGTGTATCAGGTGTTTGCAATCTTTGGTAATTTGGAGGTGCTTTTGAGCATGCCTTTACTTTCAATTTTCGCATTTTGAAAAATTTTATGCTTAACATAGACAATGGTATGACAATCAATGGAAAAGTAGCAATCATGATAAGTTTTAACTCCAAAGTTGCTAAAAATTAAGATAGATGAAATGGCTGAGAAATTAACAAGAGAAAAGCATGATGAAAATCATTCATCTTACGTTTTGTGCAGCTTTGCGCTCCCATGTCAGATGTGAAAAAATCATTCATGCAACTTTTACATTCTGCATTTCTAAATGATAACATAAAACAATTTGAATTGTTTGGTAAGTATGGGTTTATTAAACCATATCATCAGAATTTTTCAAACAATTCCTTACCCAGACTTTTTACTATATGTTCCTTTTACACATTCACTGCAATTCACACTGCCTTCACTTGAAGAGTACATCCCTCCTGGGCAGCTGTCAGAAATATGAATCCAATGAATTTTTGCACAATGCTTAAATTAGATTTTTTACTTTTTTCCACCTTTGACAGACATCAAATGTCACTGCATTGTTTTCATTATACGAGAAGGTGCCAGCCTTGCACTTTTCACAGTAAAGTTTTGATTTTACATGCTCACCACTTTTACAGCAGACTAGAAAGTTTCAGTAATGGTTTTGAACAATAAAAAATGTGTGTTTCTCCATCATGAAATGAAACTGACCTGGACTGGAATTGACAATGCTACAATTTTTGATGGAAATGCTTGAGTTTGACATGACTTCCAAGAATGGTTTGTTGAAGTCATCTTCGCTATGCACACCAGTAAAATTACACTTCTATAATGTAGGAAACAAAGTAGTGCAAAGATTCATTAATAACAAAGTAATTTATGAAATCTAACCTGCAATATGATCTGGTTTAAAGCATTACTGGTTTTGTCAATTACAATGACAGGATTTGTATTTTTATTGAAAAATGTATCAGTTATGAACACATTGCTTCTTTGTTTCACTATGAGGCAGCTCTCCCTTATTGCATTGTTTAAATAAAACAATACATTTTTTATTGTAAAATTTTTCACGTTTCTAACTTCCAACACTGAATTTGACAAAAATCTAGAGTTCTTAATGACCACATCCATGCCACTAAATGTCAGAAAAGGTCTCTTGTTCATATTATTTCGGTTACCAGAAAACAAAGTGTTTTCTGTTAAAACTTTTCCAATTTGTAAGCCAAGCAACACTGGGCTTTGATTGTGTGTGAAGCTAGAATTTCTCAATATAACAGTTGTATAAAAATATTCCATTGTGTACAAGAAAAACAATGGAATGTCAAAACTTGTTGACTTAGAATTCATTAGTGTTGTATTGCTCAGTGTTAAATTTGTTTTAATGCCAGTTAACTGAAAGATGGTATAGTTTAGCATGCAGTGTTCAAACTCAATATAACTTGTGTGAGTGTTAAAAATGATTGGATGTAAAGACTCCTGCCATGTTAAATGTGATAGTAAAATTTTGGTGTTAAACAATTGGAAAGATAAATTGATGATTGTTGGAGAGCCAGATGTCCTAAAATTCATAAAGAGAGTTGTTTATAAAAAAACACGCATCATTATATTAGATTTCGCACCATATTGTGCATCCCTCGGAAACTAACACTTACTTATTTGATCCAATGATTGTCCAGCTTTTGACTTTCAATTCGCCATAATCAAACACTACAACAGAACTGTCATTGCAGAATCCAGATGCAATGTGGACAACAACATGATCAGTTTTAGCTAACATCTTTGCTCTTGTATTGATGAGAAACTGAAGAGTCTTGCAAGCATTTTCCTCGTGCAATCCACATGTACTTGTATCATTGCCATGTTCACAATTTAGATACACGTTTTGTCGCAAAACTTGATGAAATGCTTCGATATTTTGAAAAAATGGAATCCAAAAACTAAACAAAGTTATTATAATGCAATGAAATAATTTCATGGTAAAATGTACTTTTTAATCCAAAAACGTATGTTCAAACCACTAGTTTTTAACGTTACTTCGTGTAAGGAGAATTATGAAGATATTGATTGGTAACGACGGTGGGTAAAAAGCGGAAATGTCAAAAAGAAAGTTGAAAATTCATGAGTCGAAATGTATTTTTATGTCCACATACGATGTAAAGTCAGTTTGATAACTTTGATTAAATGATATACTTGTTTTTGTTATGAGTTCTGAATTACGAACGGTTAGAGCTATTTTGTTTGTAGTTTTTCTTGGTAAATTTTGTTTATATATTTATATCACATCTCATTTTTTTCTTCAAAACACATAAATTTGTGATTCCTTAATTGGTAAGGAATTTGTGCAATGTGTACCAGTGTTATAGCTATGATGCTTTTTTATCTCTTTGTACGTATTATGTTTTCCTTAGAAAGAGGGAGAGCTTCAAAAACTTCGTCGTCTGAAGGGTTGGAAAACATATTACTTCAAGTTGGAAAGAAGCTATTTACATTATTTTGAAACAGAATACGTGAGGGAAATTATTTAGCCATAGAATTTAAGGTTTGGGCATTTAATTCTTCTTGTCATTTCTAGACAGCAAAACCTATTGAAACAAAGACAAGAGGTGACATATCAAAAGTGGAACTTTCAAAGGAGGATTCTATCACAGGCTTTGATATTATATTCAAGTCAGGTGATACTTGGCATTTGCAAGCAGAAACAAATGTAAGAACTTTATGCAACCCCAACATCTCGTATCAAAATTTTGTTACGTATATTTATTAATGTATATTTAGGAGGAGAGATTGGATTGGATGAAAACATTGAAGCCTGATGCAAAAGTATCCAATCAGTTTTTAGTACTTCATTTTATAATTTATTCAAATGATGTCAATGTGTACAATTTCTGCATTTCAATTTTGACCTAGAGTAATAATCATACCGTGAAAACTACTACCACTACAGCTCCATTGACAGAGCAAAATAATATATTTCCACCTAATTATCAAAGACTATATCCAAATGTACATAACACACAAGGTTTGTTTATAATCTCGCTCATTTCATCTATTTCTGCAAATTTATTTACATTATTTGACAATTTCTAGGCGCCCATGGTATGTCAGACTCAATTGCTCCTCCAGCTTATGAAGACATTAAATGGGAATGTGGACAGAATCAAGACCATTTATAACTCCATGATCCAATTTGTGTTGATGTTTATCAATATTTCTATGATATATCTACACTTTCTTAAATAATTGTAAAAAAATTTTATTTCTCTACAATGTAAGCGATGGTATCGCTAGCATAGGGTAGTCTTGTTTAAAAGATTGAGCTCTGCTACATTTGCATAGCAGTACTAAATACACAAATGGCTGCCCAAATCCACTTAATGAAAACTATGTTGACTGTGAAGTCAAAGATGAGAAAAGTAGAAGTGATAAAAAGAACATGTATGCTTTTATAAAATTTATTCAAGATATGAAATGTAAACACACAGAGATAACACGTAAAAGAATTTTAATTTTATTTACCTTCATCGACAGTATGTGCGGTTATTTGTCGCTGGACGCGCAAAATTTGTCGTCGTCAACTTCGCATGACAGTGTGATTACTAAAAACACTTACTGAACAGTGCATTTTGGAAACTTTCTTGAGTAAAATTACTTTTAAAAATCTTTAAATAGAAAAGGATTTATATCTAACTGACCGTTAAGTGTACTATGAGTTCAATTGGAACTGGAGTATGTATGAACTTTTTCTGGATTTTATAAAATCTTGTGAACATTGCCACCAACTATTGACTTCTGACACATGAATTATGAACATAAATACTGTTTTTTTCATTTCAGTATGATTTATCAGCGTCGCAGTTTTCACCTGATGGAAGAGTGTTTCAAGTAGAATATGCACAGAAAGCTGTTGAAAATAGTGGGTGAGTACATAGTATAAAATTGCACTGTCTACTAAGCTTTCAAATTTATAGCAAGTGATTAATTAAATCATTGCATGATTTATTAGAAGTGTTGTTGGTTTGAAGTGCAAAGATGGTGTTGTATTTGGTGTTGAAAAGCTTGTGAAGTCCAAACTCTATGAATTATCTTCCAATAGAAGAATTTTTACCATTGACACACATATTGGAATGGTAAGACAATGGTTAATTTTTTCCACTCTGTAAATGATGTCATTTTTACTCATTTTAATGACTTTGACTTGCAGGCTGTGGCTGGTTTGTTAGCAGATGCAAGAAAGGTAATAAGTGTTGATCACTGGTAGAGCTTCGATAGTATACAAATATAATCACGAAATTAAAATAACTTACACTGTCTGTAAAAAGTTTTTAAAGATTATTGCTAGACTATAATATGTGAATGGGATTGTTTTGCAGTTTTCTTTAATGTAGTAGGTGAAGTAATTTCAGATTTTACTACTGAATTCATAGGACGTGGTTACCTAAATGCAGAGATGTAACCAAAATTGTATTTTCAGTGGGTGATTTGCGCCAGTGTGCATTACATTTTGGTGGCTAGTTGTTACTAAACCAAGTCAAACTTTTGTTTTGTTAAATTCTTTGACTTTTGTATTGTGATTATGAGATTATTAGAAGTGTGCTCCATTAAATATTAATCACAATTGTTTTTGCTTAATTGTTTGGTATAAAAGTATTTGTAGGAAATCAGCATCCCTCTCCACTCTCCTAAATCTATCCATTTACAAATATGATAGTTATGAGTTAATTGCTTTTCATGTAGATTGTTTCAGTTGCCAGAAAGGAAGCTGCAGATTATCGATCTGATTATGGCTCAGAGATACCATTAAAGGTAAATTTACAACTATGTGTGATCAGTTGTTTAAATTTCTTATTTATTTATTTATTTCAATTGCAAATTTTAATAGTTCTTGGCTTCACGTGTTGCATCTCATGTGCATACTTACACTTTATACAGTTTTCTCAGACCATTTGGCTGTGGGTACGTTGTTCAAAATTGTGTGAATAATTATGATTCTATGACAAAAAACTAGCATTTTTACTTGTTAGTGTCATGCTCAGTAGCATTGGGCAAAGTGGACCAGAATTATATTTAATCGATCCATCTGGAGTTACATGGGTATGATAAAATTTAAATTTAAAATTGAATTTTTTCAAACACAACATTTGTATATTAGGGTTATCATGGCTGTGCTATTGGAAAAGCAAAGCAAGCAGCTAAAACTGCCATTGAAAAGCTTAAGGTATCCTATAGACTGTTTTATTTATATATTAGCAAATGATTGATTTCATGTGCAAAAGTATGTACTTGGGATATATTCTGGCCAAGACATTTTTAGTGAATTGCTTTCGTTTCAATTCCATTCAAAACATTGTTTCATCTTACTTAGTTTTGTTTGAGCATATTCTTTGTGTGCATTGATGTTTGTAATATGGTATTTGTATAATTGTCAAACTTTCAATGACACTATGCACTCAATTTGGAATTTTGATTTGAACTTTAGTTGACAGAACTAACATCAGAAGAAGCTGTAAAAGAGATTGCAAAAATGTATATACTTTTCTCTATGTTTATAATGCCTATGGAATGTTTATCTGCATTGTTTATGGATGACTTTCAATGGCATCTTTTTGAATGTAGAATTTATACAGTTCATGATGAAGTTAAAGATAAAAATTTTGTCTTGGAAATGAGCTGGATTACAGAAGGTCTCCTTTGCTAAATGTTAATTCATATGTGTATTTTTGTTTATGGTAGATACTTCCATGTTGTTTTTTTATATTAGTCAGTTTTTTTGTTTTCTAACTATTTTTAGCTACTGGAGGAAAACATCAATGGATACCTGAAGAGATTATTGATGCTGCAGAAAAACATGCCAAGGTATGTTTGAAGAGCATCTCAACTGAGAAAATTTTATCATTTTTCTCTCTTTGCTAAAATATTATTCAAATACTATTTATGATGAAGTATTTGTTTGAAATTTATAGGAGAGTGCAATGGAAGAAGATTCCTCAGATGACGATGATGACCTTTGACTTATAAACAACATGCTTTGTCATATTTTTTATCAAAATTAAATGGTATGATTTGCATTATATGGCCTTTTTTTACAACAATCATTATCATAAAAAGAAGGTAGAATTTTCCATGTGATCAAAAGGTTACTATGTTTACTGAATAGGTGGAATATTACTTTACATTTATTTGGAATATGTGATTATAATTTTCTTGAATTTAAACCATGAATACAACAAACACGATAAAAAATATGATTAAGATAAAGAATATCTTGATTATAAGCCAGCGGTTTGATGACACTGAACTGAAGTATTTCAAAAGTTCTCCATGAGCACTTTCAATGTTTGCTTCTGTTTCTTCTACATTTGCATCAATTCTACAAAATGGCATAACACTTGCCTTAAGGAAAGATCAGGAAAGGTTTGACAAGCTTCAAATATGTACAGCTTATATTTGTCACCTTTGAACTTGCTCTTCTTGTATTTTTACCATGTTAGCCAATTGTTGAAATATTCCTCCTAGTTCTACAATGGTTGACTCAATGCTTTCCATAGCTGTAGCACGAGATTGTATGTAGTTATTCTGAAAGTATGCACATTAAAACTACGTAGGTTAGTGTATGATGACCAGTAATTTGACGTGATAATTATGCTTTACAGACCTGTTCTTCATATATCTGGTCTTGATATTGTTGATTTTGAATGTGACTCATATCAATGGCCACAGCTTGATTTCCAGCAGTACTTTTGGCAGCATCTGCTTTCTTTAAGACTAATAAAGATAAAGTGCTCATAATAACAAGCAATAGCAGACATTCATTCCATCATGCATCACTCATACAAACAAGTTTCAGTTGATTATTATTTCCGTGGGCCCATCATGAATTTTTCTTATAAACAACCATCAATAATTGTTACCACCATTTGCCAGTGTCACCGATGTTGCTCTAGTAAACACCCTTCATTGATTGTCATTCCTATCATGCATTTCTCTTATAAACAGAAATTGATGTTACTCCCATCATGCATCACTCTTACAGACAACCTTCAATGATTGAACTTCCCATCATGCATCACTTAACAACCTGATCCATTTTTGATAGATGCTACAGCTAATGTTTCGGGACTGGGTCCTTGGGAAAATTTTTCTCTTCGTTGTTTTTGATGCTTAAGATTCTAAATTGAAAGGTGGTACTTTGTTCAGAGAAAAAAATCAAAGCTGAAATAAGTAAAATGGTAGTTTACCTCTGTGCGAACTTCCAAAACAGACTTGAAACTTTGTGACATATTTGCTAATTTTGTCTAATTTGTACAATAGTAAATTGTGAAACAAGTATAAAAAAAAGCAAAACTGGTTTCACTCACTTGTAATGCAATCACTACAGACTGTGAATGTGTCTGAACATTTTTACTTTGACTTTGGTTACCCTGAACCAACTAAAACATTCATGTGCAAACATTTACATTAAGTTGACTTTAGTTGATTGAAGGCTTAATAAAAAGCATTACCTGTTGTAACTGAGCAAGTTGTTGATTCAAATGATTGATGTCCTAAAGATAAGACAAATAGTGATAAAGCAATACATTACATGAACTGATGCAACACACTGTAAACCTGTTTTATTATGTATGTCAGCTCTTGAATTTCAACTGGTCTGTCATCAAATAATGATTTTTTCTTGGCCACTGGAAAATGTTAGAAATAAATTGGTCAAACCATTATGCTATATAATAACTTGGTTATTGAGAAAAAGCCTTTGACACTTACACAGGGTGAGTTTCTCAAGTTTAGTGTATGTATTTGAAATGTCATGACCAATCTGTCTGTTTGGGTAAATCATAAAAAATGTCATCAGTAATCACCAGATCATTGATGTTGGCATTATTTGTCTATTGGATTGAAATACATACTTGGAAATTTCACTAAACCGGCTTCGAACAACACCATTTATCCTATGCTTACTGAGAGAATTTCTGTTATGAGTTCCCTATCAAGATACAAACACACATTGTCAATACTTCAAAAATAACTTCCCATTAAATGTACCATATCGAGTGTAGTAAAGCAGAAATAAGATGATTTTTATGTATTTCTTATTATAAAAATTTCATATACATGTCGCGATTGTAGCAATCGAACTGCCGACGTAAACTCAGCTGTGCGATCTCGACAGGATGACATTGTATCAATATTCAAATCGAAATTTTCTTTCTCCAATATGATTCCTCTATCTGTATATTCGCCAGATCTTGTTCTTCTACGACGAGCAATCATTCCATAACATTGAAAAGAACTGGAATCTTCATTCTAGACTCTCTTGTTATTTTTTATTCTCTTGTATACAGGTATTTTGTTGCTGTGTGTTTATAAACAGTATTAATTTTCAAACTTTGGTGATCCACTTTCGAGCAATTTTGATCCAAATTCAACTGAAATTCTTAAAAAAAAGTATTCTTTGAGTATTACAGAAACTTTAGACGTTCTCACAGTTTAGACCGTGTTTTATTGAAGGAAAACCACCTTAGAATTCCTTCTCTTTTACTGTAAAATAGCACGTCCAAAGTTAGGTACGTTGAGGAAAGTGGCTGACGTATCGCCTCCGCGTATTCTCGAAGACTCGAACATACTCGAGTGCAAACGGAGTCTGATTACAATGGATGATATCCAGTTCCTGTTGCTCTTGTTGAGGGAAGTGAATTCATAATTGTCACTCCACTCTCAGTCCATTGGCGGTGTTTGGCGGTGTTTTTGGAGCGCTGGTTTGGACTTGGAGGAAATGTTGCGCAATGTTGGAAATGTTACATGAAAAATCGTGAATTATAGTCTTTTGCATGAAAAATCGTGAACCATAGTCTTTTGAAAAATCGTGAATTATAGTCTTTTGCATGAAAAATCGTGAACTGTGGTCTTTTGCATGAAAAATCTTGAACTATGGTCTTTTGCATGAAAAATCGTGAACTATAGTATTTTGCATGAAAAATCGTGAATTATAGTCTTTTGCATGAAAAATCGTGAACTATGGTCTTTTGCATGAAAAATCGTGAACTATAGTCTTTTGCATGAAAAATCGTGAACTATAGTCTTTTACATGAAAAATCGTGAATTATAGTCTTTTCCATGAAAATTTGTGATCTATAGTCTTTTACATGAAAATGCGTGATCTATAGTCTTTTGCATGAAAATTCACGATCTATGGTCTTTTGCATGAAAATTCGTGATCAATAGTCTTTTACATGAAAAATCGTGAATTATAGTCTTTTACATGAAAAATCGTGAATTATAGTCTTTTGCATGAAAAATCGTGAACAATAGTCTTTTGCATGAAAAATCGTGAAATAAAGTCTTTTACATGAAAAATCGTGAAATAAAGTCTTTTGCATGAAAAATCGTGAATTATAGTCTTTTGCATGAAAAATCGTGAATTATAGTCTTTTGCATGAAAATCTTGAACTATAGTCTTTTGCATGAAAATAGTCTTTTGCATGAAAAATCGTGAATTATAGTCTTTTGCATGAAAAATCGTGAATTATAGTCTTTTACATGAAAAATCGTGAATAAAGTCATTTGCATGAAAAATCGTGAACTATAGTCTTTTACATGAAAAATCGTGAATTATAGTCTTTTGCATGAAAAATCTTGAAATAAAGTCTTTTACATGAAAAATCGTGAATTATAGTCTTTTGCACGAAAATTCTTGAAATATAGTCTTTTGCATGAAAAATCGTGAACTATAGTCTTTTGCATGAAAATCGTGAAATATAGTCTTTTGCATGAAAAATCGTGAACTATAGTCTTTTGCATGAAAAATCGTGAACTATAGTCTTTTGCATGAAAAATCGTGAATTATAGTCTTTTGCATGAAAAATCGTGAACTATAGTCTTTTACATGAAAAATCGTGAATAAAGTCATTTGCATGAAAAATCGTGAATTATAGTCTTTTGCATGAAAAATCGTGAACTATAGTCTTTTACATGAAAATGAAATAAAGTCGTGATTTTAGATTAAAATCAAATTAGACAAAAAGACAGTACCCATTGAAATCATGATTGAATACTCTTTGCACATGTTCACTATTAATTAGCCAAAATCAGAGCGTTGGTTAATAAACACAAAAAGAATTACGATGCAAATGAACAAGTCAATTTCTACAGGATCTCTCAAACAAACGGAACCCACATAAAATAATTATGTATTCGCTAAAGTTATTATGCACAATAACGTAGCTAGGAATTGTTGAACTTGACAGTTCTGCGCCACTGGGATTTATTAGGGTTTGTGCAATATTATAGTTAAAACAAAACAAGCTTAAACTTAAAACTAAAAGTACCGTCAAACACTGAATTTTATCTCAAATTTATAACGCAAAACCTTTGTTATGGCAAAGCAAAATTAACTGAGTTCTAACAGCCACAAAGACATAATCATATTTTCCATAAATTGCAAAGAACATGGACAAGCGTATGACTAAATCTAACCAGACGAAACAAATAGCCATTGTTGATTAATCATCTTATGCAGATTTTATTTTAATACATACATAATCATTTGTAAGGATTCTTTTTTTTGAGACACCTTGTACATCGGTACTGCCTTTACCAACATCACCACGTGCAATTGAGGGCACACCCATAGGAGCTGACCAATCAGAACACAACACGTTCATGCAACTTTTGGCATACTTAAAGGTTAACTCGTACGATGAGTGTGTTAGTTGAATTTGTACATCAGCACGGTACACTAAGATTAGTTGGCAAAAGTTGAGACCCTACATCTTTTGAATAGTTCGTCGAGTTCTTTGAAACTATGTTCAGGTAAAAGTGCTTTTTGATACTCGTTTTTACAGTACTCATTCTTTGATGGAAGTGCGTAATGTGAAAGATACTGTGATCTTTGTTCATCCTAAATGTGAGATCTAACGTATCTTTTCATAAAGTTTTTGCTTTGGTAATTCATGTTTGCTCTATGCTGTGTTTTAGATTTGAAGATTTTGTTAGAAAGTAAATGCGCGTGGTCACGAAATAAGGTTGAGAAAGGACGAACGAAATGTTGGTGGTCAATTATTCACAATAATGGTGGACTTGTTAAACTAAAGAAAGTTATCATTGTTCACGATAGACGTTGATCATGACTGCTTTTGTTGACTAAATTCTCTTGAGGTGAGCGATCGGTTGAAATTCTATTTCTTCAATTGCTTTAAAACTGAATATAGAGTAAAATACTAAAAGGATGTATGTTTTTGCTCTTATAATTTCTGTCAGTAATTTTGAATTAACATTATCTTCTTTTACCGCATTTTTAGAAACCGTCTCTTCAATGATGCCCAATGGACAATATACTCCTGTGAAGAAGAAAAAGGCGCGATTTCTGTCCTGCAGGCCGTATATATTCTTGACTTGCAATTCAGCCATGTTGGTGGTGTGATACAAAAGAATATTTTATCAGTGTTATTGCTGGCACCAGCAGACGTGGCCGAGCAACATTGTTCTGTAAATCTCAAGAGAACGGTTGCAACTCAAGAATAACTGCATGACAAGCTATGAATACAAAACATTCCTTCCTTATCAATGAATTGCAGCGACAAAGAATACTAAAGGACGCTTTGTCATAGTATAAATTGACAATGTACTGAACAATGATCCAGAATGAACAGTCGCCATGAAGCAAAAAAACGCGTGAATTCTGTCCAGCATGTCATAAGAACATGCCAAGCTATGAATGGAAACATTAAATACAGTTCTTCAGCAATGGTCTCGTGAGCTTAACACCTAGAAAAGTCACTATTTTACTGGGCTATAGCTGTCCTGAAACGATTTTCTTCGACATGTTTCCTGCTAATACTACGATACCTTCTTGGTCAATCAATTGCAAAGACAATAAAACTACACCACTATCGAACGCCCACGTTTTGACATTAATTCAATTGAAAAATTTTCGGTATAAAAACATGGTATTTTCTTGGCGTGAAGTTATAATAATATGAAAACTAAAAGTCCTAATTTTCCGACTAATTGCCGATATTTTCGATGTAATGCCGTAGACGACATGCACAGTTGCAAGAAATGGCCAATCTTGCTTCTGTGCTTGCCGTCGTCGACATGAAATCGGGGGTGTTCGTCAGGTAGCCTGAAAGTTGGATACGATGGCTTTACCATCAACGTTTTGAATTTTTAAAAAAATATTTTGGGCTTCTAACTGTTTTTTCTACGTGGACATCTCAGCATCCAATCATTTCATTGTTACAATTCGCAAGGGATTCGTCGTTCGTCGTCGACTCGTCGAAAACCGTGAGTGTGATTTTATGCTTTTTATGTCAAGTTTAGCCTGCTAACAGGCCAGTCTCCTATACATTTCGGGCAATAACCACAAAAAATCCTGGTGTGCAGTATATTCCACTGTAAGGCTATTTTTTTAAGCAGTGACTCGAATGAATACACGTATTAGTACAAGTTCTCACCACTGCATTATAAAAAATAGTCTTGGTTAAGAGGTTATAAAAGTGTTTTTTGTCTCAAACAATTCATTTGTATTTCGGTGTTGATTTCTTATTAAAATTCGTATAATACTAAGCATGTTGAGTTACGAATATGTTTGATTAAAATTCAATTTTCTCTGTCTTTCCATAAACAAACCTCTGTGTGAATATACTGCTTTAAGCAGCGCGCATGTTCGCAGCGTTCGTTGCCTAGACTAGGATCATAGGATCCAGAAGGATAGACTAGGATCATAGTTTAGATCGGAAATGCAAGTGAAGTTTGGCCAAAGGAAGGCAACTTCGACTTGGGGTTAGTGGGTACAAATGGTACCTTAGCGTAGAGGATGCAAATAGCATCTGTAAGAAGACCTTTGAAGACTGGATCTAGCGAGCAAGACCTATTGCAGACAAAGGAACGACGGTGGTTTTGGTGGAAAGAAAAAGATCTCCCCCCTAGTACGGTAAAAGCATGCAGTCGTTGTAGTTAGCCAATTTCATGAATGGCTTTCTACAGTGACTATTAAGGCACTCCTGCATGGATCCCCTATAATGCATGAGTAGTTCAACCCACCCCGGTTGGAGGTCACCCGTAGGTGCTACATGCACTAGGTTAGGTTAAGTTAAGGGCATGATGGGTTACCTCCTTCAAGGGGCATTCCTTTTCAGGGCGGAATTCCGGTGTCATGCGCAGGTAGGAAGTTTAGATAGCTTAAGCGTGCGCTGTAGTTGCGGCGGGTAGTTGCTACGCTCAGATAACGAACGTGGGGTTAGCACCTTTATGAATATACAGGGCAACGCCACGTTCAACAGAAATGACTAATTTCTTAAGAATGTTTCAAAGAAACGTCCAATCTTTCAGTCAGTCATTTCTATAACTACAAATTGAAGCTCGAGAAAAGTATTCAGTTTGTTAAGACATTTACAGTTTAGGGGCGGCGTGGCAATTACTGTAAATGTGCAAATAGGTACGAAGTTATCTTATGAAGGTAACTTCATTCCTGGGAATTTCACTGCAGCAAGCCACATTGCATTGCGCAAGTGATAAAAAATTAAACGATAAGGCACCAGGTCTAAGGATGTGGAATGTCTTCCTAAGAACCTAAAAGAAAATATATAGGTTTAATGAAATTACAATTTATATTTTCTTAATGATTATTATGAAGACAAACCGCAGA